TTTTCACTTTAGATTCTGCAAAAAATACAATGTTATTTATAGATTGTTTTAAACTTTATATAAACAACATTACACAATATTAATCTATTTATGCTTGAATGCAATAAAATATACAGTTTTCACTTTAGATGTGAAATGTTTTGATGTGAAAGGACTTAAACATTTGAAGTATTTGATTTGGTTTGTAACAACTAAATCCCTTACGCCATTTTAAATTTACGTTTTACGCACTTTTTGAACAAGTAAGAGGTAGTCTCAACAAAATAATTGAAATACCATATGGTAATAAAATACGCCAAATACTATATGGTGTTATTTCTACCTGTTTAAGACTTTTCCACAGTATCTGGATTTATAAAAATTTCATTATGTCCATTATTTTTATACCCGTTACTCGTAGAGTAAAAGGGTATATTGTATTCGTGCAAAAGTATGTAACAGGTAGAAGGAAGCGTTTCCGACCCTATAAAGTATATATATTCTTGTTCAGGATCACTAGCCGAGTCGATCTGGCCATGTCCGTCTGTCCGTCTGTCCGTCTGTCTGTCCGTCTGTCCGTCTGTCCGTCTGTCTGTCCGTATGAACGCTGAGATCTCGGAAACTATAAAAGCTAGAAGATTGGCATTTTGCATGTAGATTTTAGGAGTTCCTACGCAGCGCAAGTTTGTTTCAAAATGGTGCCACGCCCCCTCTGACGCCCACAAGCCACAAGCTGTGGCCACAGTTTTGATGCTATTATGAAAATTTTAATTGATATATATTTGTTTCGTCAATACCTATCGATTGGCCTAATTAAAGTTTGCCACGCCCACTCTAACGCCCAAAAACCCATTAAACGCTTAAGCCTGGCTAGCGCCTACATTTCCGCCTTTCATGGCGCCATCTAACGGATGACTTTGGAACAGCTGGCCAAGGTGCTCAACAGAGTCAACGTTAATTTTCGATAAGGATTTATATTAAAGGAAATTGCGATGGTTTTCATTTGTCAATACCGAACTATATCCCAAGAACTACGCAAATCAAATCAAGTTAGCCAAATTGGAGGTCTGAGTCAAACAATGACGTATGTGTGTATGTATGTAAGCATATACATATGTATGTATTTACATTGTACACAGTTGCAATTGTTTAGCTGAGTAACGGGTATCTAATAGTCGAGGCACTCGACTATAGCGTTCTTTCTTGTTATTTTAGAATCGCTTCAATACCGAAAGAATTAAAAGAAAATTACGACATTTGTGTCGCCCTTACTTTAAAATAGATTTTAAACTGGAAAATCATCTGGAAATTATCTGTAAACAATTTAACTTTTAGCTTACCGTAAGGCCGAGAAAATTTCTACGAATTGAAGTCACACAGTTTTTTTACATATGTTTTTTTACATTTATGTTTTTTCACGTATTAATAATCATTTTGCAATTAAATATGTCATTTTTTTTCACTTAGAACATCTTTCCATTCAAGCATTCAAAAAGATGTGTCAGTTAAACTATATTAACAAGGAACTGGGTAGTCGAAAGTCTTTTCTACATACATGACAAATTAATCGAAGATGTGTCTGAGCTTATCAAAATTGCTTGGCGAACAGTAACTTAGTGAAATTGAATTAAGTTTTTCTTGAAATTTAATGGAAAAAGTGTTTGGGCATATATGTAGCACTGATACGATGTTGTACGATTTTCGTATGTAAGTTACGTTACTTACTGCTTATTAACATCAAATTAAATAATATATAAGTTATATTGATTTAAATATTAACAAAGACATTATTAGAGGTATCATAAAAAAATGTTTGAATGCGTTGAAAACCGACCCTTTTCTAATCCATAACAAGAAAGGAAAGCTAACTTCGGCCGGAGCAAAATATTCTGTAAATTATATTCTTCAAAATTATTCATATGATGCAATCCCAACTTCCTAACTTTACAAACACCAAAGTTATGGCATTTCTGATCAATAAGTTATATGGCAGCTATAGGATATAGTCGTCCGATCCCGGCCGTTCCGACTTATATACTGTGTGCATAGGAAAGAAGGGTGTGTGCAAAGTTTCAATTCGATATCTTTAAAACTGAGAGACTAGTTTGCGTAGAAACAGACAGACGGACAGACGGACAGACAGACGGACAGACGGACATGCTTATATCAACTCAGGAGGTGATCCTGATCAAGAATATATATACTTTATAGGGTCGGAGATGTCTCCTTCACTGCGTTGCACACTTTTGACCAAAATTATAATACCCTCTGCAAGGGTATAAAAATGTATTGGTTTGTGTGGTTTTTATAGTTCCCGAATTCTCAACGTCGACACGGGTGGAAATCTTATATTTTATTTTTTATGGAGACGAAAACGCTACACCGAAATAATTTCCGAATTGATGTCTATCAATGAAATCTTTTCAGCAATAAATTGATTGTTAATCGGACGCCTCTAGAAGCGTTTTTATACCCTTGCAGAGGGTATTATAATTTTGGTCAAAAGTGTGCAACGCAGTGAAGGAGACATCTCCGACCCTATAAAGTATATATATTCTTGATCAGGATCACCTCCTGAGTTGATATAGCCATGTCCGTCTGTCCGTCTGTCCGTCTGTCCGTCTGTCTGTTTCTACGCAAACTAGTCTCTCAGTTTTAAAGCTATCGTATTGAAACTTTGCACACACCCTTCTTTCCTTTGCACGCAGTATATATGTCGGAACGGCCGGGATCGGCCGACTATATCCTATAGCTGCCATATAACTGATTGATCGGAAATGCCATAACTTTGGTGTTTGTAAAGTTAGAAAGTTGGAATTTTCTATGGGTTTTATATTTGGCTAATCAATCCTACCTACCAAATTTCATAAGGATCGGCCGACTATATCCTATAGCTGCCATATAACTGATTGATCGGAAATGCCATAACTTTGGTGTTTGTAAAGTTAGAAAGTTGGAATTTTCTATGGGTTTTATATTTGGCTAATCAATCCTACCTACCAAATTTCATAAGGATCGGCCGACTATATCCTATAGCTGCCATATAACTGATAGATCGGAAATGCCATAACTTTGGTGTTTGTAAAGTTAGGAAGTTGGGATTTTCTGTGGGTGTTATATTTGGCCAATCAATCCGACCTACCAAATTTCATAAGAATCGGCGGACTATATGATATTGTTTTCCATTTAGAATCTGTCGTCGATTCATTTTTTATACCCTTGCAGAGGGTATTATAATTTTGGTCAAAAGTGTGCAACGCAGTGAAGGAGACATCTCCGACCCTATAAAGTATATATATTCTTGATCAGGATCACCTCCTGAGTTGATATAGCCATGTCCGTCTGTCCGTCTGTCCGTCTGTCTGTTTCTACGCAAACTAGTCTCTCAGTTTTAAAGCTATCGGATTGAAACTTTGCACACACCCTTCTTTCCTTTGCACGCAGTATATAAGTCGGAACGGCCGGGATCGGTCGACTATATCCTATAGCTGCCATATAACTGATTGATCGGAAATGCCATAACTTTCGTGTTTGTAAAGTTAGGAAGTTGGGATTTTCTATGGGTTTTATATTTGGCCAATCAATCCGACCTACCAAATTTCATAAGGATCGGCCGACTATATCCTATAGCTGCCATATAACTGATTGATCGGAAATGCCATAACTTTGGTGTTTGTAAAGTTAGAAAGTTGGGATTTTCTGTGGGTGTTATATTTGGCCAATCAATCCGACCTACCAAATTTCATAAGAATCGGCGGACTATATGATATTGTTTTCCATTTAGAATCTGTCGTCGATTCATTTTTTATACCCTTGCAGAGGGTATTATAATTTTGGTCAAAAGTGTGCAACGCAGTGAAGGAGACATCTCCGACCCTATAAAGTATATATATTCTTGATCAGGATCACCTCCTGAGTTGATATAGCCATGTCCGTCTGTCCGTCTGTCCGTCTGTCTGTTTCTACGCAAACTAGTCTCTCAGTTTTAAAGCTATCGGATTGAAACTTTGCACACACCCTTCTTTCCTTTGCACGCAGTATATAAGTCGGAACGGCCGGGATCGGTCGACTATATCCTATAGCTGCCATATAACTGATTGATCGGAAATGCCATAACTTTCGTGTTTGTAAAGTTAGGAAGTTGGGATTTTCTATGGGTTTTATATTTGGCCAATCAATCCGACCTACCAAATTTCATAAGGATCGGCCGACTATATCCTATAGCTGCCATATAACTGATTGATCGGAAATGCCATAACTTTGGTGTTTGTAAAGTTAGAAAGTTGGGATTTTCTATGGGTTTTATATTTGGCCAATCAATCCGACCTACCAAATTTCATAAGGATCGGCCGACTATATCCTATAGCTGCCATATAACTGATTGATCGGAAATGCCATAACTTTGGTGTTTGTAAAGTTAGAAAGTTGGGATTTTCTATGGGTTTTATATTTGGCCAATCAATCCGACCCACCAAATTTCATAAGGATCGGCCGACTATATCCTATAGCTGCCATATAACTGATTGATCGGAAATGCCATAACTTTGGTGTTTGTAAAGTTAGGAAGTTGGGATTTTCTATGGATTTTATTTTTGGCCAATCAATCCGACCTATCAAATTTCATAAGGATCGGCCGACTATATCCTATAGCTGCCATATAACTGAACGATTGGAAATGCCATAACTTTGTTGTTGTTAAAGTTAGGAAGTTCGGATTTTTTATGAGTATTAAGAATGCATCATATGAATAATTTTGGAGAATATAATTTACAGAGTATTCTGCAAGGGTATATCAACTTCGGCTCCGCCCGAAGTTAGCTTTCCTTTCTTGTTATCGGTTATCAAATTAGTTGTGTAATTTTTGTGTCAGTGTGAGACTTTTTCGTATTGGAAAGAAGATTTAAATAAAAATGTAAAGAATTTTAGAATAGAATTTGTTTAAAGAACAGCTAGTTTCTCCTTCGCAGAATGTTTTGATGTGTTTGTCACTTAACCAGAATGCAAAAATCTTGAAACAAATGTTTTAGGTATTCATTTTTTATTTTGAGGAATCTAAACGATATTAAGAAGGAACTGTTAATCCACTTTGAGTGACTTAGGCCTCGGGGGCAACGGGCAGATGGGCACCCTGGGGCTGGAATCCGTTCTCATCGGCGATGTATTTGACCTCGTAGGTGACACCATCATCGCCCACAAAGCGGTACGAGCCCTGGACAGCAAGGGACTCGTGTTCGCTTCCAGGGTTCGTCAGCTGTCCAGCGGCTTGAGCCGCCTGGCCATCGCTAGTCTCCCAGCTAATTATGAAGTGAAACTTAGTTAGTCATCCTTTTGAAGCAGCTCTTAAATAACTTACTCGTATTTGAAGCTCTCAGGGCCAACATCGGATTCCGATCGCAGGATTTGGGCCTCCTGACCAGCAGGAGCGGCCAGAGCCACGGCGAAGAGGGCGACGAAGACAATCAGGAACTTCATTTTGACTTTTGACTCGTTTGCTGAAACCGAAGAGTTCGATGCGAATGATATCGCTTGACTGCAGCATGTACTCTTTTATACAAATTCGGCAAACTAATCCAAGGTTCGGTCAAGCTATTCAAACTTGCAAGTTTAATATGAAATTTATGATATTGAGTTAAGTTACGCATTCATTTTAATGAAAAGCGAATTTTGTTGTATATGTACATACATAGCTTTGATGCGATGCTCCATCTGGTTTTTTGATTTAATGCATCTGCATATTATGCTTCATTAAATGAAACTCGAAATACATAACTATTTTCAGATGTATGAATAAAGTAGTTCACTACTGCTTAGTAAATGATAACAAATCACTATAAGTTTAAAAAAGAAATAAAGAAAAACAGATATGTTTTACTAAGTTAGAACTTAAATTCAATTATTTATAAATACTTTTAATAACACTATTCCTACGAAAATGTATTTTAATATATTTAGAATTTCTTTAACTTTACTTAACAGCAGTCAAAAGTTTGTCCACCAATAATAGATATGTAAATCTGTTAATCCACAATTGGGCATGGCAACTACGTCAGTAGCTGAGTTAGCTTGAAGAAGATACAGCCGCAGTCAATGCGGTCGATCGGTATATTCCAAAACTAGTTTGATCATTGTCGCATTTTATTTCATGCAAATTAATATTTAGGTTTGGCTCTGTGTGCTCTATGTTGTTTTTGTTAGGCATCTTCCAAATTTCATTAGCATCGCATGAAATTTAAATCAACGCCTGAAATTAACCTTCAAAACTTCGTTTTCATCTGTGGCCAGATCGCTCGCACATATTTCAATATGCGCCACTTTAATTATGTATTAATTACAAAGACAACAAAAACCAAAACAAGTTTCGTCGTGCCAAAAATTTGCAAATTTCAGCTGAAGGCCATCCAGGCAAAGTCGCCAGACGAGACGAGACACACCGCATTGCGACGTCCAACGGTGCGTATGGAAAATGTGGGAGAACTTTAGGTCTGCAAAAAGCCTGTTCATCTACCACTTGCGTCATACTTTTCTTTTCATTTCGCCTCGAACGCGTTATGGATATTTGAAGCCCTACTATAAATAACATGCTTAGCATAGCGATCGCAAAGTGGTCCGGGTTCAGGGGACTGTTTGACTTTAACAAAGCCTTTCCTTAAAGTTCAGAAAGATAATGCTCAGAAAAAACTTTTCAAAATATGACATCAATATAGATGAACAAAACATTTAGTTGTAAAAAAAAACTAAATATTATAATGTAAATATAATTGAAAGTTATATTTTATCGGCTATATTTTAAATGAAATATGACTATTTCAATATATTTCATTAATGAATTGTAAATGATTAAAAATAATAAAATGTTAGAACTTTGCTTTTTTACATAATGAACAAATACTGTTTAATACTGGCTACAGCAAAGGACTGCATTTAGTTGTGAGGCAGATGATCGCCCTGAGGCTGGAATCCGTTCTCATCGGCAATGTAGTGCAGGGTGTAGGTCTGTCCATCGGGAGCCACCCAGCTTACGGAACCACGGACACTGAGTGCCTCCTGGTCGGTGCCGGCGTTCTTCAGCTCAGCCTGCTCCTGGCGGGTGATTCCATCACTGGTCTCGTACCTGAAATCGAAAAACCATACTAAGTTATTAAAATTGGAGTTTAAGAACAGCTTATACACTTTTTTTAAACCTATTTGCACTTCATCTTTATAGACACATATATTTTGTGGATTTCCAAATATTTCAATTTCACAAAACTTAATTTTATACAAATGAAATATGTCTTAAGCGAAATGTCTAGAATTAAATTGAATAAACGTAAAGCTTGCTTAACATTTACCTGAATACATGTAAAAATACTTATTTATATGAATGAAATTTCGAAAACTGTATGAAGATTAAACAACCCTTAATTCCGTTTACCTTTATTTTCTAATATATTTTATAAAACACGAATTGAGTAAGAGCTGAGACTCTAAAATCTGAAATCATCTGTAACTTAAAATGAGCAAATCGAGCGAAAAGTAAAATATATTTAAAATAAAGTTAGCTAAGGAAGACCTTTCGGGAATCATTTTCTGTAAATCCTCGGGGTATTCCTGTTCAGATAATCACTTAAACTCTCACCCGAAGTTGTAGCCGTCGGTGCCGATGTTGTCGTTGTCGTAGCGCAGGATAGTGGCATGTTGAGAGTCATCCAAAGGAGCAGCACTGATGGAGGAAACCAGAACGAAGGCGCACACGGCCAGGACACAAATGTTGGAGGACTGCATGTTTAGTGGAATTATTTTTGTTTTGGAGACTTGTCAAAAGGTCCTGCGCTGAGTTTGGGTTTCAGTTTGCACCGCACGCTCCGGTAGTTATCACAATTAGGCACTAACGAGTAATGTGGCGCCCTGTAATGAGTGTTGAGCTATTTATAACTGGCCGGGCCAAAACTCCGAATTTTTCACACACACACCGAGATGTGATCCGTGAAGTTGAGGTGGCCCATAACAAACACCCTAAATGCTAACACAATTATCTTCCCATACGCATATAATTGAAGGCAACTGTGTGTGAGCGTGAGCGTCTTAAGCTTTTAATTGAACAAGCCAAAAAAATATAAACACCATTAAGCGTTTGATGTGCGCTCGAACCTCATCTCAATTGCCTCGCCACGGGAGCTGAAAGTAAAATCAAGTCTGCAGATGATGGAGCAAGTGATAATGAAATGTTTGGGCCTCTTCAAAAATTTATATTTGGCCAATGTGCGTGTTTGTCTATAAGTACACAGACACACACATTTAGATCTGTGGCAATAGGTCAATGGCTATGTTTGCACTTATCAACAAATTGTGTCGAAAAAGATTAGGAGACTCAAAAAAAAAAAATTGGTTGGAAATAAAAACCCCAAGACAAGCGAGCAGTGAGGAAGTGAAGACAGGTTAACTACTCAAAATATGTTCAGGAAATTAAGCAAAGAACGGGAGAAGAAGCGAGTTCACGGAATCGCGGAGTTCCCATGTGCTTGAGACTTAATTGCCCACTAAATAAATACTTAGTTTCTGTTTTTAGAGCGGGTATTTCCTCTATAATGTAATTCTTCAATTACAAAATTGCAACTTGTTGGGAGATATCCAAGCATTTCCGCCCCGAGTTCTGTCATCTGCTGACACAATTTCCGATTAAGGCTGGGCGATTTAGCCTCCAAAAATCTCGAATCGAATCGAAACGAAAAAACCTCCACCGCCATTGCTTGTCAGCTGCATTTGCTGTTCAAGTGAAGATGCGGCACGAGAGATTCAAGATTACGCGGCTCATCATCATCTCCATCTTCAACGCCAGCTCCATCGTCAGCAGCCTGAGTGTTGGCTGATGACCTTAGTCAATAAAATAAAAACGATTTTTTACCAGCTAAACAGACAACAAAAGCCAATACAAAGATCAGCCGACAGAGGCTGGGCTATGCCCTACAATACATCGAAGTGTATGCGTAATGCTATTGCAGGTCATTTGCCGACATTATAAATCATTCAGAAAACTGTAACTGGTACACAGCAAGAAGTTTATTAATCTTAAAATTGCGTAAAAAATATTATATTTGTATATCATGACAACATAATTTAGAGAACATTCAATATTTTAAATTAATTTTTTTTTATTTAAAAATATAGATATAATTTATTATTTTCTAATACATATCGAAACATTAATAGATTTTTGAAATTAATAAAAACATTAATTTATTGTAATTTACATGAAAAATTTGAATTATTTTATAAAAGTGCAAATAATTACTTTAAAATGGTCATACAACTTTTCCTTTTGATTTTTGGGCTTTATACACTTTGTTTGTATTTGTTTAAATTTTGTATTTGTAAATATACATTTTATTAGCTGTTATTATTAACTTAGCTAATATTCTTAGTGCAATGTATTTATTTTTTTTAAATTTTTGATAAATAACACTTTGTTTGGAATTTAAGTTTACGAAAAACTAATCTTATGGTATAATATTGACTTTTCTATTATTTTTTTATGAATGTGTCTTTCAATTTAAGAAATATTTTGAAATATAATGCTTTTTATACAGTATATAACAATTTTGCTGTGTGTGTGTTGGCTAAGAGGGGACTGATTATTTTGCAGTTTACGATTGATAAATGAGAGAGGCTTAGGTTAATTGCCTTAAAATGCCCTTTTTCCCGGAGTTCTCCCTTTCGTTGGCAGCTTTGTGGCTTCTTTATTGTTTTTTTGCTTTTTGGCAACCTTTGTTGGGTGCTTTTTAGCGTTTATTGGACCGGTTTGGTCAACTCCCGTAGATCGGAGATCGGGGGATTGAAGATCGCAGCTACTCGGTTACGGCATACAGTTCACAACTCAGGCGCGAAGAGCAAACGGGTTTCCAAGATAAAAATGTATATGCTAATTCCCTACCTAGAATACAATTCAATTTGGATGAGTGAAAATTTATGCCCCGCCATATACTTGGCTATACACAGATATATATCTATATTCTTTTTATTATGTATTTAATGTCTATTGTCTGCCCGCCTCCTCCAGCTATTCGGTGGTTTTACTTTTGTTTTTTTTTCTAACAAAGTCCAAAGCTATCACGTGATCAGTGCTCCACCTGCGGAAGATGTTCGCCCTGGGCCTGGAAACCGTTCTCATCGGCCAGATAGTTCAGCTTATAGTGGACGCCATCGGGTCCCACCCAACTGACGCTGCCCTGGACGGCGATGGCCTCCTCGGGGGTACCAGGATTTTTCAGGGTGGCCTTCTCCTCACGCGAGATGCCATCGCTGGTCTCGAATCTACAGGGAAATGGCTATGAGCTATTTACACCAATCTTGTCCGTGACCCTGAACCACCTACTTACGAGAAGGCATAGCCATCGCTGTCCAAGTTGGCATTATCGTATCGCAGTATCTGGGCGGGTTCGGTGGCATTTGAGGAGCACGCGCAGAAGCTGGCCAGGATCAGGCCACACAGCAGTATTAGTCCGGCCATCTATCACCTGACCTGTGCCGATCCGCGCATGCGACTAACTCGGGTTGCGCAAAGGCCGTTCAATATATCCACATGCAATCCATACTAAGCCCAACGCCAAGTCAGGCTAATTAACGGAGTGTGTAATAAAATGCGAATACCCAAATAGCTCGAGTAGCATTCAAAAAGCAGGCAAATCCAGTCGAAATGAAATTGAAAGCAAGCGATTTGCTGCGAAGACGCTCCAAAAAGTTCAAATGGTGTTGCCTTAACCCTCTAAAATTGCTTGGGGCGTAACATTGGTTACTAAGGCATTTGACCATTTGGATTATAAAACATATGAGCGAAGGGTTCTTAAATCTGAGAAATAATAGGAAAAATAATATTCTAAGAAATAACATGCTTTATAACTTTTGTTCCTAACTAATAGCTTTACTATATTATGACATTATATTTTGTCAACACTTTCATAATCTATTAGTATTGAAAAGTATTTAATAATTTTAAAAATAACTAATATTCTTTATCTTTAATAAAAGAACTAATAGAAGGAAGAATTCGGGGTATTAGAGAAAATTTTTGCAATCTGGAGACTTAGTCGGAAAAAATTTAAAATGGAATTTATTTAAATAACAAAAAAATAAATACTAATGATGCTTTAACTCTTGACTTGGAATTTAGGGGGTTTTTTGAATCAGCGTTATTGTACATATACTACTACTTCACAGTCAGAAATCGGTTGACAGCTACAAAGATTGGGTGGAAAACATGTAAAGTATTGTACAGATCCCAACGAAGTCTTTATTCCAGTGGCATTGAAATGGGAAATGGCAAAGACTTTTTATTAGGCCGAGCATTTCGCCTGCACTTGAGCCAAATTCGTTGTGACCCAATTCCCCAGTTTATTGACTATTTCTAAGCCCAACTAACGCAACTCATTGCCGGGCAGGGCGCACTTTGTAGTTAATTTGTTGAAGACAAATGAAATCTGTGTATCTTGTCGCTGGGCAATCAATCAATCGCGAAACAGCAAACCGGGCTAAAACCGAGCCGAGGCATCCAGCAACTGGTTAGGTAACCAGTGTGGGTCAAAGGAAACAAAACGAGAAACTGGTTTCTCCCACTCCCACTCTCGCTCTTTTGGGTCTCGGTTTCTTTTGCGCCGATAATTGCCACTTACACGCATTGCATTACATGGCCCAAGGAGTATAAATTGGCCACTCGCCGAGCGAATTGCAAGCATTGACTGCCAACTCCTCGAAACCAGCACTTGAGCCAACTGTCCCAGACAACACCACTCCAGCTCCAAGATGAAGTTCACCATGGCCATCGCTCTCACCTGTCTCCTCGCCTGTGTCCTGGCCGCTCCTCCGGCCAGCCAGCAGGAAGCCCAGGTGCTGCGCTTCGACAGCGACGTCCAGCCCGAGGGCTACAAGTTCGCGTAAGTGGTCACCAGACAGCCAGACACTTAGATATCCAGATACCCAGATTCCCAACTGTGTCAAGGTCGCTTGCTAACTGGTTTCTGGTTTTCTTTAGTGTGGAGACAAGCGACGGCAAGTCGCACCAGGAGGAGGGCCAGCTGAAGGACGTGGGCACCGACCACGAGGCCATCGTGGTGCGCGGATCCTACGCCTATGTGGGTGACGATGGCCAGACCTACACCATTAACTACGTCGCCGACGAGAACGGATTCCAGCCCGAGGGAGCCCATTTGCCCAGAGCCGTTCAATAAATCGAATCCATCTCCCCACAAGGAACCCGATTGAAAGTCAATCGCCAATCATGTTCCAGTCCAGCGTAAATGTGTTAACTATGTTTAAGTTTCGGCGGAAAAGCATCATGCTTTTCGTATTAAAATACCATCATTCATTTCAAGAATTACTCGGGTTTTTTATTTGGGATTTCTTAATACCAGTACGATATTTCCGTACAATTTAATATTTTCAATTTATGAATACTATTTTATAAATTGTAGGTCTTAGCCATAATAAAAATGCTTCTCTCTTTTTTTAAATTTGACCCTTTTATTTAAAACGAGGACGGAAGCTAATACCCTTGCAGACTTTGCCGAAATTGCTAAAACTGAAAAAGTAGCGAAAGGAATAAGGTATACATAAATAAACTAGATTTGCATCGTTTGATGTCAATTGCTTTTATACTGCAAAAATGTGATATAAAAATAGAAAAAAAGGGATATTTTCGCAGCCTTTAACAATTTTTCCTACGGAAGCTATACGATATAGACGTCCGATCGGCAAGCGCTTTTACCCTGATCAAGGTATGCGTAAATAAATAAGACTTGGAAAAATTTATGTCAATAGCTTATACACGGCGCGAAATATTCTAAAAAACATGAAATTTTGACCGATTTCACCGTATTGTTCCTATGGGAGCTATAGGATATAGTCGTCCGATCGCCACGCGCTTTTACCCTGATCAAGGTATGCATAAAAAAATACGATTTGGAAAGATTCATGTCAATAGCTTTTACACTGCGCGAAATATCATCAATTCTTGCAAGATATATCCGATTGTTCCTATGGGAGCTATAGGATATAGACGTCCGATCGGTGCGATTTTCAAATTTGATCTGCGTACACATGTTTTAGGACGAGTGTGAAAGTTTCAGATCGCTAGCTTTTAAACTGAGCTCGCAAACGGTATTGAAACAGACGGACAGACGGACATGGCTATATCGACTCCCCTATTGATCCTGATCAAGAATATATATACTTTATAGGGTCGGAAACGTCTCCTTCACTGCGTTACAAACTTCTGACCAAAATTATAATACCCTCTGCAAGGGTATAAAAAGAGCTTTAATATAAATTAAATATATTTTTGCCAAATTATTAATATTAAAAAATCTACGGATTATTTAAAAATGACACATTAAAAAAATGACATATTAAAAAATGACACATGATTATAAAAAAGTTTGCCTCTTTTCCTAAGCCTCCAATAAAACCGAAGACGATTGCAAATTGCAAATTATTGGTGGGATAAAATAAATAAAATATTGAATTGAATATAAGATGACGAATTGTGTTTAATATTTAAATTTCTCAAAAGCGTGATCTTACAAAACATTTTCGTTCAGTTGCAGTTCCGATTTAAATAATAGTTTTTCATTTTAATTATTGCAAAAGATTTAGAGATGTTAAGCACCATCTTTGTTCTTAATATGGATATTTTTTAATGTTTATAGATAGTCACAAATTGTGTTTTTTTTTTACAGTTCTAAGATTTCCTGTTTCATTTGATTCATTTTTTAGGAAATGCACTTGTTGCTAATTTTCTTTGATGAGCTGCCAATTTGTTACCCCAAAACAGGCTTTTAATTCGCTCCACCTGTGATTTCTTGGATCTATGCTGCAGGGTAACTTACCTGTCCCACTCTGCCACAAAATATGAATACCCATGGATTATCAAAAATGTTTGGCTTGTTGTCTTCGACTTGGAAGCGATTGGATTGATTGATTTTCGAAAAATGCAAATGATGATGATGAGGTATTTCCTAAAAACGGCGTCGATTTGTTTGCCTTAGAAGTTTTTGTTTTACGTTATTATATGTGCCTTGGTATGGTTGTTGTGTTTTTTTTTTCGTGTTGTTTTTGTGCGTTTTCAAGCCAATTTGTTGGCTTTGGTGCTCGGCGTGTAATTAGTCATTTTTATTTTCGACTGACTTTTCTTCGATTGGCGGCCTCCGATCCGACTATATAAACGCCTGGACAGGGCCATAAACATCACAAATCAAGTAACGTTGACTAGCCGTTCGGTCGCAAGTTCCCATCGCATCCTCAACCAATCAATCCAAAAAAACAACCAAACAGCCACCATGAAGTGCACAGTCGCCATCGTCTTCGCCGCCCTCTTCGCCGTCGTCCTGGCCGCCCCCGCCCCCGATGCGGATGCCCAGATCCTGCGCCTGGAGTCGGACGTCCAGCCCGAGGGCTACAACTTTGCGTAAGTCCCCGAAGGCCAGCATGGCCGTGCCATGAATAACCCCGGACTAAACCCCCTTCCCCGACAGATTGGAGACCAGCGATGGCAAGAAGCACGAGGAGCAGGGCCAGCTGAAGGACGTGGGCACCGACCACGAGGCCATCGTGGTCCGCGGCTCCTACTCCTTCGTGGCCGATGATGGCCAGACCTACACCGTCAACTACATCGCCGACGAGAACGGATTCCAGCCCGAGGGAGCCCATCTGCCCAATGTGCCCATTAGCAACTAAGCGGATACGGATACGCTAACCGAGAGCTGTTCTATGTATAATGGTTTCTAGTTGATTATTAAATAAACGCGGCATAAAAATCGAACCAGACCCCGTCTGCTTACTTTCAATATTGATAACTCTCTTTTTGCAGATACTAAAGTCTTTGCACATGTATGTATGTATCACACAAATTTCAAATCATTGGTTTATATACATTGAAATCAGTGCTAAATAAATTCAGGATCATTGTTCTGAAAAAATCTAATTTGACAACCACTAAAATTGAACCGTTATGTGAGTAAAAGAGAATAATAAAATCAAAATGCTGGGAATAACTTTACTTGTTGTAAAATGTTTATAGAGAAAATGACTTACAAAAATGTTAACTGACTTACATATCTATAAAACCGAACTAACAGAGATCAAATACTTACCCATTATTTTGTACTACCATTTGAAGATAATTACACATGGATTTGGCTAAATTGGCAACTTAAGCTTAAGGTTTCTTTTCTCAGGGAATTTTTGAAACTTATTAGCGCATTTCAATATTTACTGATTCATATAACAAATAAATGGGCTTTTTAAAGATATAAAGCCAATAATTTAGTTACGTTAGGTAACAAAATAGTGAAGTTCCAAACGGAATTTTAGCTTGAATTTAATTTTTTAAATACCCAAAGAAATTAAACATTTATTTAAATACATTTTAGTTAAAATAAAAATGTAAAAATAATTCACGAAATACAAACAGTTTACTGAGTCCCAGATTTCTAAAAATGATTAAACGGATTTGTGTTAATTTAAACGACAGGAAATATTAAAAAGAACAGATACAATCTGACTTAGGTGAGATACGTAAAAACGGTTTCATTATTAGCGTGCATTTGTTATCGCGAAAAACGAATCTTCTGATATAATACGTATAAAATAAAGTTTTTTTGAGAGATCAGCGACCGGTGGACTCACCCCTTTCATCACCGTCCAGCGCAGCCATCGAATGCAGCCGGTTGGTCGACAATAGTTTAACGCGACCAGTCCAGTTTGACCGGAAACAATGCTGAAATAACGATGCGCTCATGATCGGCAGAGATCTACATAAATATTAGCAGAACTCATTTGCAATCCGCCGAATTCATTGCCACCTTTGACTTTTGCATTTCGCGAATTTGGCGTATAAAAGCCCCCGCCCAACTGCAGTGGAGCATCAGACAGTCACCAGCTTTCTATCCAGCTCCAACATGAAGTTCCTCATCGTCTTCGTCGCCCTCTTCGCCATGGCCGTGGCCCGCCCCAACGAGGCCCAGATCGTGAGGCTGGATTCCGATGTGCTGCCCGACAAGTGGAGCTCCAACCTGGAGACCAGCGACGGCACCAGCATCGTCCAGGATGGTGTCCTTAAGGACATTGGTACCGACCACGAGGCCGCCGTCGTTCACGGATCCTTCTCCTGGGTGGATGAGAAGACCGGCGAGAAGTTCACCATCACCTACGTGGCCGATGAGAATGGATACCAGCCCCAAGGCGCCCATCTGCCCGTGGCCCCAGTTGCTTAAACTGTCCTCGATCACAAAAAAAAAAAACGAAATTTGTTTATTCTGAGACTAAAATAAATTGATTGTTAATTGCAAATAATTGAAACAGTTTTTGATCATTTGTGGGATGCTCATGAAAAAGAAAAGGTTTTCAAATGTCCTTTGGATTTCTCCTTTATTTTAGCGTCGCTTAAGGATTATTTATCAAAACGCACAGTGTTCCTGTGTGCTGCTGTCATTGAATAAATTGAATAAGATTAAATATCTAATTAAAAATTAAAAAAACAACTTTTTCAGGAAATCTTCACATAACTTAACGGAGCTTCTGTGGTTATTTTTTAGTCCCAAATGTGTTAAAAATGTTTTATAATTAAATACATACTACTACAAATAAACATTCTTTCTAAAAAACAAAACAATTCTACACTACTTTGTTTAGATTATTAAATTATTAATGTTATTTAAATAATCTTCTATATTTGTACATTTTTCTATCTAAGAGGAGAAAAAAACCCAACCGTATATTATTTTTCTTGGGAAAGAGAAAGAGATTTTTGTTTAGCTAAATATAGCTAAACAATATTGAAAAACATTAAACTATTTTATCGAAATAACACTAGTTTCACATTTGTTAAGTTTGATAAGTAACATTTAAATATTTAACATTTAAAAAGATTGACATATTTTATTTGATTAGTGCCTTAATAAAAATTAAAGTACCACTAAATAAATAAACAAGTAATTTTTAATTGAAACATGAGTCAAAGATTTTATACTCTAAAATTAATTTAAAAATTTATTAGTACTTTTTTCCAAAAAGTTTTTATGGCAGCTGTAGAATGAAGCAGCTGTAATATTTTAACACCTGATTGCACAAACATAATAACTACGTTTGGAAAAGTTCAATGTTAAGTATGCCAAATATAAGGAAGTTAAAGGACTCTGTCCTTTGATTAAATACTTGAATCTGTTAAAAAAAAAATTTCGCAAGTATCTTCAAGAACAGCCACATTTAACTGCCATCTCATAAAAAATATAAGATTAAATATGACTTCTTCTGTGCGTTACGAACAACTAGCTAAAGTTAAATTACTTTTTGAAACGGTATACAAATATTAGCAAAACTCATTTGCATTCCGCCAAATCTAGAGCTACATTTGGCATTTGCATTTCGCGACTTCGGCGTATAAAAGCCCCCGCCCAACTGCAGTGGAGCATCAGACAGTCACCAGCTTTCTATCCAGCTCCAACATGAAGTTCCTCATCGTCTTCGTCGCCCTCTTCGCCATGGCCGTGGCCCGTCCCAACGAGGCCCAGATCGTGAGGCTGGATTCCGATGTGCTGCCCGACAAGTGGAGCTCCAACCTGGAGACCAGCGACGGCACCAGCATCGTCCAGGATGGTGTCCTTAAGAACATTGGTACCGAGCACGAGGCCGCCGTCGTTCACGGATCCTTCTCCTGGGTGGATGAGAAGACCGGCGAGAAGTTCACCGTCACCTACGTGGCCGATGAGAATGGATACCAGCCCCAGGGCGCCCATTTGCCCGTGGCCCCAGTTGCTTAAACTATTTAAAAGACTAAAATAAATTGATTGTAAATTGCAAAAGCTCGAAGACGTTTTAATTAAATTGTGGTATTCTTAAAGTAATAGCCACTACATTCTAAAACAAGAGAGAACGCTATAGTCGAGTGCCTCGACTATTAGATACCCGTTACTCAGCTAAATAACTTTAGATTTTGCATTAACATAATGTGAATTAGAGTGACCACAGGAAAAAAGGACAAAAAGTTCAAATTATCAATTTGAATTAGCGTGGCACCATTTTGAAACAAACTTGAGCTGCGTAGGAACTCCTAAAATCTACATGCAAAATGCCAATCTTCTAGCTTTTATAGTTTCCGAGATCTCAGCGTTCATAGGGACAGACAGACAGACGGACAGACAGACGGACAGACAGACGGACAGACAGACGGACAGACAGACGAACGGACAGACAGACGGACAGACAGACGGACAGACAGACGGACGACAGACGGACAGACAGACGGACAGACAGACGGACAGACAGACGGACAGACAGACGGACAGACAGACGGACAGACGGACATGGCTAGATCGACTCGGCTGGTGATCCTGAACAAGAATATATATACTTTATAGGGTCGGAAACGCTTCCTTCTACCTGTTACATATACATATTGCACGAATACAATATACCCTTTTACTCTACGAGTAACGGGTATGAAAACGTAATATGCTTGTAGTTGACCAGGCCGACGCTATCTAATGATAAATATTAGTTATAATACATACTTATTTTTTAAGTGCAAAGACAACGTTGGGAAAAGTTTCAAGCAGATAGCTTCAAAACTGAGCGACTAGTTTGCGTAGAAACGTACGGACGGACGGACAGACGGACATGGCTATATCGTCTCTCCTGGTGATGCTGATCAAGAATATATATACTTTATAGGGTCGGAAATGTCTCCTTCACTGCGGTGAAAATTTTGGACTAAAATTATAATACCCTCTGCAAGGGTATATAAATCCAAAAATATTGAGCCAAAAAGAAGCTAAGATCAAGATTTGAATTGTGTTTTGGTTTTTATACCCTTGCAGAGGGTATTATAATTTTGGTCAAAAATGTGCAACGCATTGAAGGAAACATCTTCGACCCTATAAAGTATATATGTTCTTGATCAGGATTGTAAAGTTAGGAAGTTGGGATTTTCTATGGGTTTTATTTTTATATCAAATTTCATAAGGATCGGCCGACTATATTCTATAGCTGCCATATAACTGAACAATTGGAAGTGCCACTCTTATGAGTGTTAAGAATGCATCATATGAATAATTTTGGAGAATATAATTTACAGAATATTCTGCAAGGGTATTTCAACTTCGGCTCCCCCCGAAGTTAGCTTTCCTTTCTTGTTTATATTTAAGATTTCTCTTCTGGGTTTACAAGTTAATCAAAACTGTTTTTAAAGATTTTATTATCAAATACATACTACTACAAACAATTATTAGTTTAAATAATCTAATATATTTTTCTCCATATAGGAGCAGAAAAAACCGACAAAATACAATACAATAATAAATAACATTAAACTATTTGATCGAAATAACACTAGTTTCACATTGGTTGAGTTTGTTGAGTAACATTTAAATATTTGACATTTTTTCTTTGTTTAGTGACTTAATAAAAATATGTATTAAGCATGTACAACTCAATCAATAACAACTAATGTATAATTGATAGCATAAAATACTAGAAAAGAAATTAGTTTTAGCAAGCCGAAAATTGTATGCTCTTAAAATACATAAAATAGTTCTTATGAAAGCTGTAAAATGTAGCAGCTGCTATATTTTAATACCCTTTGGAAAAGTTCAATGTTAAGTATGCCAAATATAAGGAAGTGTAAGGACTCTGTCCCTTGATTGAATACATGAATCTGTTAAAAAAATTAAGCAAGTATCTTCAAAAAAGATAAGATTAAATTTGACTTCTTCTGTGCGTTACGAACAACTAGCTAAAGTTAGATTACTTTTAGAAACGGTATACAAATATTAGCAAAACTCATTTGCATTCCGCCAAATCTAGAGCTACATTTGGCATTTGCATTTCGCGACTTCGGCGTATAAAAGCCCCCGCCCAACTGCAGTGTAGCATCAGACAGTCACCAGCTTTCTATCCAGCTCCAACATGAAGTTCCTCATCGTCTTCGTCGCCCTCTTCGCCATGGCCGTGGCCCGTCCCAACGAGGCCCAGATCGTGAGGCTGGATTCCGATGTGCTGCCCGACAAGTGGAGCTCCAACCTGGAGACCAGCGACGGCACCAGCATCGTCCAGGATGGTGTCCTTAAGAACGTTGGTACCGAGCACGAGGCCGCCGTCGTTCATGGATCCTTCTCCTGGGTGGATGAGAAGACCGGCGAGAAGTTCACCGTCACCTACGTGGCCGATGAGAATGGATACCAGCCCCAGGGCGCCCATTTGCCCGTGGCCCCAGTTGCTTAAACTATTTAAAAGACTAAAATAAATTGATTGTAAATTGCAAAAGCTCGAAAGCGTTTTAATTAAATTGTGGGATTCTTATAGAGTTAGCTCTCTTTTTCACAACATTCTGATACAATGGAATATGTATGCATATCAACACACCGCCATCTGATGATAAATATTAGTTCTATGTATATATTTAGTTTCGATTTAAAAGCCTTGAATTGACTTTTTATGAAACAAGAAAGAAAGCAAACTCCGGCCAGCGGAAGTTTATTTACCCTTGCAAGTGTTGCAAAATTAAATTTTCAATATTTCGATATTTATATGCATAAGCTCTAAAACAAAGAAGATATTTCTATTATCCTTAAATTTTTTGAATGTTCCAATTAGAATTAAAGACGTAATTCAAAAATTGTTAATAATGACAATATCTCGGAGTAAAGAAGTATAGAAACAACGAGTTATAATTTTATTTTCTTTTTTTCCCGATTTTTCTTATGGGAGCTATATATATACCGATCCAGGCCGATTTGACTTATGTATATACGACCTGTTAAAGAAAGCAGACGGACATTGCAATAGCGAACTGTCTGGTGATGCTTATCGAGAATGTATATACATTATAGGTTCGGATACGTGTTTGTCTTAAAACAAGAAATATTATTGATTAGGCATTGATATATTATTATTATATATCGTTACAGCTAAGCAAATGTTTATTCCGATAAAGATCGATTTTTCATACATTTTATATTGTTCTAATGAAAATTATAAGATTTAGTTGGATGTTTATTAAATTACAACAAAATTTTAAATCGAAAAAAACATCTCTACCTTTCGAATTTCCAAATAAAAAATATCTAAAATATCCTTACTGAAAACTGACTTTAATTATAATAACCCACGCAAGGGTTTATTAAAAGAAAATATGAGGCTAGAAATTAGACCCATGTCGTCTTTTCAGTAGCCATTAAAAAAACAATTTTTATAAGTTAATTATTTTAATATAATTTTTAGCTATAATTATTATTGATTTGTGAACTAAATAATTTTTTTTAAATTATGCTTATAGAAACAACATTTTCATTTAATGATTTAAAGTGTGCGCAGTGTACCCTCATTTAAAATTAAATATGATTTAAATTGATGTGCACAATATATGAACTTGCCTTCTACGATTATGCGAAAAAAATTGGCATGATCTTGGCCTTAGATGTTGTATTAGCAAGTTGTTTTATTGCGGATGCACTGGTCCATCTGGTTCGGCGACAATAGTTCGGAATCAGTTTCGCTTTCAGCTTGAGCTCCAGTTTTGCTGGCTTGGGTATTGAAGTGCAGCCACCGCTTTAATTTCCAGTTTGACCGGAACAGATGCAAATAAATCCGAGATACTATTGTCGTAGTATTAATATCGTTTGGCATAATTTTGGCAAATTCGCTCAATGCCATATCTCACCTTTGACTTTTGCATTTCGCAAATCGCGAATCGTATAAAATACTCCACCCAACTGCAGTTGAGCATCAGACAGTTCCCAGCTATCTAACAAACACCACCCTTCTCCAACATGAAGTTCCTTATCGTCTTCGTCGCCCTCTTCGCCATGGCCGTGGCCCGCCCCAACGAGTCAGCGATCTTGAGGCAGGATTCCGATGTGCAGCCCGACAAGTGGAGCTCCATCCTGGAGACCAGCGACGGCACCAAGATCGACCTGAATGGTGCCCTTAAGGACGTTGGTACCGAGCACGAGGCCGCCGTCGTTCACGGATCCTACTCCTGGGTGGATGAGAAGACCGGCGAGAAGTTCACCGTCACCTACGTGGCCGATGAGAACGGATTCCAGCCCCAGGGCGCCCATCTGCCCGTGGCCCCAGTCGCTTAAGTTGTTCCCCAAGATGCAAATAAGAAAAATTAAATCAAATTGATAAAAACAAAATCGAACTCGCTTTTTCTGCTGGGAAAAAAATCTAGTTTTTTCACCGAATAATTGTTTAATCACTAACTGGTTTAATCATTTAATCATTCAACTTTAAGCAATACTATTGTTTTAAACAGTAATATTTTAAACTAGATATTTTGATAATATGAAACAATAGTATTGCTTAAGGAGTAAAAAATATTATATAATTTAAATTTATTGCTTAAATAACTTAAAACAGAATATTGTTAAGATGGAAACCGCAATATCTTGCTTTAAGGACTAAAAAAATATTTTAAAATTTTAAGGAGTAAAGCAAGACTTTGCGGTTTCCATCTTAACAATCTTCTGTTTTAAGTTTTTTTTTGAAAATTCAACAACAAAACTTTTCTACTTACAGTGGCGTGCATGAGCATGAGTACATGGTTGCAACTGTTGACTGTTGGCTTTTCGTGTTTATTATTTGATTATTTGTTAAAAAAAACAATTTCATTTTCAAAACATCTAATTCTAATTCCATCTGGCATACTTTCTATCAAATGTTCAATTATATTTTTTGGGATAAGATTCCACTACGTGCTAGATTCGTTGCCACAACTCGTGCTGGTTTCCTGGAGCCGCTCAATAGAGTCCCAATCGTCTTTTTACAATTGCTCACAAATCGTCGATTGAATTGAGATCAGGACTTTGTGCTGGCCACTACATCAATATTTTTTTGATCTCCATCATGTTAGAATGTGATCTCATTTTTCTTATACACACAATTTGGAAAATATAGGTCTGCAAAATATGTAATTAGTTTTCCTTTTTCATAATCCCATCTATTTTTTATTGGACCAATGCTTCACCAAGGAAAGCAGCCCCATTCCATTTTCTCCCCGTTGTTTTACGGTTTTGTGTACGTGAAGTTTCTGCAACAGCTCTCCTATCTTCTTCCAACAATATTATTATTCGTCCGACTGGTAACGATTGAATTTAGATTTATCAGTCCATATAACATTTTTCCAGTTGTCCATCTCCAAAATAAGCACAACAAATTTGGGTTCATTTGCTTTGCTAATATCTTTTTTGTGCGGGCCAACAATCAACAGTTGTAAACATATACTCACACTTGCACACCACTGTATATAAACTTAATCAAGAAAAAAAATATAATTTAAAATAATAATTAATTTATACTATAAAGAAAAAACAAGAAAGGAAGCAAGTTTTGGGAAGCCGAAATTAGCATTAAACTAGTTTTGGTTGCTTTACGGTCATAGCAGCTTAAGGCAGTATCAAAATAAGCTGACTATAAATAGACAGACGCTAAAACCTAAGTAGTAAAGTTATCTTTGAGCCTTCAACGATCTACAACGCCCTCAACATGAAATTCGCCATCGTCCTGTTCGCCCTCTTCGCCGTGGCCGCTGCCCGCCCCAACGATTTCAATCCTGCGGTCGTGCACCAGGATGTGGAGATCCAGCCCGAGGGCTTTAAGTTTGAGTAGGTCCCTGAGCGCCAGCAATGGCCGTGCCATGAATAGTCCCCGACTAAACCCCCTTCTCCGACAGATTTGAGACCAGCGATGGCAAGAAGCACCAGGAGCAGGGTCAACTGAAGAACGTCGGAACCGAGCAAGAGGCCATCGCCGTTAAGGGCTCCTACTCCTACACCGACGACGAAGGTAATGTCCACAGTGTCAGCTACACCGCCGATGAGAACGGATTCCAACCCGAGGGTGCTGATATACATAAACCCTAAGTTTAAAGAGTATAAATAAATTGTTAAAAAAATAAATAGTCATTGTTTGGATCTTAAATAATAATTTTGTGTCTTAGTTCTGTGTACAAAGAACAGAATTAAAACTTAATTTATGTTAACAGTTTTAAGTCAGATTTAAAGATTGTAGTACTTTCCTATAATTATTGAATAACATATCCATACAAAGTTAAATTTCATCATTCCAACAACAGATTTAAAAAGACTCCTTAAGAAATCTAACAAGGAAAATGAAAGGCATACATTTTGTTTACGGTTTTAAAAAATATATAAATTTGGTTGTTTGGTTGTTAGGTTGTTTTCGATGGTAATTTGCATATGCCTCTCCTGAATAAGTTCTTGGGCCTATTGGCAAAAAACTCAGATATTTCTCCTTTGAACTCAATTTCTACCCATCGAAAACGTTTACGCTTGGTGTTTTCATTGCAATGGTCATCATTTGTAACTGAGTACCAGTTTAAAAATAAAATTTCAGTACAACATTTTTACAAACAGATAAGTAATTAAGTAAAACCCAGACCATATTCAACAGGCTTATCTAGTCCCTTAATAGTGTGTACTTTAACGAGGCGATCGGCTATCTTAGCTATCTTAGTTCTTACGAAAACTACCTCTTGAGGCCGGAGACCACCGATGGCAAACGTTGGTACCGAGAACGAGGCCAGCGTCGTTAAGGGCTCCTTCTCCTGGACGAGCCCAGATGGTAAAGCCATCACCGCCAACTACTTCGCAGATGAGGACGGATACTATCCCCAGGGTGCTGATATTCCAGTTGTCGCCTTGTCGTAAGTTTATTGAGTTTAAATAAATTGTTTACAAAAAAAATACTCTACTCTTTATATTAGCTCGTACTCATTCATGGTCGATGATGGCCAGAACTACACCATCAACTACACAAAATCCAATAATGTTTAAATGAATATTTATTTTGTGCTTTCTGAAAGGTAAAGTATCGGAAATATCTGCGTTTATTTACCTCTGCAAAACGCAAGAGGTAAAGTTCAAAGCGCAGTAAATTAAAATCGTACCCTTGTGAAAAACAAACGTGATCATTATTGGCATTAAATAAAGATAAATCGAAACCCAATTTGTGTTACCAATTGCAATACGTTAGGGCTTGGTTAAACCCTAGGGAAGCTGTTTCAGTTTCCGGTAATTATATTCCATCATAGGTAAATGTACCTCTGGATAACACTCAGTACTACTGAATAACAGCAGCATTCTATCGCAGTTAGAATTATATACCTGGCCAAAAGCCGCACAAGCAGACGCCTCACGGCTGACACTGGAAAGCCCTTTGCCCGTATCAGCATTATTGAATAAAGTAATTCGTGGCTTTGCCTTACCTGGTTGTTATCCAGTGAGCCCGTCCAAGCACCATATAACCTGTGAAACCTCAAATACTTAAACTTTAAAGGCAGTTCTATTTCAATAGGAAATAAGTGTGCGCAGCAGCCTCGGATCAGGATACCTAGCTCATCAATTAAATAATAAGAAATAAATAATAAATTAATTAATCTAGGCCCGGCGAAGGCCCGGTGTAACTTTTTTAAAGTTACAGAACAAAATTCAAAAACCGCTGTCATTATTAATCAACCTAATATTATTAGGTAAATCCTGAATATAGTAACCCTCCAAAATATTTCACCCTCCACTTAGCAATAAAAACAAATGGATATGGTAAGACTAACACCAAAAGAACTACGATTTTAAATTTGTACGGTGGATGTGATTCTTTCACGACTTGGTTGATGCGGATAAATTTGAGCGTCTTCTGTTAACGGAACAAAAAACCGCCAATTTTATTTCTAACTTATTTAAGTTGTATCCTTTGGCGGTGCTTAACTTGACGTGGCGAATATAAAGCATAATAAATAGATGCCGCACAAAAATCAACGGGACAACGTGCTGAAATTCACTGGCACCAATTTAAAGACCATGTATATTGGTAAAAACGTAGATCATGGTTTCCTACAAGTCAATTTGTATATATGCCACTCATGCTAACTATAAATCGGTAATTACGAAATAAGTATTTCTGTTAAGTATGAGTACCATATGTTTACAAATTGGTTTAATGTTACTCCCATTTCTGTCTAATTTCACTGAATTATAAAGAGACTCAATTGCTTAGAACATGTATAAGAATACTAGATTTACAAATAAGCGAAGGACGCTATCACTATATAAAATAATGATTCCCATTTTTATATTCATAGGCAGCGATATTTTTGTAAGCCCATTATCAATTCTGTTCCCATACACTTGTTGCAAGCCAAACAAATAAGTATTTTTTTATAAACAATTTATTTAAACTCTATAACCTTAGGCAAGGGGGGCAACGGGCAAATGGGCACCCTGGGGCTGGAATCCGTTCTCATCGGCGATGTAGTTGACGGTGTACGTTTGACCATCATCGGCCACGAAGGAGAAGGAGCCCTTAACGACGATGGCCTCATCCTCGGTTCCAGCGTTCTTCAGTTGACCCTCCTCCTTCTTCGACGTTCCATCGCTAGTTTCCAAACTAATTATGAAGTCAAAGTGAGTAAGGCATCCTTTTGAAGAAATTCTCAATCAACTTACGCATATTTGTAGTTCTCAGGTCCAACATCGGATTCCGATCGCAGGACTTGAACCTCAGAAGGAGGAGCGGCCAGAGCCACGGCGAAGAGGGCGACGAAGACAATCAGGAATTTCATGGTGATTCTTGGTTGGTGTTTTGATCTGCGGTTATCGAACAGTTCGCGACGAATGATGCTGTCTGATGGCGGGGTAACCCTTTTTATAGATGGATGGCCACAATATTTTAACCGAGCCCAACGCGCCTAAACTAGTCAAACTTGTGGCGTAAAAAGCATAATGTGATAAATTTCGGCCTACAACTGAATCGTTAAAAGCCTAATACGATATGTAAATCGACCATCTTCTTTAGAGTTTATCGCATTCGCTTTACAGCTGATTTCTGTCAATCTGAAGTCCAAAATAGAAGATTGCTATTAAGTAAACCATATCATAAGATCGCCGACTAGGCTGTTATTTTTATACTAAATGTATACATATTCAATACAATTTGTTGTTGGCCGATCTATTAACGCAAAATTGTTAATAAAAACATGGATATCTGTTCATTGATTGTTTATTGTTCTTATAAAATAAATGTTTTAAGTTGCATAGTGATTAGTTTAGACAGAAACTCTTATTTTAACTTTCAGCAAACTTGTAAGTTAATCAAAGGCATAAGAGCAAAATATGTAAGACTTAAACAATATAAATGTAAGTATATAGATATGGGAAATTCCTCACACAACCTTAAATACATTTCAATATTCTTTATCAACATTTCTTTTTGATCGTCCACACCTTGAGAAATTTAGACATCTGTATGTTATACCGAGCGATAATAACATTTAAAACGAAATAATATTTGTTTGCATAAACCTATGTCCGCTTAATGGACAACCTTTCTACTAAATTGAGCATACAATTTTTCAAACCAAAGAAGTAAATAATTCAATAAATAATAAATAAAATAGGTACTGCATAGTTAAAAAAGTAGACTTAGCAGATAATAGAACGTTAGTTTGAGTGAGACTTTTTCTCTTCAGCATTTTTTTGTGTTTGTATATTATTATACGAATTAGTCCGAACGATTTCAGCTTAATTTTGTCTACAATCATCACTAAACTCAAAAGTAGTTTATATCGGCAAAGCGAAGATGAAAACTTATTTGGGCTTATATAATAAGTGTATGGAAATTCGATCAAAAAGTCCAGCAATAGAAATACCCTTAGGGTTTGACTCACATGGAAATTATTATTTGTTGTCTTTAGTATGTATCCTCCAAAATTAAATACATTTCTCATCATTTTTTGGCGCGTTTACTCCTCAAATGTAGGTATCGATATTCAATTAACACCGCCCGACCTCAGATCGAGCTCGAGCTAGCCTAATCGAGCTGAAGAGTGTTAATTGCATTAGGTATTGTCTCAGCCTCCGCTGTTGCAATCCTATAAAAGCCACCTTAGGTTGCGCAATTAGGCAGTTGGAATCTCAGTACATCCGGACGCCTCTAAGGAACCACTAGCCAAGATGAAGTGCCTCCTCGTTTTTGCCTGCCTTTCGATTGCCCTTTGCCTTGCCGCACCTGCTCCAGAAGCTGATATCATCGAGCTGGTATCCGAGGTCAATGCCGATAACTATAACTATAAGTTCGAGACGAGCGATGGCACCAAGCAGGAGCAGCACGGTTCACTCAAGAACCTGGGCCCCGAGGAGGATGCCCTGCAGGTGGCCGGATCCTATAGCTACACGGGAGACGACGGACAGACCTACGCGATCACCTACGTGGCTGATGAGAACGGATTCCAGCCCCAGGGCGAGCACATTCCCCACCTCTAAATTTGACTAGTACTTTCATGGTGTGTAACTTAACTAGAGTTGAAATTATTTCGGGTAACAAATCTTCAGACTTAATATAAGAACAATATGAGTGGAAAACCAAAATATTAATAATACCATGTAATTATGTTTTTGTAAATTATAAATGAATTTTAAAGAAATATTAAATTGAAAAACCATAAAATATGTGTTTTTTACTTTAAATGTAATCAATTTTATACATGAACAGTTGGACTTTATACTAAAAGAAAATGAGAGCACAGCTCTCAATTAAATATTAATAGTTCCTTAGAAAGGTAAATATTTTTCAGACAGATCCTCGCAAGGGCTTGTCAAAACTGAAAATAGCATTTTTTTTTATTTATTATCTGGTTACGTGGTAAAAAATAAATAAATTATAAAAGCTTTATAAAATTGCAACAATTTATACAGACGACCTTTGATTTTAATTGATACCTTAATAACATGAACCCTTTCTATTTTCGTCCGATTTTTATAACAATAACACTGTAATTCTGGAATGTACAACATCACTATATATATGTGTTAAAAACAACAAAGTTCCAATTTTTTTATTTATGCATCTTATTAAAATCACGTACATATTTATATAAACAGCCATCTGCTCATTGGTCCCAAAGTTCCAATTCATATTCAATAGCTTTTTGTCTCTTTCCTAACCAATTTTCTTGATTTTGATAGGCTTTAAACTAGATTAGGCTACTTTAGGGCCTATAAGCTTAGGTCAGCATCAAAATAAGCCGACTATAAAGTGTCAGATCTAGGGCTTAAGTAGTATAGTTATCTTTGAGTCTTCAACGATCTACAACGCCTTTAACATGAAATTCGCCATCGTCCTGTTCGCCCTCTTCGCCGTGGCCGCTGCCCGCCCCAACGATGCCCAGATCGTGAGGCTGGATTCCGATGTGCAGCCCGAGATGTGGAGCTCCAAACTGGAGACCACCGATGGCACCAGCATCAACCAGAATGGTGTCCTGAAAAACGTTGGTACCGAGCACGAGGCCATCGCCGTTAAGGGCTCCTTCTCCTTCGTGGCCGATGATGGTCAGACCTACACCATCAACTACATCGCCGATGAGTACGGATACCAGCCCCATGGTGCCCATCTGCCCGTTGCCCCCGTTGCCTAAGTTTATAAGAGTTTAAATAAATTGTTTACCAAAAAATACTCCAAATTTAAATGAAAGGGTACAGAAAATCAAATAATGTTTTTATCCAGTAAATTAATATTTATTTTGTGCTTTCTGAAAGCCAAAGTATCAGAAATATCCGCGTTTATATTAGATTTGACATGTTACCTGAAATGTATATTCTCGGACCAATACATTTTTAATATCTAAAATGCTCTTGTAATATTCCCAGGACTAAAACACATTTTTTTCGAGAATCGAAAGTTCGGCTTTAATGCGAGTAACAAGGAATTAAGAAAACAATGCACGACACTGACTTGACTGACTGATCGACTTACAAACTGACTGACCGACTAACTGCCGCGGGACAGGGGACAGCTCCTCCGGATAGGATTTCAGCACCTCACTCTATGGCCGGGTTGCTGGTGGTTGTGGGGTGGTTTTGAGGGGGTGTTATTTACAGGATCGCCTCGGAAGCGATGATCTACTTGGGCAGATGGGCACCCTCCGGCTGGAAACCGTTCTCGTCGGCCACAAAGTTGATGGTGTAGGTCTGGCCATCGGGAGCCACCCAGCTGACGGAGCCTCGGATGGATATCGATTCGTTCTCGGTGCCCGCGTTGTTAACCACGCCCTCCTCCGTGCGAGTGGTGCCGTCACTCAGTTTATAGCTGAACTTGTAGCCGCCGATGCCAATGTTCTCCGAGTCGTACTCCAATACCTCCACATCGTTTTGGGGCCGGGCACTGGCCAGCGCCAGGAGCAGGGCCATCGAGCCAACGACTAGCATCTGAAAGGCAAGAGATTAAGTATCCTTTCTGGCGCACTGGGCCTCGGCCTGGTCCTAATCCTGGGCCTTGGAAATCCAAGTTGGCCTACCAATTTCATCATGTTGAGCGGTTCTCGGATTGCAGATTCCCCTATGCGGCTGGACAAACTGGCGGTTGTCTAATGGTGGTGTTGCATCGGCGTCCACTGCATTTTATACTGCAGTCGCAGCCGCATTTGCAAACGTCATAAATTTGCACAATTGTGGAAGAAGCCAGGCAGCTCAGTGGCTCCGGCGGTCGCCGGCTAAATGTTTTTCTCTATTTTTATTTTTTTTGCCTTGTTTTTCAATTGCCAGCGTTGCACCAAAGTCGCCAAAGTCGCTGCGACAAGTAACATTTAAAGCGGCTTTGTGCAGCGGCGTACTCATCCGAAAGGTATTATTGCTCTTCACCCACACTCGAAAACCATTCTTCTAAGTTGTATTTAAGAACCAAAGCTTTTTGTTCTCAATAACAGTTTTTTGGTATTACGAAAAAGGAGGCTTAAATATCAGTGTTTGAATATAGAAAGAATGAAAAGAATGTACAAAAAAATTATCAATTTTTACTCATGAAATTTAATTTTATTTCAAATATATCAATTAAGCTGATCTAAACAATTTGTTTGCTATGCCAAAAAAAATTATATCACTCTATTCTAGTTGAAAATATTTGTACAATATCCCTATTTGACAAACTGAACCAAATTAAGATTCTTATTTAAAAATGACACACAAATATAAATATTTTATTTTAATTTAATTTAGATATGGTTCTTAAACAAATAGAAACAGAGTCTTTTATAAAGTTGTTAAATTTTAAAGTCCCTTTTTCTCCGAGTGCTGAGTAGCAGCTTTAGAAAACTCGAAAAAGTTCACGATTCAAGAAGATGTATTGGGGAAAAGGTTGCGGTCTGATTGGGCAGCTCCGGGGAAATACCGAGCCAAGAACTATGGGAAACAGTAACCAGAACTGCTCGGCGCCCAGTTCGAACCGAAATCGACGACGGCTCCCAGCCAGATACTCTAAGTTCAAGTGCTGTCGACGCCAATTGGCAGGGCAGCAAGTTCAAGCCGCGGACACGAAGAACACGAGCTGAGGCTGAGCCATGTGTGATGGCCAAAGTGCACGGTGGATGAAACTTTGGATGGAGATGGAACCGCAGGTTGACTTTTGGCATATGCAACGGCCTTTACAGCGCTCGATTGATGTGCCTGCCCGGTAACAAGCGCCAAAAGCAGTTGGCAGTATATAAAAAAAAAATACATCGAATAACCTACAACTACGGCTCGCATGCAATTTAAATCTCTGACTTTTGTTGTTTTTCAGTCGCCGTTTCTGTTTGCCAATTCATGCCACCTTCGTTGACCGCTACAGGCCGGTGAAGAAGCCTCAGCAGCGGATCTTTAAAGCCGGTCGGTCGGGTTTTGGCTTTGGTCATCGGTCGGCCTCTGGTCGACCACGGTTCTGCCCCAGCCTCCTCCACTCAAATTGTGCCAACAACTTTATTTCTGTACCATAGGCAGGGTTTAGTCCATTGATACTGGCATTTCCTCAAATGTCGTTTTGCGGTGCAACTTCTTGCCAGATTCTTTGCCAGCTGCAATTTGACATTTTGGCATTTTTCTCTTGATTTCTTGGCATCGAATGATTTAAGCTAAGCCAAATGTTCGATTTGAAGAATAATTAAAAATTTTAGAGTCCATTATCAACAAATATATAAATATATTCAATAAATTAATGCAAATTAAAGACTACTCCTGAAAACCAAAACAACAAACATTGATGTTATAAAGTTCTGTTGAGCAAAATGGCATAAAAAATTACTACCATAGTGGAAAAATGATGATTTAAGCAGAAATGTCAAACCAACACTTTTGTACTTAATTATACATTAAATAGAAAATGTGTAATTGCCTCTGCATTAAATAGCCTATTTAATATGTAAACATCTTTTAGAGTACCTTACATCAATAAACTGTAAAAAAAAGGCTTCTGAGGCTTTTAATCTTTAATATACCTTAAAATAAATGATTTAATTCTCAATTTCTTGGATTATATTAACCCAACTTTAAGTTATAATCAATTGGGATCGTCCGCCTACAATTTGTACATGAACTGAGGGCATTGGAGCCCTTGAATCGGATTTGGTTCCATTCGATTCGTGACTGCATAATATTTATTATTTGGGTCTCTTTCCGCAGCTTTTCGAGGGCATCTGCAACGAACTGCATTTATCATGCTGGATTTGCATAATTAATATGGCTTTGATGGATGGCTTTGAGTGCCAATCGGAATGATTGCCTCTGTGTGCGGGGGCGTTGTCATTCAGTGAAGATAATTCGACAAGTTTGGGCTGAGTTCTTCCTTATACACAATCATTTGCATAACTGTTCTAATCAGCGGCAATCGACAGGTTTTCAGCTTCGATAACTTCTGGTTCGGACTGTCGCTTTCAATACACAAACACGAGATGGCCGATGCCAGACAGACATAGCCGCATATACAATAGAAATTTATGTAGATGCGTCTTCACATTTACGTCTTCAAGGTCAGCGCCAGATGCTGCTGCCATCGGTCCGTCCGTCTGTCCGTCGAACCATCTGCCCGCCGGTCCGTCCAGCTGTCCGTCCACCTGTCCGTCGCCCATTCAGCTGCCGTTTCGGCCCGGCTTTCGTTCGTTGCCAACTCGCACGCACCGCACACCAAACTTGGCCAGACCGGCTTGAACTCGGTTTTTGGGATTCGGCTGTAGGAATCGAACTCGTATTCGTGTTTTTTTTTGTCTTCTTTTTTTTTACCCATTTTCATGTTTAGCTCGTCTCCGCTCATATTTGGCTGCCGCTTCAACTGGGTCTGCAAAATTAACACTTGAGCGTTAATGGCAATGTTTTAATAGCAGGGCCCCCTCCCGCTCTCCCTGTTTCCCCCTCAATTCTATAAATATGTAAATGTCACATTGCTGTTGTTTTTTCATTTCTTTTTTATCACTTGACCGCTTGTTTCGTAATATTTGCATTTAGCTAGAAACCCAAAAAACAGAAACGGTTTTAGAAATACTTCTGCTGACACCTGACATTAAGAATCGTGCGTATAATTTAATTTTATTGCAGGCTTTGACTATATTTGTAAGTTTTTTTTATGTGGCCTGAGTGCAACGCATCTTGAGTCTTTGAAAAAACAAAACACTGACGCAAAGATTGATTGCCGTGAATAGCCATTAAATTTAAATGTGTTTACCTCAGCAGTTTGTTTTTAAATAACCAGAATAATTCCAACGAAATAGCAATCATACTTTTCTGAAGTGGAAGATGGTATACAGTTCAAATGGAATGTGAGAGGATTGCAATTATATATTCAAACAAATTTTTCTCGTACATTTTTTCTTATGTACTGTAAGTTGTCAACATTTTTTGACTTTTATATTATATTTTGTAAGTCGTTATTTCTTGTTTTAGAAATCACTTGTCCTGAAATGTTTATATGGGTATTTCTTAATATCAAAAAAGTTTATCGTCGTTTTAGGCTTCAAATCAAATGACTTAAGCAAAAAACCTGAGCACCATTTTTCACATACTTTTAGGCAAAATATTAAATACCTGATTCACATTTATTGTTAGGCTAAGTAGTTTAAACTAACAAAATTTATAGGAATTTTTTTCCATTTGTTGCAAAATAAACAACAATTTCAAAAGTTTTGTAGCTTGAACTAAAATGAAAAATCGAAATACTAGCTTTTAGCGGAATTAAAAGACAAACTTGGGTTACCATTTAGTTAATCTTCACATATTTTTAGGAAACATTTAGATGACTTAAGTAATATACTAAAAGACAGGCCCACAAAAACTTATTTTTATTTTGTATATCACTGTGCCCACGTAGTAACGAAGTGTACCAGGCTTATTTTAATTTATTTGTTTTAAAACTTTTAAGTCGATTTTCCGATAAATTTTTCGATTGTTAGTACGGCATGTTTATAAATTTGAAACCGTATTCTGAAATGGTTTATTACTACATATTAGTATATGTTTTGAAAAATAAATCGATAACTGCAATAGAAGACAGTCTAGGTTGACTCTCCTTTCGTATACATACTCGGAAATGTCTCCTTCTCTGCGTTGCAAACTTTTGTCCGAAATTATAATACCCTCTCCAAGGGTATATCAAGATTTTGGGGCTTTTTCAAAAATGCGAACTAGGATCAGATCAAGATGCAAATTTCAGGATACGAATCCGGATTTCAAAATACAGATTCAGAGAACCGGATTCCGATTCTCACATCAGGACCCGGATCTTCAGATCATAAAAATCAAAAAACTTAAGCGCACATTTTAAAATTTAAATTGTATGTGACCCATTTTATGTATTATTTTTTGGACTGTTTTACTAATATCGGCTAAAAACTCGAAATTCGGGATTTTTAAAAGCTATCACGAATAAAGTTTTTGATACCAGTCCTGGCATATATTAAAATTCAAATATTTATATGGTAATTACAAAATTGTTTATACTTTATCAAACCAGTATGCACCGAGATGAAATGTGTGGTTATAATGCATTACATAAAATGATTTGCAAAAACTTATTTTGTTAAAAATATCACAAACGAAACATTTTTCTAAATGTCTCTCACCTTTTATTCATTTATTAAAAGCTGTAAATCCTCTCCATATCCACTCGGCAAATTTGTCCATCATTTTCTTAATCACCACGACTTTATGTAATCCGCTTTGCATATTGTCAACACAAGTTCCCTTGCACAATAAACAAGTTTTCAAAGTGGTGGTTATTTTGGATCGATTGTTTTTATTGCTTGCAAATTTATCATCTCAACTTATATACTAGCCTTAAACAGTGGGCGAACTGTTGTAATAAATTCGTGATGTATATCCATAGGAATTTTCCCTAAGGCTGTTTATCCTGCCAGGGAAGAGAGAGATTTTCCGGACAGTTTTCGCACCTTAAGACCCTGTTCGCGAGAAGGTCGGTGGTTTTTGGCCAGGTTGTTGGCATTCTCCAGATCCTGAGCGGCCGAAGTACCACTCAGCACTTTGCCAATCTCATCCCGGAAAGTTCCATCCGGAAGAGTGTAACTGAAAGTAGAAAAATTGCAATTAGTCATTTTGAAACGCGGAAAAATATTGACTTGAAATAAAAATCAATACTATTAAATTCAATTTGCCCAATCACTGAATTTTTCTATTCATTTTTTGCGGAATTTATTATGAAATGTTTTGCTTTAGAGCCATAAGCAATGGGCTAAATATGTTATCAAAACTCGTTAATTCAGTTAAACATTAGATTTTCTTTTAAAAGTAATAAATTCAAAAATAATATGCATTATTGTTGAACTTAAGTGTTGAAATATTAAGAAAAATGATAAATACCACCTTTTATACACACTTGTTAAAATAGAAGTTAAAATAGAAGTGTGTATAAAAGATGGTATTTATCACCCTATTATAGAAACTTTCGTAAGAATGAAATTTGTCTGTAAATGTTTAAAATATATAACAATTTCTTTGTGCCTCGCGTAGCGTAGTTTCTAATTTGTGTAGTTATGATGGCAATTGATTTTAACAACATTTTTCATTTGCTAATAATTTTAGTCCATAAACCTACTTGAACTCGTATCCCTCCCGGGTTGGCGTATAGCTAAACTGCTCCAGGGTGACATCTCCCAGTTTGATGTCGATCACAGTGCCAGGTGGAAAGGAGGCGTAGTTGAAGTTGGCGCCGAAAAGGACACAGGCCACCAGCAGGATCAGTGCCTGCACCAGCTTATTGTTGATACTCAGCCCATTGCGAGCTTCCTTTTTGCCTTGACCGATGCGGCTTGCCAACGGAGACAGACTCATTGTGGATCGTTAGTTGGTGGCCTGTGGAGAAACACGAGTTTGGGAAAACACAACTGGCAACCAAGGCGGCTGGGAGCTTAATGAAGCGTCTTCTTCGAGGCCACTGGCATAAGACACCTGTGGGCCCATAATGAGCTGTTGGTCCAAAACAAAACGGGCACTGCAAAATGCTGAGTAAGCTTCGCCCGAAGAAGCGGGTTGCCCAATTCCTCGACGCTGAATAGAGATTTGCATAACGAAAGCAAAAGAGTTCCACGGGTCGAGCCACAATTTGGTGGCGACTCTCAAATATGTGCATTACATTACAAACGCCGTCAAATTGGAAAACTAATCGGCCTAACCCACGGAAGAAAGTCCGAGTTGGGTAAGCAGTGACTAATAAATACCCTTACCTAATTTTTAAGAATTGCTACCATCTACTCTGTTTCCAGAAAAATTAATATAATTACATTTTTTATCACAACAGTAATGTGTTTATTATCAAACGTCTCAGAAAAATCATAATTTCGTTACACAAAAATAGTGGAGAAAGTTTTTTAAATAATAATCTTGTTTTAACTTTGCCTAACTTACAAAAACAATCTCAAAACCTTCTATTTTTAATATTAATATTTTTTACTCAAAATCCAAGCAAACTGCTTAAAATAGTCCAAACAACCCAAGCCAGTTTTAGAGAAAACGTAAGCCATTATTATGCTGTTGATGATGTTGCAAGCTGTCTATCTCGAAATGATTAAAGACTAACGAGCACGCCCAAACTCATCTAAGCTTTTTCTAGCCAAGTGTGCCACCATTAAATAAAGAGCTTTCGAGCCACGCTTAATACACTGATAAATTATGCAGTTTTTTATTTATCTATCACAACAGAAATAAAAATGTTTGATTAACTCTTATCCGGTTTGATTTTGTGAGCGGTCACATAGGGCTGGAAACCGTTTTTGTTGGCCTTGTAGAGGACCTGGTACTCATAGCCATCGGCCGAGATGAAGCTATAGCCACCTTTATATTCCACAGGCTTTTGAGTTGTCACTTCGTTGGCCTCCTTATCTGTTTTCGGTTTGACTGTGTATGTTATAGCCTCATTTCTCCGGTGACCATTTTCTGTGTGGAATCTTTTAGCGCAAAAGGTATTTTTTGAAATATATTCTGCCACATTAACTTTAGTAACTTTACCCAAATTGTAGCGCCTCCTCTCGTTCACCCTTCTCCAAAGCCGCTGATGAAACTAAAGCCAACAACGCCGCCATTAACAAGATTTGGCAAATCTGTATGCAAGCATAAATACATTAAAATGATATAAAGAAATCAAATGGTCTTTAGAGCTGTACCCACCATATTCATTTTAGTTTTATTTTGTTAAGAAAAAAATAAATTATAATTTAGTATTGCTGGAAACTCTAGAGCCTCGTTCTTGTCCGCTTCGTTGGCCGATTTCAACTGAAGATGTTCTGCGAGATGAGCCCAGCAGCCAAAATAAGTCAAAGAGATCGGAATAATGAAAACAAATATCTGCGCAGCTAGCTATTTAACAGTGAGTCGTATTCCGAATAGGATTACGTCATTGTTTATGGCCCAACATTTGTTCTAAGCTGCCAAAGAAGCACAAAAAGAAAGGCGATTAATAAAGTCATTATACAAATAATATGACTTTTAAATGCTCTTTAAAGGGCTTAGTTCTAATTTAATATATTTACTATATTTCTTTAGTCATCATCAGCAATTGTCCATGCTTTATTTTCTGACAAATATTTAAGTGTGGAATATTAATTAAGCCGATATTTAAATAATACATTTTTACAAATAAATTAGGTTAAATTAAGTTCAAAATAAATAATAATCATTATAACCTTTTGATTTGATTACAAAAATGTTTATAAGCCCAAAACACACCTATAAGTTAAGGTATATTTCAGGGTATGCTTTAAATTTAACGGTTAATTTAAAGGCTTCAACACAAAACATTTGTGGGTTTGTAAACATTGTATTATAATATATTTGTGAACACTCCTCAATAAATTTATTTTTACTGCAGACTAATTTGAATACTTTACTTCATTGAAACCATCTGATGAGTCAAATCGGGGAAAATCCGTTGGCAAACACATTATTTTAATATTCGCGATAGAACTTATTTAATAGCGCCGACAGTTGCACAGATTCCCGCGCGTCATCTCATATGGAGGCTGTCAGCGAGGGCCAGTGGCCAATTTATCAATGGATCTCATCTGAAAATGTTTATTTAAGCGATACGAGGAACTTAATCGGCCAACCCTCGCAAAAACAACGCCAAATCGCAATCAGATCGTTCCGCGCTGTCAAAATTCGCTTTATAAACGCGAATGCGGGCGTGGAATATGTGCCATCGGTGCGTGGCTAACTGAAAACCAAAAGCCGAGCATCAAGGACCAAGGACAAAGGGCCGGGGACCGACAATTGTTGGTTTATGCAGCCGGTGCAGCCAGGTCCTCCCCGGTGGTTGCTTGGTCCCGAGCCAAATCTTGCAGCCCGCGGCACACAGCTGACGGCCGGAACAGGTTCACAAAGTCCACACTCCACCTCCACTCGCGAATCCTGAATCCTGGGAGCGCGTCAGCTGTGCGCCAGCACATTACAAGTAGGACAAGCTGCAAACGACATTGCCATTAGCTCGGCCTTTTCCTCGGTCCGTCGAACGGGGAAGGTCCTTTATTAGCGGCATCCACGGCAGGCACAAGTTGAGCTACCAAATGATAAACACACACAACAGCAGCCGCAAATACGCACAGTGGAAAATATAGGAACATTTAATAACTAAGAACTTAAATAATCTAATTTGCAATCAACACTAAAAAAATCAATCATGATCGCAAATAAAACTTCCATTTGTTTACAGTGATACACTACCAAACAAGTAATTTAGTATTTCATATTTATTCATTACTTTTTTGACAGCTCTAATTTAAATATCCTTTAGATCATTTGTTTTCAAATATTAAGCTAACAAAATTGTATCCTAAAACTTATCTATTTCAATTTCTAGAAAACATGTGAAATTAGGGAGCCATACAAACAAAAAATTTAAAACTTTTTAATCTAAAAGAATTTATTATAGAAGCAAAATTTTAAAGATTTCATTTATTTAAAAAACTTGTTTTTAAGCAGCCAATGTTATTTTTTGCCTAGCCAACGGGGTTTTAAAAATACTGCATAATTAGACACGTTTAATTCTAGATGTTTTTTATTAAGCTAGCACCACTGTGCCCAGGCTGCCAAAAAGTTAATAGACGATTGACTAAAGCCGACAACCCTGCCGTTGTAGTCGGATGTTGTGCTCAATGGTCCTGCGTCCTGAATGCGGAATCCCGAGCCCAAGTCTTAGCACCCCTTGGCAACAGGCAAAGTGCATTAGACAGGGGATCGGGCGGGGTTGAGTTCGGTTTTTTGGGATGGGCTGCGTTGGTTGTGCAGGTGTTGCCCGATCCTGTTGAAAATTGCTTTTGAATTAAAAGTTTTTGCTTGTGGCCGGGCGGGTTTTGTTGTTTTTAGCGATTAGCTGAAGGGGTGAGGCTGAGGGGTCGGGCATCGAGATTGCACACTCAATTTATTAGCGCTTTGTCAGTCTTTCAGCTAATCGGACGGCTCTGGGGATTTCTGCACTTGCACTTGCAATGGCCCAGTTATTTGGTTCTGTTTTCAATTTCGTTGTGTTTTCAATTCCAATCGGAAGCCGCGGCACGTGACTGCTCCACTGGGGTCAAGGGGTCGCGGTCAAAACCACCTGTGGCTGGTCATATAAAACCCAAGAGCCGTTAACAGCCAGTCACAGTTTGAATTTGAGATGAGGCTGACCACTTTGCTAGCTCTGGCTTGTATCGCTTGTGGCTACGTTTCGGGCCAACCGGCGGGTTATCCGGATGCTCGTCCTCCTCCGGCCACTTATCTGCCTGCCAAGCCACCAGCTCCACCACCTCGTCCTCCGCCGCCGCCGGCCAATAGCTATGGTCCCCCCAAGAACGGCAATGGAAAGCCACCACCTGCTCCACCCAAACCCAATAACAGCTATGGACCACCACCCAAAAATGGCAATGGAAAGCCTCCACCCAGAAATGATTACTTGCCACCAGGTAACGGCAATGGAGGATCCTCGGGAGGCGGAGGAGGAGGTCCGTCAGGCGGTGGAGACGTTATACCCATCATCAAGCTGGAGTCCAAGGTCAATACAGATGGTTCTTACAAGGTGAGCCCGCGGAACTAAGAACTTCAACATAAATTATGATTTATATTACTTATTTCATTGAACATTGCTTAATATTAATATCTTAATGCAAAAATCTCATACGTAGTAAATGTATTAATGTTCATAATTATTTACAAGGGACTGCAAATAATAATTATTCATGTGTTTTTTGAATCAAAAATTCATTCATCATCAGAGAAACGTCATATTTATCCTCTTCGGTAAAATTAAAGGAAGAATATTATTCCCTTTAAAGGAAGAATATTATTACCAAGAATGTTAGTAATTGTTGATTACAAAACTATTCGTCAAAAAATATCATAAATAACCTTAATATTCAGCTTTATTTTTTTTAATAAAAATAATGATTATATTTGATATTTATTATTTTCTCAAAAAATGATGTTTCTTTTTCATAAAAAATATAAAACTCAAGAACACTTATAATTTTGTGGTCTTAAAATAACTTATAGTGATTTGCCACTCAAATATATGTTTGCGAAGACTTAAATTTTCGGTTATAAAATTGTGCTAAGATGTAACGTTAACTATTTACTAAATATTAAATCAATTATAATTATAATTTTTGAAAAAAGATTTAAAATCTAATATACCTTATTTTGTAACACCGAATTTAGTACGAATACGAGACCGGAAATGGAATAAAGGCCGAGGAAATGGGCTACCTGAAGAACCCGGGAGTGAAGGGAGCGGAAGCGCAGACGGCAGAGGGCTCCTTCTCGTACACCAGTCCCGAGGGACAGGAGATCTCACTGACCTACATTGCGGATGAAAACGGATTCCAGCCGCAGGGCGATCACTTGCCCACCCCGCCACCCATTCCCATCGAGATTCAGGAGGCTCTGGACAAATTGGCCGCCGGAGGAGGCTGCCATGGATGCGATGACAACGAGACGGGAGGCAATGATGATGGCGGTGGAGGTGGCTATGTCTACCGGCGAAAGTAAAGAATTCGCCACTTAACTCCACACTGGAAACAAATTGTGTTTGATCTCAAAAAAATAATTAATCTATGAGTAAGGATTAGGGAAATGGGTAACATTTGTATCTAAAATTACAACTTAAAATGAACAATTATGTTTATTAGAGTTTATATATTTAAGGGCTTGCAATTGCTAATTAAAATGCTTCCAATGAAAACCCCTTGGCGGCCTACTTATTGAGGACTAGCAAACACCAAGCCGGAATTGGTCCTGGGCCTGGTATGCTCGCTCCTGGCTGGATTTGGTTTTGGTGTGTCCTGTTTGGCCACCATTGCAACCCTTGACAGGAGCGGCGGCTGTGTGACTGGCAACACATGTTTTTTTCCCTGCTTGCCAATCGCTCGCCCAACTTTATCCTGTTGATCGCTCGACGAGGGGTGTCCTGGGGCGGGGCGTCGCAGCGATTGTGTCGCAATAATGAAAACATTAGCCTCGTAGCATATTTGTCAGCCAGCAGGAGCGGAGCTGATTTCGATGTGGGTCGGGCGAACTCGAAACTGGGCCGCTATAAGTAAATTTTTTTGTTTAATTTTTTATGAATTTTCATTTATATATTCGTTTTATAATTACATATATTTTTATGGTGATTAATTAAGAAGTAAATTAAATAGGAGCTGTAAAAAATACATTTAAATTTTTTTATAAGACTTTTTTAATATTTCACTGAAATGGAAGTTAGGTAAATATGTTTGAAAAAATTTTTAGAATGCTTTAGAATCAATAGTTTTATATTTTATTATTCTTATATTACTGAAATTATGTTTTAAATTATGCAAATAAAATTGGAGAATTGTTTTACAGATGGCGTAACATCCGAGATCAAAATCTTAAAACCGGGTGATAGGAAATGTGATTTTAAAAAAAATTATCCTACAACAACGCTTTTCACAACAAAATCCACGATCCGTCAGATTAAGATTTTATATACGTGCTTAAATTTTCATTTGTTGATTTGTCCTTTTTTTTATGCTTTTTGACGTAATATATATAAAATATTTAAGAGAATTTTTGTATAAAGGCGGAACATCCTCGATCAAAATTGGGTGATAGAATCCATGATTCACCAATTCGCAGATTAAGATTTAATATATTTGTTTGACTTTGAATGTAATATTAATTTCTTACTATAAACATTTTTAAGGATAGTAATGCCTTAGAAAATAAAAAGCCTCTTCACCTCAATAAACACCATTTATTGGGCCGGGCCTTCCCGAAATCCGCACCACCGCCCGTGCAAGCACCGTCGAGGGCAAAAATCACGACCCACCCCAAACCGCAAATAGTGAAACGATACACGCCAATATATTATGGCATTAGCATCATAGTGGAAGGAAGCGGGGTGGGGAATGCGTCATATGGAGGGAGGGACCATGGGCAGAATGACATTGACGATGGCGAATGCGATTTGTATATGGTGGCATTACAACAACAACACGGGGGAAGTAACAACAAACGATCGTTTAATTTCAATTAAAAACATTTTCCTTGTGCGCAGCCCAAAAGCCAAAAAATAAAGGACTCGGCGGCGGAAAAGGAGGTGGAGGATTTTTTGGCACAGGAATACGCACACTTGCTACAGGCCGCTTAGCTTGGCTTAGTGCTCTGGTGATTGCGAGGACATGATGTTGCACTTGCCGAGCAACCACCAGGACGCACCAGGACCTCGAAAAGGGATGCCAAATGAGCCAGGGGGATGTGGGCCGGGGGGTTGAGCCGGCAAAGTGCGTAGCTATGTCGAGGCTATAGCCGGTGCCGGACTGGATTCTGGGCTGGGAATTCTTGCACTTGCCGCCAGCCGTGCTATTGTGACACTGCAAGGCCGTGGCAAATCCAAAATCCAAAAATAAGGGAGTAGGATGCGAATGCGGCGTGGTATAAAAACGCCGGCCGACTTCCAATTGGAACGCAGAATCAAATTCGAACGCGCACGATGCACACGACAGCTCAACTGGATAGTCTGGAGCAGAAGCGCTCGTCCAGCCTGATCTTTCGGATCGAGCATCTGCTGCCCAGCACCAGCATCTCACCGAGCACAATGACCACAGCATCCACTGAGACCACATCGACTGCCACAACGAGTACGGACAGTCCCGCGAAGAGGATGAAGAGCAATCCACGACCAGGTGTCTACACCACGCAGTACACGCCGAAGGATACCTGTTCGATCGCCATTCCCACTTCCGCTCTTCTGAGCTCCACGGCCACGCCCACGGAAGGTGGGCGATCCCACTGCCAGCTGTCCAATGGCGAACTGATCGTGTCCGCCGCCCTGCTGCGCCAGATCAAACTTTCCGAGGATGTGTACAGCTTCAATGCCATCTTCGAGCTGCATGGAGGTCAGGCCGTGCGTGTGCGCCTTGTGAGGGATGTTGCCAAGGACGACGAGATCGTGGCCTGGTTCGGCGAGGAGCTGGTCCTCCTCATGGGCATTCCCTTCCTGACGCCCTTAAATATTCAAGGTAAGCATCACTCCCAAGCCTTTCAAATTAATTGTATTCAAAAAAAACCTTCTTCAAATATTTAGAAGTAAACCTTAAAAAAAAGTTTTATTTCACAAAATACCTCCATTAAATACAAAAAAGGAAATTTAAAAATTTGAATTAAACTAAATTTTCCTTCTTAACAAATTTAATATAGGATAAGAATCATATATTAATCAGTAAATATTGAACTCACATTTATTATTTTTGGTATAAATAAAAAGTTTATTAATCAAAATATATATTTATTTATTTTATTTTAAGAAATTAAATCTAGTATATAATAAATTCGTATATTTTTTCTATGTTTGATGTTTTAATATACATTTTTTTAACTTTAAAAATTATCTTTTTTTGTATAAAATAAAAAAACGATAACTTGAACTAACAGCAATATAATTTTCTGATTATTCCAGGAAACAGCCGGTATACCTGCCACTTGTGCCACCTGACCTTCGAGACGCCGCATCCGCTGAAGATCCATTTGGCCCTGGGTTGTGGCCGCAGTGCCATGGACATCCTGTGGATGCGACTGCACTTCGCTCTCAAGGCGGCGTCCCGAAGTCAGACCGCGACGCAGCATTCACCCGTTCCGGCGACCTCATCTACCTCCTCGGCATCGCCCACCCACTCGCCACCGCCCCAGATGCCGCCCCGCTTCTCCGCCTTCCGCCCGATAGCAGCCCTTACTCAGGGCTTGCCCATGACAACGACGACAAGTACTCCGGGAACGCTGTCCTACCTGCCCTCCATCTCGATGGCTACCGCCCCCTTGTCCACCCATCCGATGAATGCGGCAGCACAGATCGAGGCTATTGTCAGCAATATGGGTGCCTCCAAGCAGGGTCACCTGTGCATCTACTGCGGCAAGGTGTACTCCCGGAAGTACGGCCTCAAGATCCACATACGCACCCACACCGGATTCAAGCCGCTGAAGTGCAAGTTCTGCCTGAGACCGTTTGGCGATCCGAGCAATCTCAACAAGCACGTTCGGTTGCATCTGCAGACGCATCCCAGCAGTTCCACGGGAGGCGCAGAAAGTGCAACAGGCGGAGCCGGCAGCGATGTGGACATCGAGGGGGAAGCTGAAGCGGGTTTCCAGTGCCACTTGTGCCACAAATCCGTACCACGTCGCAGGGACTTGCAGCGGCATATGGAAACGCGGCATCGTTCCCATTCCCAATCCAGCACCACCAGCACTACCACAATGGCCATGGAGACAGTGACCACTTCGAAGTCCAGCTGAGTTCTGGGGCAAATCTAAGTGGAACGCTTTGCGGGGAACAGCTGTGATAGAGAAATACAATTTTAAAACATATATTGAAAATGAACAAAATAAAATAATTTAAAACCTAAAATCTTGTGTCTTTAAATATTTTTTAATTATGCATTCAAAACGAACATTTATCTTTTGTCAAAATATATTTTTTTAACCATTGCACAAACATTTTTAAATGAACTTGAAATTAAGTTAAAAATGTTAATTGAAGATAAAACTAAAAACCAGGTAACTGTTAGTTAAAAACGGGGTTAAGAATCAAATAGTATCGCTTTATTGATAAATTTCAATACGAATTCAAAGTGAATTTCAATCGTATAATGCACAAATCTTATTGTAGGACAATTAATGCTATTACTCGTACAGTTTACGCTTCCGCTTCGGGTTCCGCTTCCTGTGGCTTAATCCATATTCGTGTAAACTCGCTTAACTTTAGGGTACATGCAAAACAATCACAAATTGTCTTCAACTTGGGTAAAGCGGGTGAATCTCAGTGTATTTGTGGTTGTGTGTGTGTGCGTTGAGCAAAACGTAGACGGCCAAAAACACTCACAAATTTAAGATTTAGTTATAGTTATTCTTACTATTACTTCTATGTATATGCCTGTGTAGAAATGCGACGGTAAGGGTATACGGTACGTAGTACGTCCGTATATTGTGTACTTATATAGTAGTATAGATCGGAGCATAGAGTTAACTATTCTGTTTACTAGATTTCTGGAACTACTTTTAGTTGGTTTGCCGGGGGGCTAACACTTAGTAGAGTTTTGAACAAAGGTCTGTCTCTCCTTCTCCCCAAACAAATGACCCGAAAGCAATCGATTTACCTTTGGACCTTTTGGATCCCGCCCACTCTCCATTACTATCTCTCTCTGTTAGTTTAAGGCACTTACTCAAGAAATCGCGATTCCAGAGTGTCCCTTTGGGGTTAGTAATTCGCTTTAAAGTATTCCCTCGGAGTTTAGACCAAAAAACAATGTGGTAAGCAAAGCTGCGAGTTTGTGTGTGGGTGTCCTTCTGTACGTGTATGTATTTGTGGGTGTGCAGTAGGGTGGACCAGCTAAACTTAGAATAAGTAACGCCATCTACTAATGGTGCACAAGTTCAAAATCATTCAATTTTGCCGCAGAAACTCTAATATTATAAAAATATTTGGCCAAAACAAAGTTTTAAGAGTACAAAAATGTCAACATTTAAACCGTTTTAAAGCTCACTTGAATGGTTTTAATAAATATACGTAGTGTGTAGTTTAAACATCATAAAAAATGTGTAAACAATTTTTTGTACATTATTCTGTCACAAAAAGTCTTTATTATTCAGATTTATATTTGGCTAACGTTGATTAAGCTACTGAAATTTAAACTTAAATTTTAAAAATTACTTCAGTTTTAAGGCATAGCAAAGTGGCTTTAACGTTTAAATAAAAATTACTCATACGACATGTGTACAACACGGCGCATGAGTGATCCACATTGAAACCATCTGCAGGCTTTAAAACTATATATTTTTTTATTTATTCAGAGTGCATGCCTTGCGTTAATAACTGTAAAATAAAACTAAGGTCCACCCTAGTGTGCAACTATCACCTTGAGCACTTAACGTATTTATATATTTATGCTGTATAGCAAGTGTGACAAATATGTCTGTTTCGGATATTTGACGATACGTTTCGCAGTTTTCAAAAGTCTGTACTCGGCTTACATATACGAAGTTAATATATAGTATAGTTCGTTAATAATTATGTGTATATGCATAGACACCAATAGTTGTTAATCGTTAAGAGTAATATTCAAGTTCTGTATGTGGCTTTTCTTTTGCTCGGTTTAGTTAGGAATATGTATACGCGTATTGTTGTTGTAAATATCTAACATAAATTCATACATGAAGCACACTTGGGTTCGGTTTTCATTAACTATTTGCTAATGTGGTTAGTAATTCGTTCAAAGTTTCGCATTTAACAAAATATCCATTATGTTAACAATTTGATTTTTTTGTATTTTTTTATTTTAAGTAGGTTTTTTCTTCTATTTTCAAATATATATTTACTGTATGAAGTTTAAGTTATTTATTTCTTATTATTTTTGTATTACAGTTGCTTCTTCCTCGTTGTTGTTCCCGCTGGTTCTTTATTAAAGAGTTAGAGAATTAGACCTTCGATTGATTATATTGAATTCTTCATTTCTATATCCCTTTCTTGTGGTTTTCATTTGGAAACCATTGTAGCATTTTTTTTGGGGTATTCATTGAATTGGCTTAATTGAAATACTGAATTGCTGAACACACACAGACAAAATAATGTACGTTACGATTCTTAAAAAATAGCATTTTCATCTCAATCTTTAATCCCGTTTTGGTTTTATATCAATTAATTGCGCCACGAAAATTACAACCTCACTTAACACCTAATGCATGTCACAAAATATTCTAGAACTCTATTCCATCAAGATGCGGATCATTCAACCAATCAATCGGTAATTTAATGTATCTTTGTATATAGGCATGCATGTACTTATGTGTTTATAACTCTGTTTCTGTTTCACATCAAGGTGATCAAAACATTTCTGAAGACTTTTTTGTTCACAATTGTTCTTAGTTCTTGTTTGCAAAAAACTTTGGACGTTTAGTATTCTTATTCAAGTTCATATAATTAGACAAACAAAATGCTTAAAGCTGCCCACAAGACTTTGTCTACATCATTTTTAGGTATTATAATTACGATTTCGTTTTGGTTTTTATTAATATTCGTATATATATTAAGCTTGCTGCAGCTGCTTAACATTTAAAAGACACACAGTATGTAGCTGAAACTAACTCTAGAATTACGGATAGTACACTCTCTACCTCTCTACGTGGTTGTCTATGGGTGTAAGTGTTTTTTTTTCATTTTAATTTTTTAGTTTTTTGTAGTAAGGCATATGCACAAGGGAAGGACTCGATCATCGTCGCTTATCGTTGGATTTTGGATTTTAAATTAGTTGGTAGAAACGGAAACACATAACTAGAGGGGAAGACAATACTGGGGACAATTGTATGTACAGTACAAGGATTACAATTGGCTTGATATGAGTATTTAAGTTTTACTTTAGTTTAGTGCTTAGTTTGTGAGAAGCTAGAAAACTAAGAGCTGCGATTCTTGGTTATCCCTACTAGCTCGAACTTATTGATACTTTCGCACAGTTAAAGACTACTCATTAAAACTCCTTCAATTAGATTTCATTGCAGTAGTTATTGCTGTTTGGTTGTCGAGGTGTCCTGCTGATTGTGATGCTAAAGAATCGTATAATTAACTTGTTCAGAGTGTCTTGTGTTGGCTGTGTTTTTCCAAATGGTTGAGGCCATTAGTTGATGTTTTACAATTTGTTTAAATTAAGTTTGCTTTATCAAATACCCTGCAACTTCATTTAATTATCACAGTTTTTCATCAGAGATAGTTTAAACGTTTCAATATTTTTTTAATTTCTTATTTATGCAGTTTTTTGTTTAATCAATGTTCTTAGTTGTTCGTTTATATTTTGTGCTGCTACAGTATGCAAAATAAAAAGCAAGCCAGTTGAAATTTGTGCAAAATTGTGTCCTATTAAAGCTTCTTAAATTAAAAAGCAAACGAGAATTGTTTTGCTTTAGCTTAGGATGTGTGGGAGGGAGTGAATTACTTATTATGCATTTCCACACGCCTATGCCTGATATGCTGCCCGCTTTTCTCTCTTGATTATCTTAGAATATACTCTACGTGTCTAGATTTTTGTTTGTTTTTAATTTCTTGTTTTTGGTGAGCAAGTCGTCTTGTGTAAAACAAACATCGATTTCACTTTTAAAGTATTTTCTGTTTTATTTTTAATCATATTTTAAATGTAATTATTTGGAAGCAAAAGATGGCATCTTTGTTAAACTTTTCTCAATATTTTTAGCGTTTTGTTCGTGGTTTTCTGCACGTTTAAAACACTAACATTATTCAGCGACAACTTCAACATAGCAAATAAAACATTACACAAAAAATATAAATGTAAATTAAAAATGTCTTCTTGGAAAGTCTTCTTTTGAATTTCTCGTTTCTTTTGGTTCTGGTAATCGTATATACTCATAGGTAGTGGTGTATAGATCGGGGGTGTAAATCATTCATGTGGTGACAAATGCCCGGCTGCTGACCTTGCGTTATGTTTCAATTACTTTGTTTTGTTTCCATATTTTTTTGTGTTTTCTTTCAGTGTTTGTACTTTCGACAAAGAACATTTTTTGGTTAAACAATTTGTATACAAACAAGGTAATAATGGCAAAAGACATAAGTTATAATATACCTATTCCGCTATATTACTTTTGTGCTTGCAGCATGTGGGTATGTGGTGTTGAACGTGTTGGTATTTTGGCATTGCTTTTGCTTTCAAAATACATACATACAATAAATACAAGTCTCCAATTTAACAATACAAGTGTAAGTGTGGGGTTGTCCAAATATTACGTTATCACTAATTGGAGGGGATTCCTTACAAAAGGAGGACGACAACATGCGAAAATGGGATGACGAAATTCCAGGACAGCTCCCAGATGTGTGTGTATATATATATTATATGAATAGATAGATATTTCTCATCTGATCGAACTAAAACAAATAAAATACGAATATAAACTAAGCATTCTAAGACGTTGCCTGAATTTTGGTACTTTAAGTAATGCTCATAGGTTGCCTAACACATTGAGAGTATTGAAAGTAAAAGCGTACTAAGACGACAGACTAATACAAATTACAAACAAAATACAGTTCGCTTAATTAGGAAACATGAAAGAAGAGTAATAATTATAATAATTGGCAATATGAGCGAGGAGCAGAAGGAATCAACAACATTCTTTTCACTTTGAACATTTTTTTTGTCGTTTTTTGTTAATTTTCATTTTGGTTTTGGGCGGGTTTCGGCCTTTTGCTAATACACAAATCGTTTGTTGTACTATGCAGCCTGTTTTATATGTACGTATAGTAGTAGTATGTGGTATATATTTATATAAATATGTATGCATGATTATGTATAAGAATGACCAAAGAGCAAATCAAAGGCATTTTTACAATTTGTCGTCGACACATTATATGCTGTACAATTGCGGTTGGATGATGTGTGGTGTGGTGAGAGTTCATTTATGTGGTCGTAGTTGCAATTTCTACATTGTTCGTCTTGGCGCCGGCGGCCAATTTCTGCTGCTCCGCTGTGATGTTGGCTTGGTGGCCATCCACGTTGCTGCTGCTGTTATCATTGGCATGATTGCTGGAAAGTAAGGCAATGGTTTTAATTTAAAGACTTATTTCAAAATTAAAAAAAAAATCAAAAAAACAATGAAGTCTTCCGAATTATTCTTTAACAGTATCAAAATTACCAACTGCCGAAATTATAATTTTATGTTATTAACAGAATATTTCCTGTAATAAATTTTGATTTTTTGACACCCATTAATTATTCAAACCAAATCTCGCGGAGACTCCCTGGAGTCTTCTGTGGTAAAGTTACCATCCTTCCCCCACATCTTAGGCTAAGCTCATCGTTAAGTGTAAAACTAACTCAAAAGGAATTAACTTACAATTCATTAACTTTGCTGGTTGGCCCATTCGATATGGGCGTACTTTGCTCAGTCTCCGTAGGACGATCTGCCCCCAAAGGCTTGGTCCACATGCCCTCATCGTCCTCGTAATCTTCTTCTCCATCCAGAAGCACAGACTGTAGTCGGGTAACGATCGACGCTGTCTCCACGACACTCGACTCCGCCAGCTTATCGCTGATGGCCTTCTCCACATTTGCATTATTGTCGTACTCAGCCTGCTGATCGTCGCTGCGCGCTATATTATTCTGGGTGGTCTTGGCCACAAGGGGCTCAACAAATTCAGCGGTTTTGCGCTCATCTGGCGCCACTTCGGTGGCAAATGACGGGGCGGGGGGAGAGTCCTCCTCCTCCTCGTTGCCTGGCGGCGCACTTGTCGGCATACCCAGATCACTGCCAAAGGTGCTGAAGTGGGCATCGAAGTCGGCAAAATTGTCGGCATTGAAATCCGTGCCCCAGTTGGCGGTGCCCGTGTTTACCTGTGCAGACACACTGGGAATGTCGGAGAACTGGACGTCCATATCCCAGGGGTCCGCCAAGTTATTCAACGTGATTGAGTTTTTTGTGAACATTCCGTGACCATGGCCATCGCCACCTCCCGAATGATCGCCATGCTCATCATCATCATCGTCCTCATCGTCAATGTTTCGACCAAACTGAAACAGATTCTGATCGTTGTCCATGGTAAACACAATGTCTTGCAACGTGTTGTCCAGATCACTGTATCCCATGTTGCTATACGACAAGGTTCCGATGTCCCAAGCATTTGTCTCACCCAAATAATCCTTTGAGCCCACACTGTACTCGTTCTCCTCGTGCGGATTGCAGTCAGCCAGCAGTTTCGTCTGCTGTTTGATAGCTAGCGTGAATTCACCGGTTTCCGCATCGATCAGCGATTGCCAGAGCTTAAGCTCGTCTTCGCTACTTAAGCTGGTGGTGATCAGGTCAGCGATATGTTCAGATTCTGATATACAATTCGTAATGTGACGTAGAATTTTGATAAGATGGCCCATGTAGCCCAGTCGGCGACCCTTCTCAGCAGATCTATAAGTAAAACATATGCTTACTGGCTGATTGATTCCCACATAACTTATCAACTTACTGCGCCTGCGCATTGTGCTGCCAAAAATCGACCAGTTTGGACACCAAGTGACAGTTTACAATCAACTGAAAATTAAAGAAATTTATAAGTTATTCTTCACATGATCCCACTACTTCTTACATGGGTTTGCATTTCGGAGGGTGGAGCACTGGGCACGGTCTTGGTCTTGTCGAGATCATTGAGTGTTGGCTCCGCTTCCTGCTGAGCGGTTGGAGATTCACTATCCACCTCACTATTTTCCAAATGATTTTCCTCGGCTTTTAGATCTTCTCCTTCAGAAGGAGTGGTTTCTGCTGCGACTTCTCCCTGTGAAATCTGCTCCTCCTGATTTTTTTCGGCGGTTGCCTGCTGCTCATTATGCGCCTGGGCAGCTGCTTCCTGCGCAGCTGCAACTTCGATTTCAATGTCGCCACCTTCATCTTCGTTACCACCCTCCGCCCGCTTTGCATCATTTAGAGCGTTCTTCATCTCCACCTCAGACTCCTCGGTGCCCACTTTCAGGAAGGCATTGATGAGGCAGTCGGCGGTGAAAAAGTCCGTGACCTCTGTGGACGCTGTGTTGTTGTTAGACAGCTCGTTGTAGAAGACCACGTGAAGGGCCTTTTCCATTTCAGTGTGCAGGAAGTTATTCCAGCAGTACTGCTTGAAAAATTCGAGCAGCAGGCTGAAATACTCAGTCGCACAGATCCTTGAGGGGGAATATAGCGATTGTGATCAGTCAGTTAAAACTCTCACATCAATTTGTAACTTACGCCTGTTGAATGGTCTCGTGTTTTGTCTCCAGTAGGGCGGTAAATACGCGGCACACTTGCAAGCGGGTCTTGCCAAAGGGGGGCGTCAACACGGCTGCCGTAGTTTCCAGTGTAGGTTTCTACAAAACAAGCGATAAACAACTGGTTTTTCACGACTAAAAAATGACTAACCGCAGGCGGGTTCTTTAATACATGGACAAATTCACGGAGGCGTGGCGCCATCACAGTGATCACAGTCTCCTGCACTTCCTGGTGGAATTCGCGCTCGCGCTTTTGCAGCAACCGCTGGCGATCCGAGTTGGGCTCATCTCTGCCAGAAAAGAATGCAATCCCATGTAGACGAGGTGATACAAATACACCCTGCGCAACTTACGTGAAGGTAATTGGCTTGATTAGCGTAAGTACAACCGATATTCCTGATAAGATGGCGCTCTCCTGAGCGTTTGGTTCCAGAATCACATTTAACAAGGCTTCAATCGTGTCCGCAGATTCAATCGTCTTCAGAATGGGGTTGGAGCCATCGAAGGCCGGCTCAAACGAATCATTCTCCTGCTCGGTCTGGCGCATCAGGCGCCCTTGGTTAATAAGATCACAGAAAAAGTCGGCAACATTTGCATGTTTGTCGGTTTCTTGAGGATTACGCAATATTGCAATCAGTCTATCAACAATTTTATCTTCAGTTAGCCACTGTAAAAATACAAAAATCTCGTTAGATAATACTTTCATAAAGGTGTCTTGAAAGAACTCACTTCGAAAAGGTTCCTCTTGAGTTGACCACCCTCGATGTCCTTCATCATCTGCATTATTAGATCAGGTATGACCGGAGTGTCAAAGTGTTTACAAATGAAATCCAAAAAGGTCTTCTGCGATTTAATATACTCCAGGAGTTGTAGGCACATGTGTTGATACAAAAACCAATCTTGTTCAGGCTTTTTGGTAAAGAGCATGCTAAAGGTTTTACTAAAAAACGACGATAGCAATGGATTTAACGGTGGTTCCTTTTCCAGATATGAATACAGCAACTGTAGCGTCTCTGCGTCGGTCAGTAGCTTTTCATCCAGGGACGGCAGGCCGCTAAAAAGATAGTTTACAGAATATAGAATTCTGGAAAGGATTCTCGGTGCCCATCTTACAGTGTCAGTATCTCACAGGACATGTTGGCATAGCGAAATCGCTGCGACATGGGCACATCTTCAGAGGGCTCGGTCGTGATCAGCTCCACCAGGCGCCGAATGACCTCGGGACGTGTAAAGTAGTTGACCAGGTTCTTTTTTTGCGTCTTGCACTCCTGCAGTATGTCCTCCTCGTCCAAGAATTCCTCCAGCGTGGAGTTCTACGGCGTACAGGACAAGAGTGGGGAGTGAGATTTAGACCGATGGTCGGGGTGGAATAACCTACCTCCTTCTCCAGTAGCGCCTCTATATTCGCGGAGGGCGCATAACCCTTGTCCCAAAACATTTTTCGCACGTACGTCTTGACGGTGACACTTTCAGGCTGGGGGAATCAAAAAATTTCTTCGCTGGACTTGCGGATCGCTGCTGACTGGGCATTCACAGCTCTGCGGAAAAGGAGTAGAGATTTTGAAAGGCGGAATCGCTCAATTAAAACACTACCGAGTCTCGACTCGCACAAAGTAATGCGTAAATTTTTGTAATTATGCCAAGCAGGTCCCACAAATACACTACGAATGCGGGCCGAAAAATGACAGTTAACCAGTCGTTCGACCATGCATTGGGTGGGGAGTGAAGGGGGCCTCACTTACGAGTAGATTGGACTTTGTTTTTCTCACTGTTTGATGCACTTTTAATTGTTTTTCAACCGAAAAAACCACGCTGTAATTTTCTTCACTGCTTCGTAGAGGTGGACAATATTCGATTAGAGCGTATAGTAACCCAGTGCGATAGCTACGGCCGATAGACCTTGTCCTTAAAGAATCGTTTATCTAATGGTTCCCTTACCATGCTCACACTACTAATAACTAAAATATTTTGAATCGTGTTGGCGGTCATCTCTTTTTGTTACTTATAAATTGTTGCGGAAATACAATGAATAAAATTATTGTATGCAAAATTTCAGATGGCGGAACTCCAGAATATCTGGAAGACCCATTGGAATTCCTCTACGGGAAGAGAAGATGCAACCAATTATTTAATGATTTCTCCACATTACCTCATACTATCACCACTGAGACTGTACTATAATATCACCAAAGCTGTTAAGTAAAATTAAAATTTTCAGACAACATCCGGTAAGGAAATCAAAACCAAAAGCAGCCCAATGTGGACACAATTATCGCGTTATGCAATCAATAGCTACCTCGATAGGAAACTCGAGGAAGTGTGAAGAGTTCTTGACAAGCCAACAGGCAACAATGGTAATGCGGATTGAGTGAGAACAGTCCGATAAATTTTGCATTGATAACACGGTATCTATTCAATGTTATCGTTTTGGCGGTCATCTCTTTTTGTTATTTCTAAGTTGTTGCGGAAATACGATGGATGAAATTGTTTTGTGTGAAATTGCGGATGAAGTAGGTCCAGAATGTCCGGAAGATCCATCGGAATTCCGCTACGGCAAGAGGCGATGGATGTTCAAAGATTTTCTCGCTGAGCATGCGGAAGATATTTTGATTTGTATAGAAACATGTTCGTAGATTGAATGGAACAGGATTTGTTTAATTTTATTTGATGCCAATGGTTTATTTCTTATAGGCCAGAATGCTCGGACGAGAAAGCTTAAATTCAGGGCAATCCGGCAGAACACAGACACTTGGACCTTGGTGGTCTGCCACGACCAGACGCACGTTCGAGCCCGCGTCATCGAAATGCAAGTGGCATCCAAATTGCTACCCCTGATATTCAGGGACTTCAGGACCAGCCTGGAGTTCGAGGTGACCAAGCAGGAGCAGGAGCACCAGCGGCCTGTTAAGACCTATGTGACCACCAAACTTTACGATGCGCTCTACGAAAGGCATCGCCAAACGGAGGATCTGGATAACGAACTGCAGCACAATCTTCCCGAAAGGTTTCAGTCGCGGCTGCGCAAATACCAAGAGCGCACGGTGTCTTGGATGTTGGGACGCGAACAGCAGCTCACGGAACTGCCAGCCAAATATACAGCGCTACATGCCATTGATGGCAGGAGTCGCGTTTTTAAGCACAATTATTGCCTGCAGTTTTTCACCTTCGAGGAGGAGCTTCCCAAGATGTCCTTGCCACCCGGCGGCATTCTGGCGGACGAGATGGGTCTGGGAAAGACCGTAGAGTTCCTGGCCATGCTGCTAATGAATCCCAGGCCGCAGGATACCTTCAGGAATGAATACTGGCATCAACGGCTGGATGAGATTGTCGATAACGTCCCGCTGAAGCGTATACGCAAAGAAGAGAAGGTTTTCTGCATCTGCACTCAAAAACGCGGATCACGGGTGCAGTGCTGCAAGTGCCGCCGCTGGCAGCACGATAGGTGTATGTCCATGATTCCCAAACATGCGGTAGATGATTCACCCCATCTGTGTCCCACCTGTTGGTCCGAGCTGATCAAATCCAGCGAGAGGCTGGTGGAGACAGGCGCCACCATCATAGTTTCGCCCAACGCTATCAAATTGCAGTGGTACCAGGAGATGCAGAAGCACATAAGGCCTGGGCTAAAAGTGCTCTGTTATCTCGGTCTGCACTCGTCATCCTGGGTAAATCCCCTTGAGCTGGCCAAGTACGATGTGGTGCTTACAGACTATGTGATACTGCGTAACGAAATATACCACACGACGGACTACAAGTCCGACCGCCAGATGCGCCACCAGCAGTTATACATGCGACCCGAATCCCCACTCCTAATGGTGAACTGGTGGCGCGTTTGCCTGGATGAGGCACAGGTAACGTGAAGGCACTTTTCACACATCCAACGATAACATAAAATTTTGTATTTTTTTTACTTAGATGGTTGAGAGCAACACTTCAGCGGCTGCGGAGATGGTAAGGATGTTACCGGCAATCAATCGCTGGGCTGTCACTGGCACAATTGACGACCTGCCCCCTCTGCTGGAGTTCGTGGGCCGGACGGAAGCTTGTAGGCCACCGGATGCATGGCAAACTGTGGAAAAGGCCTTTCAGCTAAACTACAAAGCCGAACCGCTGTTAGAACTGCTAGAGCACAGTTTGTGGCGTACCTGCAAGTCCAAGGTGGAGCACGAACTGGGGATTCCGCCCCAAACTGAGGTGGTGCATCGCCTTGAGCTAAGCAACGTGGAGTCGCTGTACTATCGGGAGGAGCATCTGAAGTGTCACGAACAGTTTCTGGCTGCTGTGGCCAAGCACACGCGCCACAACGCAGACAACACCTCTTGCCTAGCGTCCATCTCGCCGCAGCTACTGCGTATCATCCTGAAGCCTTTTCTTCGCATACGCCAAACCTGCTCCATTCCCGTGGTACTTAATAGCAATGTGTCCAGCACCGACTACCTAAATCCGCAGGATCTGCTGATGCGTCTTAAGTCCAACAATGAGAGTGAATGCAAGACAGAGCTACGAAGTTGGGCATCCTCTTACAACGGCCTGGCGGCTATTTACTTTATAAAGGAGGATTTTCCACAGGCCATCAAGTATTACAAGCTTCTATTGAAGCTGGCTGCAGACTATAACGAGGCAAATATATAGTAGGTTTTTTTTTAAATCTTATTTCAATGAACTAATATTTTCCACTTTAATTTTTCAGTGTAGATAGTGTGCTTCAGATTCACGCTATTTATAACCTTTTCCAGGCGAGTGAGTTAGCAGCCACTCCAGACAAGTTATCCGATTTGGAGCTCCAGAACTACCAAGCACAAATGAAGCGACTGGAGTGGAAGTATCTGGAGGACAATACTTCCGTACTTCAAGCCGCTCTCAGTTGTTACGAGGAGAAACTCCATGAACTTTCGGTGCTGGAGAGTCAGTTCGCGGGCAGCACTGTGGATTTGCTAGCCACGGTGGTGAACCACAAAATTTCTCTGCACGATGCTATATGGAATAAGGTCCGGGATGATTTTTTCCGCCAAAACATTACTGTGGAAAAGCTCGATAATATCAACTCTATGTCCGGAATTCTTTACTTTGTGCATTTATGGCATAAAAAGCTTCAAAAGTTAAAAGGGAATTTACTTACAGAGTTTGAATACCTCAAGGGAGTGATGCACGATGCTTGTGAGGCTATCAAAACAGGAGTAGTCCTATCGCAGGAAATATACAGCTTTATAGGAAGCGTTACCGATTGTCATTTGGCGGATATTTTGGTGAGTTTAGGAGGCGATTTATAAAAAAAAGTTGATTTAATAAAATCAGCTATATCAATTTTATAACAGGATGAAAATAAGGATAAGCCGGAAAAGCCAAAAAAGCGTCGTCATTGTCGCTTGTGCAAAACTCGAGATTCCTTGAATCAGTTTGAGTGTCTTCTGTTTGCTAAAAAGCTGGACGAAGATGCAGCGGTTACTGAGGGTCTAGAAAACCCCAGCATGGAGATAAGTCTCATTAAAGGTAACTTAATAAAAGTTATATTATTTATGGCTTTCAACATGTTTTTATTCCCGCCCAGCTATCTTTTCCTTTCTGCGTTCCAAGCCGGTATTCAGTGAATGGCAAAAAGAGTGTGAAAGCAAACTGGATCTGCTGACCTGCCTACAAGATCTTGTTAAATATCAAATAAAATATTGGATTGAGGTGGAGTACATGGTCAAGGCTTTTGACGAACTGCAGATGTGCAAAATGCGGATTCTCCTTACAGACGATCCCGAGGAGCAATCTAACTACCGCATACTGGCGTGTCAAATGGACGAGCAGTTACAGCTCAACCAGTATAATTTGCAAGAGTCACAGCTAAATTTCACTCGTCTATGCGGTCGTTTGAAGTACCTTAAGCATCTAAAAGAGGATGTCACTGACAAGCCCTGTCCCATCTGCCAGACGCAGGATGATGTGAGGGTTAGTGTCGGCGCTTTAAAAAAAAATTTCCTTGATATTAAACCCTTTTTTGTTTAAGTATGTGATGATGGTCTGTGGGCATTTTGTGTGCCAGCACTGCCTGGATAGTATGAGGAAAAAGTTTGCCCGCGATGGAGTCACCAAGTGTCCACTTTGTCGGCAGGAATCACCACAGTATGGTTTGCCTTTTGTTCTTCGAAGTATATATTTTATATAAGCCTTCTTTTAAGGTTGTACTATTCCGTACGTCCCGGAGCCCGCAAATCCATAATTGGGGACTTCTCCACAAAAATTGCAAATATTGTGGAACTAGTGCTGAAGATCAAGGCTGAGAATGAGGAGGAAAAGATCATAATCTTCTCGCAATGGCAGGCGATACTCATTCAAATTGCTAGAGCCCTCAACCTTAACGGAATTCAATTTCGCAATAAGTGCAGCAACACGGATTTCGAAGATTTTAAGGTATGATTATGGTTTTAAATTGTTACTAACAGATGTTAATCTTAAAACACCCTTTAGAATCCCATTAGAAATATAACCTGCCTACTGATGCCCCTTTCTAAAGGCTCAAAGGGCTTAAACCTGATCGAAGCCTCCCATGTTTTTCTGGTGGAACCGATCCTTAATCCGGGTGACGAACGCCAGGCCATAGGTCGTATACATAGATTTGGACAAATGAAGTAAGTTTGCTATTAACGTGATGTTTTGTGGTAGATTTCATTAGATGTTTTTAGACCAACGAAGGTGCATCGTTTTATTGTTAACGGAACAATTGAGGAGAATATTCTCTCGCTAATAACTTCAGCCGATGACACAAAGACTCTGTCAACTCATTGGGATCTAGAAAACATGACACTCGATAGTCTTAAGAAGCTATTCATACTTAAAGGGAAGGAGTAGAACTTAAATCCAGCTCGGTTAATTTAATGTTACTTTTTGTATGTACCTTTGCAAAAGGTTAATTCCAATGACACTCTTTTATCTTTAGTGTCAAGTTAGGCATATTAAGTATATTTTTTTCCTAACATATATATAAGATAAATAAAAGTTTACAACTATCAAAGTAAAGACTGCCAAAATAAAACACTAACTGCCGCAGCTTTAATCGGCTCAGAAATAAAATGTAATATCAGAATAATGTATATTCTGTCTATCATTAAACAAGCCCTTGAATCTCTACAGTTTGCTTTTAAAGTTATGTATTTTCATAAAGACTCCCAACCTCTCGATAAACATAATCCTGATTAATTGAACTTAAATCAAATCCACATATTTTGGGTTCTCCTGATTAATGTACAGTATTATTTGTACTACCATTAGGGACATTAGATTTAATTCCATGTAAACGTATTTTATGCTTAAGCCTATGTTATATCGATCTTATACACACTCTTCTTATAAGGATTATAAGGTATTGCTTTTCATAAAAAATCCACTGTTCTTATTCACCTTAGACAACGTTAAACGCTGGTCAGATCTCAGACATGGTCGATTTTCAATGCGTCCAAACTGGTGCCATCGGCATGAGCCTTCTGTGCATAGTAGCCATCGTAAGAGCTCTGCGCCTTGTCAATCTCCTGTTGATGCTGCAGCCGCTGCAGTTGCTCGTAAGCCGCCTCCTTGATCTTACGCCGTTCCTCGTCCGCCCGTCTCTTCACCTCGTTCTCCTCAAACTGCTGTGCCTGGAGTTCCGCGGATGCAGCTGCTCGCTCCGCCGCCGCCTCCTGGTATTCATCGTACGAGTGCAGATTGCGATCGCTGCTCTCCAGCTTGTGCAGAGAGGAAAGCTGCTCCTTGGCCGCCTCGGCAATCTCGTGACGCTTTGCATCCGCCTGGCGTTTGGCCTCCCGCTTGCTGCGCTCCTGTTCCTCCAGCTCCTCACGAGCGGCATAGAACTTGGGCGAGATCACGGGCGGACGGTTCTCGTGGGTGCGTTGGTGGCGCTTCAGTGCCGTCTCTTGACGAAAATGAGTTCCGCAGGTTTTGCACTCAAAGGGTTTCTCCCCAGTATGAATCCACTCATGATGCCTCAGCGTCTGGGCCTTCGCGAATCTCTTGGGGCAGAAGCGGCAGGCGAAGTCTTTCACCTTTTCGTGGATAATCTTGTAGTGGCGTTTCATGTTTCCTATATTGTTAAATCCCTGTCCACAACCAGGGCAGATGTGCTTGCCCTCCTTTTTGGTGAAGTTTACCTGGGGTGACCAAGAGGGCACTGAAACTGAGGGTATGGGATTCACAGCGGTCCCAGCCAACTGGGCCAGGTCCACCCGTTGTACACGACGTGGATCTTTGGGAATGGTAGCCACGGACTCGGCGCACACTTTGAGCAATTCGTCGGCGGCGTTTTGGGACATAATCGGTTCAATGGACACGCCCTCAACAGGCGGCGCTGGAGGATTATCCACCTGGTCGCCAGATGTCTCACCCATCTCCACCTGCCGCTGGCGATATGTTTCGATTGCCCGCAGCACCCGCTTTTCGTGTGTTTTTAGGTGTTTGGTAAGACTCTTGGGATACAGGAACTTCTTGCCACAAACCTTAGAAAATGGAGAGTTAAAAAAGAGTTAAGGTCCTGGAAGACATCTTCTTACCTTGCATTCGCAGCGCTTCTCCCCCGTGTGCGTCATTTCGTGAATCTTGCAGGCATGAGATTTTCCGAAGGTCTTCCCGCAGTACTGGCACGCATAGTTCTTGATCTTTTCGTGCACGATCTTAATGTGGTTGGCCAGACTCTGCTTGTTGTGCGAGGCATGCTCGCAAATGTGGCACTTGAACTTCTTCTCCTGCGTGTGCGTCAGAATATGCGTGTTCCACTCCTGCCTGGTGGTTTTTCCCACTCCACAGTAAGGACATACATAGTTCTTGATGCCGGCGTGTCTCATCAGATGATCCTTTAAAGCACTGTTGATCACGAAACGCTTGCCACAGATGTTGCAGGGGAAAGGCAGCTCCTTGCCGTCGTGTTTGTACATATGCTTCTTGAGCGCCATGGGACAGCGGAAGACCTTCTCGCACTCTGAGCAGGGGTAATCCCTCGGCGGCGCTGCAGCCTTGGTGATGCCGTGCATCTTCTTCATGTGGAAGGTGAGCAAGCGTATGCGCGGAAAAGACTTGCCGCAGCCATTGACACTACAAGAGTGCACCTCGGACAGCTCCGTGTGGGCGTGGTCAATGTGGAGCCTCAATCCGCCAGCGGTGGTGAAACCTAAAACAAGGAATGAGTAAAAAACATAATATTTAAATAGTAAAATCACTACTACCTTTCCTGCAGGTCTCCACTTTGCACTGAAATGGCAGGAGATCGTTATGGTGCTTCATGTGCTCCTCGTAGCGGATGGCTTTCTTGAATTTCTGGTGGCAGATGTGGCAGTCGATGATGCGGTGCAGGTGGCGTTCGCCAGGCGGAATCCTCCTTCGCCTGGTCTTCGACTTTTCTCCTCCCTCATCATCCTCAGAACGTGATAAGAACTCCTGCTCCTCTTCCTTGATAAGGGATCGCTTGGGGTTGGGCTTAACCCGGGTATTTTCCCTCAAGCGCTGTGCCAAAGGCACATCATCATCGCCATCGCTGCTGTTGGGCTCAAAGTCCACGTCTTGCTCGAAATCGTCGTCGCTCTCCTCCGAGGAATCTGCCGCGAAAATGGTCATCAAGTCGGCGGCATCCATTTCATCCTGCTTCACCTCCTTTTCCACCTGCTCGGCCTCCTTGTCTACGTGCTCCAACATCTTGAAGACATCTTCCTCGTTCTCGATTAGCTCCATTTTGTGATCCAGCAGCGGATCGAAGTTAATGCGATCCTCCTCCTCCTGGCCCACCAAATCAGCCTCGTTCCCGGCCACGTTCAGCACATCAAAGGTCTTGATTTGTGAATTTGCAGGCGAGCAGAAGACATTCCTGGCCACCATGTCCTGGAACTTCTGCACGGAGTCGACGCAGAGCTTCTGAAACTCGTGCATGTCGTCCAGTCGGGTGAAGCACGACGAGCACAAGCTCTTGGGGAATCCATCCGACTGCTCAACAGATAACGAGGTGCAAACACATAACTTCTTGGCCAGTCCGGGGATCAGAAACAGGTCGAAGGACCCCGGTCTGCCACCGTCCTCCGGTAGGCGATTCAGGCAGATGCGGCAAACTGCGTGCACCGAGTACTGGGCGGCGTCCTCCTCCATGACGTCCTTTCCAGGTGGAGCCAAATGGTGCGGCTAATGGCCAAAACCACGGAACATTAGGCCGAGAAAAACTTTACGCGTCAGACTAACCAAAACAAATACCATAAAATACACGCCAGTGATGCCAATCGTGGTCAGCCGAAAGTAGCCATAAAATAGCTGGGCTTTTGATTTAGCACAAACCAAAAATAATCTGACAACTAACAACTAATAATAATAGAATAACAGAATAAATTTTGTATTTGTAATTTTTGCAAAGAATAAGATATTAAGAAAACTCAAAATATTAATTCTTGTTTTGCCAAAAAAAAGCCAGGCTGCTTGAACTGCCGCTCGCCATAACATTCTTTAAAACATTGCCCGTTTACCAACACTAAACACACTTTGAATGCTTATTACTGTTTATTATATTTAAATCATTAAAGTCATTTATAAATGAATACAATTAGTAAAGTACAAACTTAAGCATCTGAGAGGGGGGAGATTTAAATACAAAAAGTAAAAACACGCTTGCAAAAAAGACGAAAACTAGTTGGTAAACCTTAGAGACCTATAACTCATATGTCCTTCATAGAAACACATAATGAAAGGGGCCGTAAACGGATGCGGATACGGGTTGGGTATCAGCTATTTCCGGGAGCTGCAGGGTCAGCTCAAACATGATCCAGCTTCAGTGCGTCCACCGAAGTGCCTTCGGCCTCCGCCTTTTGGGCGTAAAAGCCGTCGTAAGTGTTCGTCTGCTTCTGGAGCTTGTTGAGCTGCTCGAAGGCCGCCTCCTGGATCTTTCGGAGTTCCGCCTCCGCCTTGCGCTTGGTCTCGTTCTCCTCGATCTGGTAGGCCAACAGCTCAGCAGTGGCCGCCGCCCGTTCCGCGGCCGGATCCTGGTACTGCTCGAAGTTCTTCGGCTGCTGGCGCTTAACCGTGGTACTGCTCTCCGCCTTCGGTCCCGTCGGCTCCTTTGGCTTGCCCGGAGGACGTGGCGGCTTGTCGTGCACCTTCATGTGCGTCTTGAGAACCTGCTCCTGGCGGAAGTGCTTGCCGCACACCTTGCACTCGTACGGCTTCTCTCCAGTGTGAATGTACTCATGGTGCCGCAGGTATTGCTTCTTGGCGAATCTCTTCGGGCAGAAGCGGCAACAGAAGTCCTTAACCTTTTGGTGAACCACCTTATAGTGCAGTTTCATGTTGCTAACATGGTTGAAACCCTTGCCGCAATCCGGACAGATGTGCTGGCCCTCCTTCTTGGTGAAATTCACCTGCGGCGACCACGAGGGCAGGTTCACCGAGGGAATCGGATTGGCCACCGTTCCCGCTAGCTGGGCAATGTCCACCCGTTCGACGCGACCTCGCAGATGCGGACTGGGCTTGGCAATTGTCGAAGAACCACTGGCACCGTCGCCCATCAAGGGATTGGCCCCCTGCGTCTTGGGAAGATCCCTCTTCTCGTGCGTCTTCAAATGCTTGGTAAGGCCCTTCTCAAAGAGGAACACCTTTCCACAGATCTTGCACTCACAACACTTCTCCCCGGTGTGACTCCTTTCGTGGATCTTGCAGGCGTGCGACTTCCCAAAAGTCTTTCCACAGTACTGGCAGGCGAAGTCCTTGCGCTTTTCGTGGACCACCTTCACGTGGTTGGCCAGCGCCTGTTTGTTGTGGGAGGCGTGGTCGCACTGCCGGCACTCGTACTTCTTTTCCTTGGTGTGGGTCAGGATGTGCTTGTTCCACTCCTGGCGTGTAGTCTTCCCCACTCCGCAGTAGGGACACACATGATTCTTTATGCCTGCATGCCGAAGCAGATGATCGCGCAGCACACTGTTGATCGGGAAGCGCTTGCCGCAGATCTCGCAGGCGAAGGGCAGCTCCTCGCCGGTGTGCTTGTACATATGCTTCTTGAGGGCGGTGGGGCAGCGGAAGACCTTCTCGCATTCGGTGCAGGGGAAGTCCCTCTGCGGTGTGTCCACCTTGTGCACCCGTTTCATGTGGAAGCTGAGCAGAACGGGTCGGGCAAAGGACTTGTTGCAGCCTTCATATGTGCACGGATGCATGGCCGACGTCTCCGTGTGGGCGTGTTCCACGTGGACGCGCAACCCGTTGGCTGTGGTGAAGCCTGAAATGAAGGATCAGGATAAGAATCTCATCCTCTGGGAGCGGTGAAAACTTAGATTACCTTTTCTGCAACTCTCGACGGTGCACTGGAACGGTAGCAGGTCGTTGTGGTGCTTCATGTGCTCCTCGTAGCGTATTGCCTTTTTGAACTTCTGGTGGCAGATGTGGCAGTCGATCAGCCGGTGACGATCCCGCTCCGTTGCGGGAATCCTCTTACGCTTGGGCTTATCTTTGGGATTGCCATCCGAATCCTCCGAAGAGCTAGAATCCTCGGAGTCCATCTCCTCCTCCTCCCGCTTGGCGACCGCCTTTAGCTTGGCCTTGGCCTTGGAACCGCGGCCAGAACCGCGCCGACTACGCTGGGCCAACGGAACGTCGTCATCGCTGCTGTTGAGCTGAAAGTCCGCGTCCAGGTCGTTGTCGTTGCCGCTCTCAAAGGAGTCGTCCTGCGATTCGTCGCCAAAGGGCTGCTCCAGCTCCATCTCCACCTCCTCCACCTCCTTTTCGACGGATTCCAGCATCTTAAAGACATCTTCCTCGTTCTCGATGATTTCGATCTTGGAGTTGAGCAGCGGATCAAAGTGGACGTTGTCCTCCTCCTCGCCGGGCAGGTCCGCGACGGCAGAACTTGGGTCCAGAACATCGAAGCTGGTTTGGCAGGCGAAGGCGTTGCTGGCCACCATGTCCTGGAACTTCTGCACTGAGTCTACGCACTGCTTCTGGAAGTCGTGCAGGTCGTTCAGCTTGGAAAAGCACAAGGTGCATAGGTTCTTAGGAAAGCCGTCTGCCTGTTCCACGGATAACGAGGTGCACACGCACAGCTTTTTGGCCAGACCGGGCACTCGGAACAGATCGTAGGCCACCGCATTGTCCAGTGTGGATAGGCAGGTGCGGCACACCGTGTGGATGGAGTACTGGCTCCCCTCGTTCATTTTCGAAACTCAATTCGACGTTGGGCGATTCTAAAATCCCGAAAATTGCAGAAATCGAAATGTTCTCCGTCTAGAAAAAAATCCAATACAACACACATTTGTGTGTACTCGCGTGTGCATGTGTGTGTGTCCGTGTGTCCGCTCGTCAGCAATTCGGTTATCGATTACCCGCAAGCGACGAGTACTCTCGCTGGCAAACTGCGCAGCTCTAGCACTCGACCACCCACACCTAGGCGTTTTGTTTTGTTTTTCTCATGCACACATGTGCGCGGCGGAGAGGGTACGATGGGCGTATTAGACGCAGAGAGTGTGTGTATGCATAATTAAGCCACCCAGCGAACCGAAGGTACTCACAGTGGTGGTCAGGAAAATAACGACGAAATACTAATAATACCATTAGTACTTAAGTGTACATATATGTATATCGAATGTTTCAAACAAAGGAAATTTGAAATAAAAATATTGGGGGGTTAATGAAAACATAGCGGTTTGAAATCACTTATTAAAGTGTCTAAAAGTATGCAACATTATATATTGATCCCATTGATCGATTAGAAATTACGACTTTTTTATTTCCACTGCATACTTTCAGACTCATTTATAAGTGATTTGTATGTAACTGTATTCTGGCTATAATTATTTGATTTGTCTCATAATGATAAGGTTTAACAAGAAAGAAAGCTAACTTCGGGCGGAGCCGAAGTTGATATACCCTTGCAGAATATTCTGTAAATTATATTCTCCAAAACCGGATCGGTTATTCATATGATGCATTCTTAATACTCATAAAAAATCCCAACTTCCTAACTTTAAAAACACCAAAGTTATGTCATTTCCAATCGTTCAGTTATATGGGAGCTATAGGATATAGTCGGCCGATCCTTATGAAATTTGGCAGGTCGCATTGATTGGCCAAAAATAAAACCCATAGAAAATCCCAACTTCCTAACTTTAAAAACATCAAAGTTATGGCATTTCCGATCGTTCAGTTATATGGCGGCTATAGGATATAGTCAGCCGATCCTTATGAAATTTGGTAGGTCAGACTGATCGGCCAAAAATAAAACCCATAGAAAATCCCAACTTCCTAACTTTAAAAACATCAATGTTATGGCATTTCCGATTGTTCAGTTATATGGCAGCTATATGATATAGTGGCCCGATCCGGCTCGTTCCGACTTATATACTACCTGCAATAGAAAGACAACTTTTGGGAAAGTTTCAAGCAGATAGCTTTAAAACTGAGGGACTAGTTTGCGTAGAAACGGACGGACGGACAGACGGACATGGCTAGATCGACTCTCCTGGTGATGCTGATCAAGAATATATATACTTTATAGGGTCGGAAATGTCTCCTTCACTGCGTTGCAAACTTCTGACTGAAATTACAATACCCTCTGCAAGGGTATAAAAAAAACATTCTTAAATTTTATAATACGGCAATCGTTAGATGTATATTCAATTATTTAATCCTTATTTGTTTCTATCATTGCTATGACACGAATCCTGTCGTCCGAATACAATATACATAGTTTATTGAAAATTAAAAACGTCTTACTGAAATTTAACTTTATTTATTGAAAATGGAGCAACAAGAAAACATTTCCATACAGGATGCTGAGAGCATGGATACCCAACTGGCTTTAAAAAACGCTGGAATTGAAAATAATAGGCTTAAGCTTGAGGTCTCAAGGCTTGGGGAGATTCTGGAAAAGCAACGGAAGGTCCTGCAGGAGGCAGAGGACAGAAGAAAGGAAGCCAAATTGATTTTTTCAGCGCTGATGACTTTGAAACAGGATAATGGAAGTAAATTGATAGTTGAGTATTTTTTTACAGATTTCAAAAATATTTAAATCAAATTATTTACTTAAGAATTCTCTAGATCCACTGACTGAAACTCAAAAATCTAAACCAGACGACAAGCAAATAGGTTCCTAATTTTCCTGTAGATATCAAAGAAAAGTAAGGACTTTTTGACTATGGATTATGGACAAACTTATAGAAAGTTTCTCAGAAATTTTTCCGAAATTATAAATTGGATTTCTGAAAACATTTAATTAAAATTCATGTTTTCTATTTGAAAAGTTTTTATTTAACTAAATATGAGAAAAGAACAAATTATTTGTATATTTTAAGGAAAATTCCGTACAAAATTCAGATTTTTTCAATAATTTACTTATTTAAATAAAATTAAAATTTGGGTTAGGTTTATTTTTTTTGCGGGATAAAAAAAACTTGTACTCCAATAAGAGTAAAAATCACTGGTATTGCAGTGCTCGTTAGATGAGCGGATCTGTGGGAATTCCTCCCACCAAAGGAAACTCCAATGACGTTATGTATATTATTTTTAATCCATTACTCTAAGTAAGCACGGGAGACATTACACGGAAAAACAAAATACATATATTGCATGTATGTATAAACGTATGTAAAAATAATAAGTGTTCATATTGTAATATGCACTCGATTAATTAAGAGTGTCTATAAACCTACAATCTGATCCAGCTAGAGAGCAATTCGAGGCATGCTTAAAAGCTTTCCGGACAGTGACAGCTGCTGTGGAAGTGGATACATATGTCGCTAGTGTATACATATACTCGTAAGGTAAAGCCGACCCCGATCCTGGAGCCTAGACGTGGTCGATCTTCAGGGCGTCCAAGCTGGTGCCATCGGCCTGGGCCTTCTGCGCGTAGTAGCCATCGTAGGAGGTGGTGGCCTTCATGATCTCCTGCTGCTGCTGCAGCTTCGTCAGCTGCTCACAGGCGGCCGCCGCGATCTTCTGCCGCTCGATGTCCGCCTTTCGCTTGGCCTCGTTCTCCTCCAGCTGGTGCGCCAGCAGCTCTGCTGTGGCCGCTGCCCGCTCCACCGCCGGATCCTGGTACTGGTCGAAGTTCCGCGGCTCCGCATCCGGCTCCAGCTTGCGAAAAGTGATCTGGGTGGGAGCACTGCGCTCAGGCACGTGCCTCCTGTTCGGCTTCTCGTGCGTCTTGATGTGCTTCTTGAGCGCCGTCTCCTGGCGGAAGTGCTTTCCGCAGATCTTGCACTCAAAGGGTTTCTCTCCGGTGTGGATCCACTCGTGGTGGCGCAGGATCTGCGCTTTGGAGAATCTTTTGGGGCAGAACCGACAGGCGAAGTCCTTTACCTTCTCGTGGATGATCTTGTAATGCAGTTTCATGTTTCCTATGTTATTAAAGCCGCGTCCACAGCCCGGACATATGTGCTGACCCTCTTTCTTGGTAAAGTTAACCTGCGGCGACCACGAGGGCACGGAGACGGAAGGTATAGGATTTACTGCGGTGCCCGCCAGCTGGGAAATGTCCACCCGCTGGACGCGTCGTGAGTTCTTCGGCTTGGGAGGCACTGCAGCGGACCCGCCACCGCACGCCTTAAGCATCTCATCACTGGGAATCTGATGGGGATCCATTTGCACCAAGCCATCGCCCTGCATCTGCATCGGCATCTGGCCCGGCATCTGACCAGGCATTTGGCCTGGCATGGGAATGTTGAGCTGCTGCCGATGAGGCTCCGCCGGCGGCAGATCCCGCTTCTCGTGCGTCTTCAAATGCTTGGTGAGGCTCTTCTCGCAGAGGAAGATCTTGCCGCAAATCTTACACTCGCAGCACTTCTCCCCAGTGTGACTTCTTTCGTGCACCTTGCAGGCGTGGCTCTTGCCAAAGGTCTTTCCACAGTACTGGCAGGCGAAGTCCTTGCGCTTTTCGTGGACCACCTTCACGTGATTGGACAGCGCCTGTTTGTTGTGCGAGGCGTGGTCGCACTGCCGGCACTTGAATTTCTTCTCCTTGGTGTGTGTGAGAATGTGGGCGTTCCACTCCTGGCGCGTGGTCTTGCCCACTCCGCAGTATGGACACACATGGTTCTTGATGCCCGCATGGCGCATAAGGTGATCCCTTAAAGCACTGTTGATCACGAACCGCTTGCCGCAGATGTTGCAAGGATACGGTAGCTCCTCGCCTGTGTGCTTGTACATGTGCTTCTTGAGCGCCGTGGGGCAGCGGAAGACCGTGTCGCATTCCGGACAGGGGAAGTCGCGCAATGGGGCCGCTGCCTTGGTGATGCCGTGCACCTTCTTCATGTGGAAGGTAAGCAGGCGGACGCGCGGGAAGGTCTTGCCGCAGCCATCGGCGATGCAAGCATGAACCTCGGACAGCTCTGTGTGGGCGTGGTCGATGTGAATGCGCAGCCCATTGGCCGTGGTGAAGCCTAAAAATGGGAAGTTAGTATTAAAAGCTGATTTTCAAAAAAATATATGCGGAACATACCCTTTTTGCAGGTTTCCACCTTGCACTGGAAGGGCAGAAGGTCGTTGTGGTACTTCATGTGCTCTTCGTAGCGGATGGCCTTCTTGAACTTCTGGTGGCAGATGTGGCAGTCGATGATGCGGTGCAGGTGGCGCTCCTCCATGGGAATGCGCTTTCTCTTGGGCTTGTCCCCACGTGAGTTGCCGTCCTCGGAGTCATCTGACTCAGATGATGAACCGCTCATTTCCTCGTCGTCTGGCGGAGGAGGCTTTATCTTCTTTGGACGGCCCCTAGGCTTCCCTTTGGGTTTGTTTTGGTTGATCGAGCGGATTGGCTGTGATCCGGATCCGGTTGCTGGTCCCCGCATGCGCTGGGCCAACGGAATGTCATCGTCGCTGCTGTTTGGCTCGAAGTCTAGATCGTGGTCGTTGTCGTTGCCGCTCTCGATGGAGGAGTCGTCGTCAAACATCTTGATGGAGGCGTTGCACGGGTCGTCCGCTTCCACCTTGGTCCTGTTCTCCACCTCCTCGGCCTCCTTGTCGACGTGCTCCAGCATCTTGAACACGTCCTCCTCGTTCTCAATCAGCTCCATCTTGTGGTTAAGGAGAGGATCGTAGTTGACATGGTCCTCATCCTCGCCCTGGTAGTCCTGGACCGCCGCATTGGGATCGAGGACATCAAAGCTGCTCTGGCAGGCAAAGACATTGCTGGCCACCAGGTCCTGGAACTTCTGCACGGAGTCGACGCACTGCCTCTGGAAGTCGTGAAGATCGTTTAGCTTGGTGTAGCACAGGGTGCACAGGTTCTTCGGAAAGCCGTCGTTCTGCTCCACGGACAAGGAGGTGCAGAAACAGAGCTTCTTTGAGAGTCCTGGCACCAGATACAAATCATAGGCGGCGTCGTTCTGCAGGTGGTTCAGACAGATCCTGCACAGGCTGTGGATCGAGTACTGCCTGCCCTCGTTCATCTTGCTTTCACTCGCAATCGGCACTGCGGATCGGGGCTGTTTTCTTTAGATTTTTGCGTCTATCTCGGGCAGTTGGCAATAAAATAATATTGACACAGAAAAAATTGTATACTCGTCGACTGGCGATCGGGCGAGTGGGCAATAAGTATGTACGGTTGCCAGCGAGTTACTCGCCGGAATTTCTACCCGTTGAGTTTCTCAGGGCTGGATTATCGCTTCGTCTAAAGTAATTAACCCCTATTGGGTGATATGAATTTACCTAATTACAATTCTAATTAGGTTTTTTGTTGAGCTTGTGTGTAAAAATCAGGACTGACAAAAGAACACTAATTTTTACTTGATTTCTTTGAATTAAATAATATTAAAAATGCATTTTGTATCTTTTTCACTTATTGCAGTACTAATATTGTTCTAAATTTAATTAATACTGTACCTGAATTTTACATTCATGTATTTAATATGAACATAGTTTCCGAAAAAAGTATAATAAATTAAAGTTAAAAGCTTCGTTTGTTTTATTTGATGGCAGTATAACAAAGTTATTTAAAAAAACACTAAAAACATTAAATATATATCTTCTATTTATCATTAACTACAATACAAATTGAGCAAATTTTACCAAAATAAGAGATTATTGTTTTAAATACCATACCAAGCTAAAAATTAAATATTAAAAAACAACAAATACTGAAATATATACATTTATTAACAGAGCAGAAAAAGCCATTGGTTGATTTCGTACCCATTGGACAGAAATGGGTTAAGAAAAGAATATGATGGTCACACTAGCAGGCACACTGCAACAAATTTGTTTTGAAGCTCGGGTTGGAGTCTCTCCGAGCATCGGAAAAAAATGGGCACCACGGAGCTCCAGTTCTCCGTCCACTCGCTGTGTCGCATTTGCTTGATCCACATGGACCAGGGTGAGCGCCATGATTTGTTCCTGGCTCCCGAATTGGCCAGGAAACTTATGGCTTGCACTTCTTTGGAGGCGGAGCAGAGTGACGGCTTCCCGAAGCACCTCTGCACCCAATGCTACACCAAGCTGAATGACCTCCACGACTTCCGGGAACTGTGTCGGGGGTCCATAAACCGCTTCAAGGAAATGCTGGCCAGCAACAGGATTATTCCCATGGGACTTTTTGAGCCCGTGGCGGAGAATTCTGAGGCATTGGGCAGGCAGGAAGAGCAGGCCAGCTATGATCCCCTGCTGAACCACAAGCTGGAGATGATTGACAACGAGGAGGAAGTGTTTAAGATGCTGGAAACAGTGAGCAGGGAACCGGAGGAACATGGTAGCGGGCATAGCCAGGGGTATTCCTCCAGTGAAGAGGAGGATGAGAATAAACCCGATGCGGAGAGTTTTTCCAGCGAAGACGAACAACCTTTGGCCAGGCGTCGGAGGGTTCCCAGTAAAGAGCGTCACCTGCACCGCTTGATTACCTGTTCAATTTGCCAACAGAAGTTTAAAAAGCCATCAAAGTACGAGGAGCACATGAGACACCACAATGAACTTTTGCCTTTTCAGTGCGAGGATGAAAACTGCCGCAAGGGCTTCACCACAGCAGGTGCACTGCGTTTGCATGTGGACTATGCGCACACCAAGAAAGCGGATGAGATTCCGTGCACCGTGGAGGGTTGTAGGTTGCTATTTCCCCGTCTCCGCCTCCTGACCATCCACCTGAAAAAGGTGCACAACCAGGCAAGGGTGAGTGCTCCGCGTGTGGAGCAGCCTTGCAGGGAGTGCGGCATGGTATTCCGCTGTCCGGTGGCTCTGAAAAAGCACATGTACAAGCACACGGGCGAGGAGCTCCCCTACCCCTGCAACATCTGCGGCAAAGGTTTCCACATAAACAGTGCTCTGAAGAACCACCTGCTTCGTCATGCTGGCATCAAAAACTACGTGTGTCCGTACTGCGGAGTGGGAAAAACCACTCGCCAGGAATGGAGCAAGCACATACTTACTCACACACAGGAGAAGCAGTTCAAATGCCACATCTGCGATCATGCCACCCACACAAAGCGGGCTCTGGATAGCCACGTCAAGATCGTGCACGAGAAGATCCGGAACTTTGCCTGCCAGTACTGCGGGAAGACCTTTGGAAAATCCCATGCCTGCAAGATCCACGAGATGACTCACACTGGAGAGAAGCGCTGCGAGTGCAAAGTGAGTATTTTGTTATCATATCCTTTGGAACCCTAAACATAATTTCACATTACAGGTTTGTGGTAAGAAGTTCCTGTACACGGAAAGCCTTACGAAACACCTTAAAATTCACGAAAAAAGCGTAGAGAGGGCTCTGGAAACATATCGACAAAGGCAAGGGGACGGTGAGCGTGGAGTCGGTCAAGTGGACGCGGATCAGTTGCTAAAGGTGTGTGCCGAATCCGTGGCCACCATACCGAAGGATCCACGTCGCGTAGAGCGAGTTGATCTGGCCCAACTGGCTGGTACTGCGGTTAATCCCATACCCACAGTCCAGATGCCGCCAGGCGAAGTGCCCATCCGGTCAAAGTTTGTCCAGAAGGAGGGTATGCACCTGTGTCCCGGCTGCAGTCAGGGATTCAATAACCTGGGCAACATGAAGCGCCACTACAAGAGTGTCCACGAAAAGGTTAAGGACTTTGAATGCCGTTTCTGCTCACGCCGCTTTGCCAACTCGCAATCCCTAAAACAACACGAGTGGATACACACAGGCGAAAAGCCGTATGAGTGCAAGGTCTGTGGCACTCATTTCCGCCAGGAAGCGGCTCTAATCCGCCATCAAAAAGTCCATGATGAAAAGACGCCAAAGCCTCCAAGACCCCCCAAGGAAATCAGCGAAAGAGCCCGCCAAAAGGCGATGCACAAAAGTGAGCGAAGGCGGAAGGTTGAGGCCCTCCGGCATGAGATTGCAGAGGCAGCCAAGGAGGAGCTTAAGGATCTGGAAAAACAACGGACAATGGAGAAGCAGCAGAACACCTACGAACAGTATCAAGCAGCGGCAGCAGGGCAGGCGCATCCTGAATCTAAGAAAGACACTTGATCAAACGTCAGTTTTAGGTTTCCATAAGGCTTCAAGACTTCCGAAACTCGTGGAAGTTTAAATTGTTGGTTAATATTTAACTATCGTTTAATTGTTACCTTGCTTTTAAGTAAAAAATAAACTTTTGATAGTGTATCAAAAAAACATTGAAGGGACATTAACTTAAGGCAACTTTAAACTTACCTTAAAAGGTTTTGGGCGTTACTTAAGAAAAAACCAATAAAGATTTTATATTAAGCTAACTTTTGATGTTCAATCAAAATAGATTCCATTTTAAAGAATTAATCCAAAGCTTATAATTTTTCGATTTTTTTGTATTTTTACTTTTACTTGCTTGTTATTTTGATGAGAGAGTGTCTTAATGTCGTTAAATGATTGCAAACAGCCGGATCCGGACCGCAAATGTCTGCGCTACGCGATGTCCGACCGTTCATATGATAGATGGAGTGATGGATGGATGATAATGATTAGATTCAAATGATACAAAATGCGATCAAAAAAATCTACAAGTAGATAGCAAAAATTTGGTATACATATAAGGAGAGCGAAAAGTTCCCTAAACAATGGAAAATGGTTGGTGGAAGTGGGGCGTCATCTGGTGGGGCCCATAATCTGGACCATCTCCGCCTGCCGCGTCGTCTGGAGGTTCTAAGGAGCCTCCGGCGTCTTCAGATTGTACTTGGCCTTGATGTTGTTGAGCTCTTCCTGCTTCTTGTCCATGTCCACGCGTTTGAAGGCCTTGTTGGATTGGTAGTACAGCACAACCAGGTAGCGATTGCACACATTGAAGCCGGATAAATGGTCGCAGGCGTTCTTGGCATCGAAAATATCCTCGTAGACGACAAAGGCGGTGCCACGCGTTTCCGGAGTGTTGCCCCTGTTATGGATGTGGAGATTTCTTGAGAGGATTCGCGGCATAAGACACAGAAAACTTTATACTTACACGCGAATCTGTCGGATGGCACCGAATTTTCCAAAAATGTCGTACATTTCGTCCGAGGTGATTTTATACGGCAGGTTGCGGACGTACAGTAGCCGATTTACCTCTGGCGGCAGGCGGATCTGCAAAAGAAATTAATTTTTACATTTAATCCATTTACTTTGTCTGCGGAATCGGAGTTTTCTTCTCACATGGTTGCGCTTATTCATGTCCGGTCGCTTCGGATGTTAAACTGCGACAAGGCGAGAAACTTTCACTCGGCCGTGGAGAAAGCGAGATGCGGCTTTGTCCGATCTGGGATGAATGTCCTGAAGCGTGGTCCTTTGTTTAAAATTAATGACTTCTCTGTCTGGCCTCAAACCCAAACAAATTTTACCAGGGTGGCGAGTGCGGGCACATTAATATAGCGAAAGTGTGGCCGCACTTAAGGGAGTTATACGAGTGTGACCACAGTTGACAGCAGCATCTATGGATGGGATTTCAAGTAACACCAACATTGTAAATTTCGTGGCCCATCATTTTATTAATGAACAAATAAAAATACAAATTTTTAAAATAAATTAAATAAATTATCAATCCTATTTATCAAATCCTGACTTCTGCTTTACAGCTTTAAGGTTTGTAATATTCAAATTATCGTTTATGCCATATATCATAGGTGCAAATAATTTTTGCGGAGAACTTAATTTTGATTTTATAAAAGAAAATATATCGGTTCACACCACAACATCGCTTAATTTTTTTAAAATATAACATTCATTTTTCTTGTCTATAGATTTTCCCATTTTTTTACAATTAATAAAAAGTAAGTGCCGTGATAGCCCGCTCACATCCTTAACAGCCGAATGGCATACTGCCTTGCTCACACACGGTCACACTGTACAAAACTCAGCTAATTGTGCGAAAAAAAGGTGAAAAAGAGAAAATTTGTAGGAAAACTCAAGATAATTCCAACCAAACTAGTTTTAAAACACAGCCAACACCCAAAGGTGAGTACGGGTGTAAGAGTAAGGCAAGGCTTTTGGCAGAGAAGCGATTTTCGGGTGGGCAACCGATGTTCACGGAATATGGCGGTGGTAGGCGGGTTTGGTTTGGGACTTTCTGTCTAGGGTTCTCGGCAGAAAATTGCACGTCCCTCGGGGGGAAATGTCTTTCATCTCGCGCCGTCCGCCGTAAACCCATTAAGTGCCAAAGGAAAATCGGACGGAACACGTCTTTATCACATCAGCAGATGTCCCTGCGCGAGTGTGGGTGCGAAATGCGCTAGTGTGCGTAAGTGGCCTCGAACGGAGTGTCTCTCTCGCCCTCTCTTTCTCACCCAGTTGCTACCCCTTGCGAGGGCATTAACCCTAATTCACTACTCAAAACTAAAACCCATTCGATCTCCCCTAGCAGCAGCAAAATGACGTGGGAACCACAAGGAGAAGGTCTGCAGCAGATCATAGCGATCCTCAAGGAGTCGCAGTCACCGGACACAGCCACTCAAATGGCCGTACAGATGGTGAGTAATAAAGAGCCTGTTATTTCGCAAACCAAAACACATTTCCTGACTTGTTCTTTAGAAACTGGAGGAATTCAATCGCTATCCAGACTTCAACAACTATCTCATCTATGTGCTGACTAAACTGAAGACTGAGGACGAACCCACGCGCTCGCTAAGCGGTCTGATCCTCAAGAACAATATACGCATGCACGGCAGCAATCTGCAGCCAGAAATCGTGGAGTACATCAAACACGAGTGCCTGCAGGCGGTGGGCGACTCCTCGCCGCTGATCCGGGCTACAGTGGGCATCCTGATCACTACCATCGCCAGCAATGGCGGCCTGCATAATTGGCCTCAGCTTCTGCCTTCGCTCTGCGAGATGTTGGATGCCCAGGACTACAATGTGTGCGAGGGCGCCTTCAGTGCCCTGCAGAAGATCTGTGAGGACTCCGCCGAGATCCTAGACTCCGCGGCGCTCAACAGGCCACTGAACGTGATGATTCCCAAGTTCTTGCAGTATTTCAAGCATAGCAGCCCCAAGATCCGCTCCCACGCTATTGCCTGCATCAACCAGTTCATTATAAACAGATCACAGGCCCTGATGCTAAACATAGACAGCTTTATTGAGAACCTCTTTCACCTGTCCTCAGATGAAGATCACGAGGTGCGGAAGAACGTCTGCCACGGATTGGTCATGCTGCTGGAGGTACGCATGGACCGCCTAATGCCGCACATGTCGCAGATTATTGAGGTAAGATATTTCGGAAATTCTGATTAATTTCATTCATAATTAATTATGATGATTCGTTTATTTGTTACAAGATACTTTTAATTTTAAAGTTGTATTTAAATATTCAATACTAATTAAAAATTAAATTCGTCTATTCTATCCATCAGTATATGTTGTTGCGCACCCAGGACTCTGATGAGGGAGTGGCCCTGGAGGCCTCCGAGTTTTGGCTGTCGCTGGCGGAGCAGAGCATCTGCAAAGATGTGCTCGCCCCCTTTTTATCACAGTTGGCTCCAGTTCTTGTGCGTGGCATGCGCTACTCAGAGGTTGACATAATCCTTCTCAAGGGAAACGTAGAGGAAGATGATATGGTGCCAGATCGAGAGGAGGACATTCGACCGCGTTTTCACAAGTCCCGCTCACACACGATTAAGAGCACTCAAGAGGCGGGCGCTGGAGCAGCAGGCGAGGAAGACGATGACGATTTTGACGATGGATTGGACGACGATAGTTCACTATCGGAATGGAATCTGCGCAAGTGCAGCGCTGCCGCCCTCGACGTGCTGGCCAATGTGTTCCGGGAGGATTGTTTGCCCGTCGTCCTTCCCATCTTAAAGGAAACGCTGTTTCATCAAGAGTGGGTGATCAAGGAAAGCGGTGTCTTGGCCTTGGGCGCCATTGCCGAGGGGTGCATGCAGGGAATGATCCAGCACTTACCGGAACTGATTCCCTACCTCATTAGTTGCCTGTCCGATAAGAAAGCCCTGGTGCGCTCCATTACCTGCTGGACGCTCTCACGCTACGCCAATTGGGTGGTCAACCAGCCACACGACCAGTACTTGAAGCCGCTAATGGAGGAGCTGCTGAAGCGTATTCTGGACTCCAATAAGCGCGTTCAAGAGGCCGCATGTTCTGCCTTTGCCACCCTGGAGGAGGAAGCCTGCACGGAACTAGTGCCTTATTTGGAGTACATACTAAAAACGCTCGTGTTTGCATTCTCAAAGTATCAGCACAAGAATCTGCTTATCTTGTACGATGCCGTGGGAACTTTGGCCGATTCCGTTGGTCACCACCTGAACAAGCCGCAGTATATTGACATCCTGATGCCGCCGCTCATCGACAAGTGGAATCTGCTTAAGGACGATGACAAGGACCTATTTCCGTTGCTGGAGTGCCTATCGAGCATCGCTACTGCTTTGCAGTCCGGATTTCTGCCCTACTGCGACCCAGTCTATCGGAGGTGCATCTCGCTGATTGAGCAGACCATTAATCAGGAAATGGTAAGAATGGTGTTTTCATAAAATAATAACAATATTACATAAAATACCATAATCTTAACTCCCCTTAAGTTGTGCAAACAAAACCAAACTTACGATCATCCCGACAAGGAGCGCATGATTGTTGCCCTAGATCTGTTGTCTGGACTGGCCGAGGGCTTGGATCGCCACATCGAGACGCTCGTGGCCAATAGCAACATCATGCATCTGCTTTATCAATGCATGCAGGACGTATTGCCGGAGGTATGTTCCTTGAAAGCTAACTTCTTTTTAGAAAGCATTACAATTCAATTGTGCTATTTAAGGTGCGCCAATCATCGTTTGCTCTGCTGGGTGATCTGACCAAAGCCTGCTTTCCCCATGTGCATCCTTTTATGGCCGAGTTCTTTCCCATCTTGGGTCAAAACCTAAACCCCGACTTTATTTCAGTGTGCAACAATGCAACCTGGGCCATTGGGGAGATTTGCATGAAATTAGGTAAGGTAGTGTGTGGAGTAACATAATTTATACTCACTTGGTATTTGATTTTACAGGTGAGGAGACCAAACAGTACATACGCCTTGTACTCAGCGACCTGTTCATTATTATCAATCGTCCGAACACGCCCAAGACGTTGTTGGAGAATACAGGTAGGTCGTTTGTGCTGATCAATGTCTTTCGAATATCCCGGACTTTTTAAGAATTTATATGCGATTTGTTTATATATATAAGATTCTGAATGTATGAGTGTATGTGGATCTCTGGAACTTTGTTTCTGTTTTAATTTGTGTTACTTGTTGCATGAGCAGCAACAAAACGAAATCAAACCTCACTCCCATACAACATACATAGATATTTAGCCGAGAATCGCTATTGATATTCGATCCAAGTGTAGCAATCAATCAAAGCGTACAACGTGTGATATTGATTTATTCAGTTAATTTGTTTATTCTTATTTCTTCTGTTCTTTTAGCAATAACAATCGGTCGTCTAGGTTATGTGTGCCCAGTTGAAGTGGCTCCTTATTTGCCCGAATTTGTACGACAGTGGTGTGTAACACGTTTTATAATTAACTAGCTTATTCTTTCTTCCAATCCCCTTATCAATCCTTCCCCTTTCATAACTCAAATTACGCTTAAACAATGAAGCCTACCAGCACATCTTTAATCTCTATCCACTCATCACACATCATCTACACACGTTCTTCAACATCATTTAACTGGAATTTAAAATTTGCTTTTAAACTTTCGTGTTTTCTGAAGCCTGCTAATTTAATATGTTTTTTGTTAAAATATTATTTTAATACTCTCTCTAAAAAAATGCAGGTGCACATCACTGCGTCACATACGAGACAACGATGAGAAGGACTCTGCCTTCCGTGGAATGTGTCATATGATCACGGTGAATCCAGCTGGCGTAGTGCCTGATTTCATATTCTTCTGCGATGCCATTGCTTCGTGGGTGAATCCACCACAGGATCTGCACCAGATGATTCAAAAGGTTACCTACAACATCCAGGTTACATTTCTGTATCTAATTCTTTGATTAATATAGATTCTTCACGGCTTTAAAACCCAAGTGGGTGAAGAAAACTGGCGTCGTTTTGTGGAGCAATTCCCGCCAACTCTGGCCGAGCGCTTGGCCACAATGTACAACATCTAAGGCCAGCCAAGCTAAAATACACCCACCTGCACCCAATAGCGAGCCAAGCAGCAACATCTTAACTAGACAATTATGTACAAGTATGCGTAGTAAGCGTGTCGTCTTAATCTTTAGCCTCTTTAAGTTATCCGATTCGATGCTGTTCGAATGTTACAATAACATTGAAATCTAAGCTTATAGAAAACCACAAAAAACAGCAAATTCACATAAAAGCATCTGCCTAACCAGACTTATAACCACATACATTTATCGATAAATTTAATAGAGAAGATTCACCCATATTCGAAATCACTAGAGGATCTTAGATTTGTAGAACCTCTTTAGACAGTCGTCTGTCCGCTTAGAGCATATTTATTGCCATTATAATGCAGAAGTAGTTACAAAAAATTATGTGTTCCGGCCGTACTTAACCGGAGTCAAAGCTATAGTAGACATACCCAAACCTCCAATACAGTCAGCCCCAGCCCAAAACCGAAAATAGAGTTGAATATGCTGAACACACGGGTGTTACTCATAGGTAATAAAAAAAATATAAAAATCGTCTAAACTAAATGATATTGCGGGTTCGTGTCGCGGTAATTTTAAACTAACTATACTAAACTAAACCGTTGAAAGATGAAAGTGTTGGGCCAATTGTGAGAGCCAAAAATCAGGAAATGGAAAAATGGATTCAAGTGCACATGCATATGAAAAGCTTCAGCTGAAGAAAAAGTTACAAATCAAAAAAGACTGATGTTCAACAAAAACTCCGTTCAAAAACCATAGAAAGCATTCATCACCAGCCGTTTTGAATTTCACAAATGAACCCAACACTTTCAGCACTTAAATAATATTAAACAGAATCGAAGAAAAATCGTCGCGTTTCGGGTTCTTACGGTTTCGCGTTCGCGTATTTTCGTCGCTCGTTCGTTTATAAACGTAATCGTCGTTCGTGGTATCTCGTCGGGTAAAGAAAATTGAAAAAATTAAAGAAAATAATACAAGGATAACGATAATATTGCAACTGTTACTGATACAAATTTACTTATACACTACATGATATTCATATGCTATACAAAATTAGGTGTTTTTTTACGCATTGTGAGAGCGGAAAGTAAATAGGTAAAAATATATTAAATTGAGATTAGGATTTCGTTGAGTATATTATTTCTTTTTGTGCGATCCTTTAACTGAATACAAAAGCAACCATTGACTGATCACTTTTAAAAGTATTATTATATAATTTTTTTTGTATAGGGACAAGTGTAATTAATTAACTATTATTATTTTCTTCAAACTTTTATATAATTTGTATAGGCTCGTGCTTTGCGTACCCTTTATAATTTATTATCTTTGTACAGAACAAATTTTTTTACAATTATACGATTAGGTGTAAAGTGTACTACTAAATGGAAACAAAAGTCTTTGAAATTGTCGCGGAACAACTAAAAAATACGAAAAATAAAACTAGGGAAAACCAAACTCAGTCAAACACAAAAAAAGAAGAATATGATGCAAGAAGATAACCAAATAAATCTAAGTATTAGTATTATGAAATTATGCAAACCGTGTTTACGTTTGTGTTTTTATTTCGTTTAAAAAATGGGGGAACGTGTGATAATAAAGTAACTTCGGGTCGTTCGTTCGCGTCGCGTTAAACTCAACCAATCTAAAAACTAACAATAAGGGACTTTCGCCCCCGAGTCCCAAATAATAAGCGCAATACTTGATATTTATAATACGGTCTAACTAAAGCAAAGTGAAGCAATTGCTAAAACTGAAACTAAACTAAAATGGAAAATCGTGATTTCGTTGTACCTTAATCCGGATTCATCGCGGAATCCGGTCGCGTTCGCGTGCGTTTGTATCTCTCTCGGGTGATCTTAGTGATTAGCGTTTAAGCAGTAAACAAAAAATAAAAAAAACAGAAGCAACTACACACACACAACATTGAACATATACACACCACACATATACAACTATATAAAATATATTTATAGATTTTATGCAGAATAGGTTTTCGTTCTAAATATTGTTTTCACTACGATAGGGCAAACCAAACAAAAAGAGTAGGGAAGTAAAAGTAAACTAAATGTTAGGTCAAGCTAGGGAAAGAAATTATTTCAAAGAAAAACGTAACAAAAACAGGAAGTCAAGCAAGATTTGTGCAACATAAGGGAATTTTTATTTCTTATTTATTACATTATTATCGTGTGTATGTAATAAAAATCTTGAAAAACAACTAATTTTAGTCCTTTACACAAAGAAAATCTTTCACCTCTGTTGATTCTTTAAGTAACTCAAGACCAAGCCTAATTATTATAATTTGAACTGTAAATCTTTACACACAACCTGTAACACCTATAGGTTGATAGGTTTATATTCTTTAATCCTATAAAATTAAATCCACTCTCATTAAGGGTTAAAAAAGGTCTGCAAATGTCTATCATAATTGAATATATATATATATACACCTATACACATAAAAACATACACATATATGAAGTACATGCAAATATGTATAATCCCTAAGTCTAGCTATATGTATTCAGCATATTGGCAAATTAGAGATTATTCTTCTGGAGTTTAAATATTTGTTGAACTAAAACTCCATTTCAAAATTTAACTATCTAGATTTGTGTAAATTGAAAGTATATATGAATAAAAATGTATGTATAACATTACTATCAACAAAAACAAAGTTTAATTTGGGTAAAATTGAATATATTGAAGTTATGTAAGTATAAAAACTAGACCTACTAATTTGGAGCAATAAACTTGAAACTTATTTAATATTTATTTAAGGGGAATATTTTAAAAATATATATCAACATACTTTTCTGGGAAGAACACAAAGCAAATGGACAAAACATTTGCAGGAGGTTTTTTTTAAGGAAAAGTGTTACTAGGAGAACGGAATGAGATTGTCAATATCAAATGCGTTTCCTTGAAGGGTTGGCCTTGAAAGGAGTGTCACTCTCTATTACCCTAAATGCTCCCCCTAGCGAGGACATAAACCCTATTCTACTGTATTACACTAAACCCAGCCGATCTCTCGCAGCAATAGCAAAATGAGATGGGAACCACAGGAAGAAGGTCTGCACCAGCTCATACCGATCCTTAAGAAGTCGCAGTCACCGGACACAGTCACTCAGATGGCCGTACAAATGGTGATTAATGAAACCCCAATAGTTTTGCAATCCACAATTGCTTTGACCCACAGAAACTGGAGGAATTCAATCTCTATCTAGACTTCAACAACTATCTAATCTATGTGCTGACTAAGCTGAAGACGGAGGACGAGCCCACGCGCTCGATGAGCGGCCTGATCCTCAAGAAAAATGTGCTCGACCACTATAGCAATTTGCGGCCGGAGATCGTGGAGTACATCAAACACGAGTGCCTGCAGGCGGTGGGCGACTCCTCGCCGCTGATCCGGGCTACAGTGGGCATCCTGATCACCACAATTGCCAGTACTGGTGGCCTGCACAATTGGCCACATCTTCTACCCTCGCTCTGCGAAATGCTCGATGACCAGGACTACAATGTGTGCGAGGGCGCCTTCAGTGCCCTGCAGAAGATCTGTGAGGATTCCGCCGAGATCCTGGACTCCGCGGCGCTCAACAGCCCACTGAACGTGATGATTCCCAAGTTTCTGCAGTATTTCAAGCACAGCAGTCCCAAGATCCGCTCCCACGCCATCGTCTCTATCAACCAGTTCATTATAAACAGATCACCGGCCCTGATGCTAAACATAGACAGCTTTATTGAGAACCTCTTTCACCTGTCCTCAGATGAAGATCAAGAGGTGCGGAAGAACGTCTGCCGCGGATTGGTCATGCTGCTGGAAGTGCGCATGGACCGCCTAATGCCGCACATGTCGCAGATTATTGAGGTAAGATAATTTCGATTAACCTTCAAATTATATTTGAAATACTGCAGTATGATAAAATCATTTTAATGATGATTCTATCATATAATTTGTATGATACTTATAGCTTAGACAATCCCATTTATTTTTAGTACATGTTGTTGCGCACCCAGGACTCCGATGAAAGCGTTGGCTTAGAGGCTACCGAGTTCTGGCTGTCGCTGGCGGAGCAGAGCATCTGCAAAGATGTGCTTGCTCCCTTTTTGTCCCAGTTAGCCCCACTTCTTGTGTGTGGTATGCGTTACTCGGAGCTCGACATGATTTTTAGGAGCAACGTGGAGAAGGATGACACGGTGCCGGATCGAGAGGAGGACTTTCGTCCGCGTTTCCACAAATCCCGGGCACACACGGTCAAAAGTACTAAAGAGGATAACGACGACGATTTTGAATATGGTTTGTGCGCCGATAGCTCGGTTTTGCAATGGAACATACGTAAGTGCAGCGCTGCCGCCCTCGACTTGGTGGCCAATGTTTTCCGTGAGGACTTCTTACCCGACGTGCTTCCCATCATAAAGGAAACACTATTCCACCGGGAGTGGGTGATCAAGGAGAGCGGTGTCCTGGCCCTGGGCGCCATCGCTGAGGGCTGCTTTCAGGGAATTATTCAGCACTTACCGAAACTGATTCCCTACCTCATTAGTTGCCTGTCCGACCAAAAAGCCCTGGTGCGCTCCGTTACCTGTTGGACGCTCTCACGCTACGCCAATTGGGTGGTCAACCAGCCACACGACCAGTACTTGAAGCCGCTAATGGAGGAGCTGTTGAAGCGCATTCTGGACTCCAATAAGAGCGTTCAGGAGGCGGCATGCTCTGCTTTTGCGATTCTGGAGGAAGAAGCCTGCATGGAACTAGTGCCTTATTTGGAGTACATACTAAAGACGCTCGTCTTTGCTTTCTCAAAGTATCAGCACAGGAATCTGCTTATCCTGTACGATGCCGTGGGCACTTTGGCCGATTCCGTTGGTCACCACCTGAACAAGCCGCAGTATATTGACATCCTGATGCCGCCGCTCATCGACAAGTGGAATCTGCTTAAGGACGATGACAAGGACCTATTTCCGTTGCTGGAGTGCCTATCGAGCATCGCTACTGCTTTGCAGTCCGGATTTCTGCCCTACTGCGACCCAGTCTATCGGAGGTGCATCTCGCTGATTGAGCAGACCATTAATCAGGAAATGGTAAGAATGGTGTTTTCATAAAATAATAACAATATTACATAAAATACCATAATCTTAACTCCCCTTAAGTTGTGCAAACAAAACCAAACCTACGATCATCCCGCATGATTGTTGCCCTAGATCTGTTGTCTGGACTGGCCGAGGGCTTGGATCGCCACATCGAGACGCTCGTGGCCAATAGCAACATCATGCATCTGCTTTATCAATGCATGCAGGACATATTGCCGGAGGTATGTTCCTTGAAAGCTAACTTCTTTTTAGAAAGCATTACAATTCAATTGTGCTATTTAAGGTGCGCCAATCATCGTTTGCTCTGCTGGGTGATCTGACCAAAGCCTGCTTTCCCCATGTGCATCCTTTTATGGCCGAGTTCTTTCCCATCTTGGGTCAAAACCTAAACCCCGACTTTATTTCAGTGTGCAACAATGCAACCTGGGCCATTGGGGAGATTTGCATGAAATTAGGTAAGGTAGTGTGTGGAGTAACATAATTTATACTCACTTGCTGTTTGATTTTAAAGGTGAGGAGACCAAACAGTACATACGCCTTGTACTCAGCGACCTGTTCATTATTATCAATCGTCCGAACACGCCCAAGACGTTGTTGGAGAATACAGGTAGGTCGTTTGTGCTGATCAATGTCTTTCGAATATCCCGGACTTTTTAAGAATTTATATGCGATTTGTTTATATATAAGATTCTGAATGTATAAGTGTATGTGGATCTCTGAAACTTTGTTTCTGTTTTAATTTGTGTTACTTGTTGCATGAGCAGCAACAAAACGAAATCAAACCTCATTCCCATACAACATACATAGATATTTAGCCGAGAATCGCAATTGATATTCGATCCAAGTGTAGCAATCAATCAAAGCGTACAACGTGTGATATTGATTTATTCAGTTAATTTGTTTATTCTTATTTCTTCTGTTCTTTTAGCAATAACAATCGGTCGTCTAGGTTATGTGTGCCCAGTTGAAGTGGCTCCTTATTTGCCCGAATTTGTACGACAGTGGTGTGTAACACGTTTTATAATTAACTAGCTTATTCTTTATTCCAATCCCCTTATCAATCCTTCCCCTTTCATAACTCAAATTACGCTTAAACAATTAAGCCTACAAGCACATCTTTAATCTCTATCCACTCATCACACATCATCTACACACGTTCTTCAACATCATTTAACTGGAATTTAAATAAGCTTTTAAACTTTCGTCTGTTCTGAAGCCTGCTAATTTAATATGTTTTTTGTTAAAATATTATTTTAATACTCTCTCTAAAAAAATGCAGGTGCACATCACTGCGTCACATACGAGACAACGATGAGAAGGACTCTGCCTTCCGTGGAATGTGTCATATGATCACGGTGAATCCAGCTGGCGTAGTGCCTGATTTCATATTCTTCTGCGATGCCATTGCTTCGTGGGTGAATCCACCCCAGGATCTGCAACATATGATTCAAAAGGTAACTTCTACATGCATGTACTTATTTATTATTTTATTATACTTATTGATTACTACAGCTTCTCATTGGCTTGAAGACCCAAATGGGTGAGGAAAACTGGCATCGTTTCTTAAAGGATTTTCCGTCAACTTTGGACGAGCGCCTGGCCATTTTATACAAGATCTAAGGTAAACTAAAATGCGAAACTAGGAGGCATTAACAAATTAGCGTAATTGTCGCCTCAATCATCAGTTTCTTTAAATCATCATCCTTGGAATGTTACGTTAACATTGAAATCTTAGCTTATGGAAAACAAAAAATAAATATTGAAAAGATTTGTAAAAACTTAAGAAATTTATATTTCTTATTTTTCACAGTATTCTCGTATGTAAATATATGTAATAAAACTCATGAAAATATCATCGTTTTTGTTTTAGTCTTACACCTTAAACAGTAAAACAGAGTTCTGATTGTTTTTTTAGAATTGTTATTTGATTAAATGATTTATTATTTATTCGAAGACATAATAAAATTTAAAGATTGACTTGAAGAGTTTTGAAAGGATTAAAACATAGAAATATGTATGTATTGTATTGTATCGTTTCAATAGATTGGCACACAGTTTGGCTTATAGTACTAAGAAATATACGACTGACATCTTTGCTAAGGATCGTTCTTTGAGATCCCAGACTTTTCCATGCCTGTCGACTTTGATCGTTTAAAATTTGTTCGTTCGTTGTCCTTTTAATTGCAGTTTTCGGCAACATTAGATTTTCCCTGGCAGTTTTTCATAGTCTTGATCGAATTTAGTCATACGTCCAATAGTCTTTCCGGTTTTCATCACTAGTTAAGCGGGCAGTAACCCTGCCATATATCGCCGATGACCATATTCGGCGTAATATTGATCATCTTTTGGTTGACTTCCACCTTGCTGATGCATCCCTTAAAGGATTTTTTGGTCTTAATGCCCGGCGCTCTTTGGAAGTTCAGGTGCCCGCCCAAGAACAACGGACGGTTCGTCTTGGTGCTGACGGATCCTTCGCCGCCCACGCCAGGATTGGAACTTATGAAGTCCACGGCTATGTTGATCACAAATTTCGACTTTATGGCCTGGACGTTACGAGTCTTTCCATCGCAGAAGCTCTCATTTTGGGGCAGGGTGTAGGTGGTTGCCACAATGTTCTTTAGATCGGTCTTTACTGTGAAGTGCAGGGTGTTATCCACCAGCTCGAGGATGGCATAGGAGCTCTTGCCGTGCACGGAGAAGAGCAGACCGTTGGGATCCCTCGGGCGGAAATCAAAGCTGATTTTCATTTCTGTGCCGACATCGAAGTGATCAAAGAGCTTAACATACGCCTTCTGGTTGTTGAAGAACAAACCACGCTCTACCTGTTCCGAGCACGGAACTACTCCGAACTCCTCGGGTGGCGTCTCCAGATCAACGCTATCGAACTTGATATTCTTGAGGCAGCCGTTGAAGAAGGGTACCTCTGTTTTGAAGCCGGTCAGGTTCTTAACCTCCGTCTCCAGGAACTTGTTAACGCCGCCCAGGTAGACAGGCATCTCGACATTCAGGCTTGGACCATTTCTGTCCGCATTCAGGTCCACGGATCCGGGCTGCTCCATTTTGTCGATGAGCAAGCTGACTTTGCGGCCAGTGCGCAACGCCTCCACAGTGTGCCAGATGCCATCATTCAATACCGCTTCGCTGGTGATCTTTGCCTGCAACAGTGGGCCCACTCTGATTTCGTACGTAACTTGACCGTCCAGAAGATACACGGCTATGAAGTCATCGCGCTGCTTGCTTCCGGCGTAAACTAGCAGACCGTTGGATCGCTCCGTGCGGAAGGTGATGCTGATGTCATGGTGGCGACGTAACTTTACTGGGAGTGAGTTAATTTGCAGGCGTTGCTCCCGCAGTCCGTAGAATCGGTAACCTGCATCGACAAAGTCAACATCAAAGTTCGGTTGCTGCGGCAACTTGCAGCGCTCATCGCTGGGAAGATTGAGTTTGGCTGGTGGCCGGGTGGTTAAAGTCTTCTGTGGCGATTTAGGCTCCAAATCCTTGAACTCATCAATCAAAATCGGTGTTTGGGTTGTGGTTGTGGTTGTGGTTGTGGTTGTTGCGTTGTCGTTGTCGAAGTGGTTGTGGGAGTGGTCGTTGTAGTTGTTGTGGTGGTGGGCGAGGTGGGTGGTTCTATGGCCTCGACGTCAGGCATGAGTGGGGGTAGTGGTTCGGGGTTAGACCACGGAGACTCCACCTCATTGGCCCCACTGGGATAGTAGCTGGGCACAAGACTGGGTTCGTAGGCTGCAATGAATTGGTTAAGTTTATCGATTGTTTTATATGGATCTAAGACATAACCCAATCGGGAAAACTCACCTAGTACATGCGGAGGACAGGTGTTGATGTTGCCATTCTTCTTCTCAGCACTGTTGGCAAAGTTAATTATCTCCTCGTTCACGGTTACATCACTGATGCAGCCAACAAAGTAGGCTAATGTCGCCAATGCATTCCTGGGAGTTCGATAGTTGTCTGGCAATCCTGCGAAGAAAATGTCGCCACCCTCCAGAATCAGCGGTTCAGGTGAGCCAAGTCTTTAGGCAAACAAGAAAATTAAGATTAGTATAAAACACCGAAAAATAATAACGAGATAAAAAATTCCAAATCTTAATTGGCTTTTTTTAAACCCACCTCTTGGACTCCATATCGTCAACGGAAAGTCGCAGTTCACCCTGGGTGTGTTGCACCGTAACCACATGATCTTCGCCATCGTTTAGCTGACGGTCATCAATTACCAACTGACTGCCCATGCTGTTCAGCTTGAGCAAACCTTCGTCCAGACTAAGTCCAATGTTGGAACTCTGGTCATGATTGGCGGCATAGAATAGCACGCCATTCGGCTGGCTTGTTTTAAAACGCAGCACCACATGCAGATTATTATTCGAATCGATGTTGTTCATCCGGAGAAAGCCATACTCATGCGGAGCATACGATACCACTGTGGAGAATTTCGCCGGACAGCCTTCCTCTACTCCGCCACCAGTGACGTACTCCGTTAGGTCCACAACTCCTCCATTGATCGACACATTGTCGATGCAACCATCAAAGTTGGGCTGCAAACTGATCGAGCTGTTCAGACGTCTCGGATGACCACCAAAGTATAATTTCCTAAGTTTAGGCAGTTCCAAATCCGCTTGGGATGGGGCATTTGACTGGGATATCACTACATCGTCCACCTTGAGAAGACCATCCCGATTTTCTCGTACCGCCTGCACCTTATGCCATTGATTGTCATTGTAGCGATCCTGGCTGCCGGCGATAACGCCTCCACCGGCGCCCAAGCTAATGTTGAAGTAGATGGCACCGTCGACCATCTCGATGCTCATGTAGTGCTTGTCTCTTCCGTAGAAGAAGAGCAGACCGTTGGCCGTGTCTTTGTCCGCCTTAAAGCTAAACTGGATGCTGGAGCGGCTCTTGAAGTTTGAGGTGGCGTTCAGCTGTACGAAACCATTGCCCTTGAAACGCAACCCCGTAACCGGCTTCTTCTTCTCAAGCAACACATCTCTCTCACGGGCACCCTCCTGGTTTTCGTCGCCATAAACAAAGTTCCACAGTCCCACGCTCTCTTCGCCGATCTTCAGATCCTCAATGTCGCCACTAAAAGAGCTGGTGGTCAAGTCGGGGGGTGCATTGAACTCCGATATTGCCGGATAGCCGCCCACAAATAGGCGACTATTCTTATCCACATGGAGGATATTCTGCGTTCCCTCGAGATAACCAGACTTACTGTGCTCGATAACCTCACCGTTGGGTAGTTGTTCTCTAATCGTGAGCTTCGCGTTCGGACCCATTCGATCCACTACAGCCTGATACCACTGGCCATCCGCCACATACTTATCGCTAGTGATTCGCTCTGGACCGTTGCCCAAATCTATGGTGAGAATCGGGTAGCCATTCACAATCTCCACGGCAACAAAGTCGTTGTTCTTCTGAGCGGTCTTGTTGTCATTGCCCAGGTACAGGAGGAATCCGGATGGCTCGGTGGTGCGGAAGTAGGTAGAGAGATTGGTACGAGTGGCCAGCAATTTGGTCTTCTCCGGCGTCTTCAGTTCGAGGACCGTGCTCGGCTTGAACTTGACGCCCACCTTGATGCTGTTGGCCAACTGGCGAGCGGCCTCCACTTGTGCCTTAAGATTCTCTATTTCCTGCCCTAGCTGCAAGGTTTGAATTCCCACCTGCTGCTGCTGTTCCTCGATATCCTCCGCCTGTTCGTTTAGCTTCGAGACCAAACCCTCGACGTTTTCGACCTGGTTGTTGGCCTGCGAAATGTCCTTGTTGGTAAGATCCAGATTTTTATTGATGCCCTTCGCTTTCTCGAGTTCCTTTGGTGTTTGAGCACTTACTGGTTCTAGTGTCTCTAGGACATTTTTCAAGATCTCCAGAGCATCACTGGCATTGGCATTTGAGTTCTTCCATATGTCCCTTTGGGATTCAGCTGGAAGCTGGGCGATCAGAATTTGTATGTCCTTCAGCTGCTGTTCGGTGGCATTGTTCACTGAGGAGATCTTTTTGACTTTGCCAGCTGATCCGTTGAGACGTGGTTCTAGGTCATCTTGTACTTTTTTAAGTGACTGCCGGGCTCTCTGGAGAAGATCAGCTGATCCAGTGTCTGCCGAATGCGCTCTTTCTTCAATCCCATCTGTAATTTGGGTGGCATTGGCGGCCGCAGCGATAGCATCCTGACTGAATTTTTGAGCAGCATCCACGGCCTCCACGATACCCGAGTATGCAGTGGCTGCCTTGATGGCCGGCTCGGCACTGGCGGTCATATCGGTGTACTGGACAGCCAGATCCTGCGCCTTTACAGTCAACTCAGCCGCTCTCTGCTCCGCCAGATCGGTTAGCTCCTCCGCCTCTGTGTGCTGAACCTCTCTCAGTGGCAACTCTTCGTCCACATTCTTGTTTACCGAAGTCAGGACACCCAGAGCATCCGCCAAGCTATCCAACTTCTGGTTGATCTGACTAAGAGTAAGATCCCCATTGATCAGGTAATTGCCCGCGTCATTGATGTTCTTCTCCGCTTGTTGCTTTTGCTCCGAGACAGTGTCGAACTTGGAGTTGTTAAAGGTTTTTTGATTGGCCAAATTCCGGCGTTCCACATCGGCGGACTTGGTCTGGGATTCCTCGCTCCAATTATAGAGGTCCTCCAGATGGTCGCTGAATTCCCCGATATCATTCTTTAGTGCATTTAGGGTTTTGTTCTGCTCCTTGATGGGCAGCACCAACGTGTTCACTTCCTCATGGAGTTTCCTAGCCTTCTTCAGGACTTGTTCATTGGGTGCAAGTTCAATACTCGTGCCGTTGATTTGTCCCAATATGTGTTGAGCTTGGTCTAGAGCAGCATCAATCTTGGTACTTGCTGCCGCCTCGAGATTCTTGGAAAGAGCCTTAACAGAGGAAATGGCGTCCTCGGCCGCCTTGGCACTCTTAACCGCATCATCGTAAGCGACTGTGATGTTACCCAAAGTGGTGCTTGATCGCTCGCGGATATCAATCGCATTCGCCAGAGTCTGGTTGACTTGTTTGGCGTAGGACTTGGCATCCGCCTCCAGTTCGCTATTGGCTTTTTTTGATGGATTTAGGTTCACGCTGTTGGGATCCAGGAGCTTAACCTTGGGCTCCAGTTCGTCGGCCAGCTGGTCGTAATAGTTTAATTTCTGACTGGTGAAGAAGGCGAGGGTGACACTGCTAAAATCAGCCAGGACACCGTCTATCTGGTAGCGCATTCGATCGGTGACATCCAACAGGGCATGATGACAATTGTTGCACTCCTGGCAACCCTCGTCCTTGATCAGCACCCAGCGATTTGGACAGGCGTCGCATCTGGAATAAAAAAAGGATATTAGGAAAACCAGAGTCTGGGACCCTAGACACCAAAAAGTTAATTACCTATCTCCGATGACTCCTGGCAGGCATTGGCACTTGCCCGTGTTGGTATTGCAACCGAATCCTCGCGAGTAGCCCTGGTTGCAGTTGCATGGAGTGCAGCCATCCATCTCGTATTTCCAATGGTCAACGGCACATCGGTCGCACTGTCGTCCCGTCACACCGGACTTGCAGGCACAGTGACCCGAGTGCGGATCGCACTGCGTCGAATTGGAAGCTTTACCGCAATCGCAGGCTCGGCAACCAACTCCTGACTCAAATCCGTAGTGATCAGGCTTGCAGCGATCGCAGCGCTCTCCAATGACATTCTCGTGACAGGTGCAGATGCCCACAAAAGGATCGCACTCCTGGGTTCCCCGATCATCGCAGTCACAGCTCTGGCAGTTCTTCAGTTTAATAGCATCGCCATAGAAACCAGGAGCACACAGATTACAGGCAGCTCCGAAGGTGTTATTCAAACACCGCAAGCATTCCCCAGTCCTTGTGTCGCAAGATCCCTGATCCTCTGGATTTATGTTTCCAGAGCAGTCGCATGGCTTGCATTTTTCCCCCATACTCTCTGGTTCTCCATAGAATCCATTTGCGCAGGACTCGCAACGGGGTCCTGTGTATCCTGGCTCGCATTCACAATGAATTTCGTCTCCACTCTCGGAGATCTCGCAACTGGTGGCGAAGTTATTCGAGTCAAAGGGTAGTGGACAGGCGCAGATCATGCAATCTCCGGGTGATCCATGGGTGGCATTTCCATAGTACCCAGACACACACTGCTCGCAGTGGTCACCTTGAGTCCCATGCTGGCAATTCGTACAAATTCCGGTGGCACAATCACAGGTCTCCGAATGACCGTTACACTGGCAGGGAATGCAATAACCACCATAAGGACCGCTGGGATCGCGATAGTAGCCTGGAGCACAATCCTCACAAGAGTGTCCAGAGTACCCTTGCGGACAGGAGCAACGCTCCACGGCCAGGAATTGGTACTCACCAGGGCCATCTGCATCTTCGTCGGCTAGGGTAAGGTACACATCTGCCAAGTGAGCCACCAAGGTCTGCTCCCAGTAGTTAGCCCTAATAAAGATTGACTTAAGATCTCGAAGAACCATCATGAAATCAGCTCGGGAAACAGGCTTTCCAGAAACCGTTTGGAAATTCGACTCTACTATATGGATGCGGTTTGAGAAAGGCTCATTCCTATTGGGCTGCTCATAACTTTGGTGCACCAGGACATTGTGTTCACTGAACAATATGACATCCGGAGCCACAATGTATTTTCCATCAAAACCAGAGGTGAAATGTAGGGTATAAGCCAATTCTCCACCGTACGAAGAAATATGACTGTTCTGGTTAAGAAGATAGTCGAGGACTCCAAAGTAGGCTGGTCGTTCATCGCTGACTTCGCGCAATGTAAAGTCCGCCCTTACCGTGGTCTCATTCAGAAGAATATCCTCCGTGGCCACTGGCCATATCTCAAACTTGATACTTTCCTTACGGAATTCTGGCGTACTGATTGACACCTGCTTCAGCAGACTCATATTGTAGACCCTGAGATAGGCACTGTCACACCGTGATGTCTTGCCAAAACAGAAGCAAGTGGTGCAACCGTCTGGATTCGATTCCTGCAGATTGTACGTGCCTTCCACACACTGGTCACAATCATTTCCGACCACGTTCTTTTTGCAGAAGCAGGAGCCATCGATTTTATCGCATACCTCTAGTTCGGTTCCGGGTTTGTGGCAACTGCACTTTTCGCAGTGCGGGAAGTTAAAGTATCCGTGAGTGCAAACATCGCAGGCTCTGCCCTCGATATTATCACGGCACTCGCAGGTTCCGTTGAAAAGGTCGCACTGCGCATTTCCGTTGGCAATGCCCATAGGGTTGCATCCACACTCTTCGCAACCGATCACCTATGGATAATAAAACATGAATTTCAGTTAAGTATAGCAAAGGGTGGAACAGTTATTAAGTTAACTTACCTGATGGAATCCGTAAGTGTTCGGGGCACACTTTTCACACAAATCTCCAATAACATTTGGCGGACACATACATTCTCCGGTGGATGGCTCGCACATGGCGCTGCTCGGGCATTCGCAGGGCTTGCAGTCTGGGAATCCGTAGTACCTACTCTTGCAAGCTCTGCAGGTGCGCTCAATCACGTTCGGCTTGCACTGGCATTGACCACCAAACGGATGACACTCAAAACTCGTGGATCCGGCGTAGTCGCAACTACACGGCAGTGCTCCACTGTTGTAATCTGCTGTCAGGGAGAAAACGGACTTCTTGCAGAAATCACTGGCATTGTGAGTGATGTGGAAGTGATCGGAGCCGCAGTTTTGGATAAACTCCATGGTCTGGTCAAAAGTCTCCTCCACCAGAAGATCATCATTATACTGCTTCAATGGGACCACCACTAGGTAATCCAGCCAAACGCTTGGAGATCGATCGGTCTGAAAGATTTTAGAATTCGTATATTTTTTTTTACATTGGGTTTCTTCTTAGACTCACAGTAATTGTAAACTTGAACTCGTCGTCAATCTCGAACGAACCCTCTCCTGGGGGTCGAATCACACCTCGGCATCCGGAACTCGAGGGGCAGTGAAGAATGTCGAACTTGCCATCATATTGATTTTTGCCAGCCGTCAATGTGTAGTACACCTGGTATTTGGGATGGTTGGGCTGGTAGTACTTCACGAGGATCACAAAGAGATTGGGCTTAGTAGCATCAACCTTTGATCTAGCAGAAAGAAAGTATCATGTTATGGTAAATATACTAAAAATTATATTTTATTATAGATTAAAAACTTACTCAATTACAATTGTGGCTTCATTTTGACTGTCCAAATGGACTAGCTTAACCCGTTCATCCGAGTCAGGAGGTTTGATGGTGGCAATACGATCTTCGTGATCAGTTTCGAACTCGATCTTTTTGGAGTCGGGAACGGAGTGGAATTTGGGTGTGGAACACTTCTGATTGTGGATCACACAGACGGGGCTTGGGTTGATGTAGTCAATAGACCATTGCTCCACGGGAACGGCGGTCACCGAGATAATAGGCACACGGAATTCATCGTTGATGTCGGCCTGAAAAAGTGGAATATTTATTATAACATTTCAAATAATTCAATAAGTTAGAACTCACATAGATGGTGACTGGCTGCAGATCCTCCTTGTTTATATAAAAGGTCTTCTCCAAACCATCATCGTTAACAGAGGTGCGACAGGTGGTGGAATACAAGCATGGATACAACAGCACGGATGCCTCCGAATCGGGATTGTTCTTCACCTTCAAGTTGATATAGTAACTGTTGGCGAAGTTCCTATCGCTAATATAATCGATCACGAAAATATATGGTCCACTTCGTGGCACATCTACTATGTAGTTTAGCTCCTTCTGCGACTGGCTTAGGACAGGAATTTCGCCCACATGGCTTACAAACTTAAGATGCTCCGGATCGCTGTACACCTCGATGGGGTTGGTGGGCTTAGAGTTGGCTCCGATAACAAATGGAGTTCCTGCTGGCTCGAAGACCTCCACGGAAGCATATTTGTAATGGCGGCACAACTCCATGTTGCCCAGTTCACAGGGATTCGAAATTTGACGGGTTAGAATTCCAGCTTCGTAATAGGCGGCAGGCAGGAGAACAAAGTAATCGAGCATCACATTCTTGTTGGCCTTGGTGGTAAAGACATATCGACCCGGATCCAAAACAATGGCCGAGGGTTTTACGCCCAAGGGACCAGCAACGGTTACAAACTGGGGATTCAAAGTGGGTTGCAGTAGAACCTTAACGCTGGATAATCGGGAAGTATTAGTATTACCTAAAATAATACAAGGATCAAATGAAATACTTACTGTTGATCAACTTCTAGAGGATTATCCGACGTAATCGAGATGGTGGCGGTAATATTCTCGCTATTGGGATTCACATAGCGCAGTACAATCCGGTAAAGAGAAGACTTGAAGACATTTATCTCGTTGCGCACCTCGTTCTGAATGGCATTGAAAACCACGTAGCCCTTGCTGCTAAATCCGGAGAAAGCCTCCTCATCGTAATCGTAGCGCACCTGAGTGCCCGAGGGCAGTGTTCCATCTTCGTATTCGTACTGGTACTGATAAAGCGTTGGGAAGAAGTGAGTGGTCAGGGGCTGGGTACATGTCAGACCCGCAATTCTCGGGTGGCACTTGCACTGGCCGCTGGTCTTGTCGCAAACACTTTGCCACGATCCGCCCACATCGCAGCTGCAGTCCTTGCACCCAAACAACGAGGCACTGTCCAGATCAAAGGTGCCATCCCGACACTCCTGGCAGCGCCTGCCCTGAGTATGGGGCTTGCAGGGACACTGCCCAGACTTGGAGGTACAGGCGTCCAGGGCGGAAATAGTACCATCCGTCCAGCAATCGCAAATCTCGCATCCCTCCGGATTGCTGGAGTTCAGATTCCAGTACATGGGTTTGCACTCATTGCAGATCCTACCCGAGACTAGCTCTTTGCACTTGCATAGCTCACCCACGGGCACCGATCCGCATCCGGCGAACTCATCGATTACTCCCGCCGGATCACAGTTGCAGTCCTCACAGCTGGGGAAGTTGTAAAAGCCCTCCTTACATGACTCGCACTGCCGTCCATCGAAGTTGGCTTGACACAGGCACTGTCCGTCCGAGTTACAGGACACTCCCTGAGATCCGTGAGAGTCGCAGTGACAGGCTGGACAAAGATCAAAGTTAGTAAGACATGCATTATAATAATAATAATAATATAATAATAATATATTTATATACAGATCGGACGCCTCAACAATTTCACGGGCATATATTAAAACTTTTGGGAATGATATATTTCGGAGACAATTATTTTTCATATATAACACTTTTACTTACGTAGACAGTCCGGATAGCTGTAGTAGCCGGCAGTACAGAGCGTGCACTGTTTTCCGGCAAAGTTATTAAGACAGTTGCATTTGCCAGTGTTGTCACAGGTGATCGCCGAACTACCTGTGGTGGAGCAGTTGCAGGGCTTGCAGTCTGGATAATTGTAATATCCTGGCAAGCATTGATCGCATCTCGGACCCCCGAAGCCCTCACGACAGATGCACTGGCCAGACTGCTTGTTGCATATTTCCGACTCCGTGCCCTGGTTGTCGCAGTCGCAGTCTGTAAAGGAGTAATCAGAATGCGGATCAATAACTATTTTATATTAATTATATTTAATATCTTACATGAGCAGGTGGGGTAGTTGAAGTATCCGTGCTTGCATCGCTCGCAGTTGTCGCCACCGAAGTTCGTAAGGCACTTGCACTCTCCAGTGGTCACGTTGCAGTCGTTGGAGATCGAGCCAATCTTGTTGCACTCGCAGGCCTTGCACTCGGGAAATTCGTAGTACCCCTCGGCGCACTGCTTACAGTAGGACCCTGCGAAGTTGATCTTGCACGGACACTGCTGTCCGCTCTCCGCCTCGCAATGGTATCCATTGGTTCCGTTCAGGTTGCACTCGCACTCCCGGCAGTTAGGATATCCGTAGTATCCGTAGGCACAGGTGTCACAGCTCGGCGGCTGGAATGCGGCACGGCACTCACAGTTTCCGGTTTCCTCCTCGCAGTGTCCGGTGGAGTAAAAGAAGTCACATTGGCAGGCTGGATTTGGGAAAAAGCGATAGTAAATATAATAGTTCGACAGAAAGGATTTCTAATAGTTCAATGAAATTAAAAGTGGTACTTACGACTGCAAACATCAGTCTCATTCCAGTGCTTTCCTTTCGGTCGGTAGTACTTCGGCTTGCACTTGTTGCAGTTGATTCCTACGGTGTTGTGCTGACAATTCTGGCAAACGCCACCTCCATCATAGTGTCCGTTAGTGTCCAGGGAGAGTCCCTTGCGGTTCACTTCCTCATCGTACTTGCACTCGTTGCTGTGACCATGGCAGTTGCAAGCTGAAAATAATGGTAATGTTTAATACAGGAATTGATTATGGATGTTCTTCCATAATAACTTTTCACTGAAAGTAATCAAGGGTCTACAGTTATATTTTGTTGACCCTCAACAGTGTTCTCTGCTTAATGTATCTCATGTCGTACATATGCTCTAAATAATACTCGTCTACCCAATACTCACGTTCGCAGTTAAATGGTCGGGCATTGGTGTTCTGGCGCCATTTCTTCTGCTCGAATCCTGGACAGCACTCGTTGCACTGGATGCCGCAAGTGTTGTGTTGGCAGCGGCAGGCGAGGATGCGCACTGGACTTTTCGGGTCCTTAACGTCGCAGGTGTCGGCGTGTCCGTTGCACATGCATCTTCCTCCGATAGAGATGTCCTTGATCGAGTAGAAATAACGACGCGTTACCGTGGGATCCTGTCGAGCCACGGACATCAGATGTCCCAAAAGATTCTTTGTACGCAGAAGACGGATCCTGACGTTGGTGGCACGGGTCCATTCCTGCAGCACCGTTGAGTTGAAGTAGTTGGTGGAGCTGGGTCGCTCGTTCAGCAGCCTCACGGGAATCTCTCCATTCTCAAGCGGTACAATCTTTGAGTATGCGGTGGTGCAAATGACGTCGTCATCGCGGGTGATTGACTTGTAGGTGTCCTTGCCGAAGTAGGTCTCGCAATCGGCGGGAGTATCGGAGAAGTGCTGCCAAGGGGTCCAGGTGTTGCCATAATCCGTGGACTTCTCCAACGTCCAAACTCCCGGACGAGGGGAGTTGCCCATGCGAATGAACAAATAGGCCACATGGAACTCCTGGTAAGAAAAGTCATTTTAGAAGTCAGAATGTTTTCAATAAAAAATGTGAATTTAAAGAAGACTTGGTGTAAAGACCCCAACGAATTTATTTGAAAAAATATTTTTTCTGAAAACTTGAATCTTTATACCCTTGCAGAGGGTATTATAATTTCAGTCAAAAGTTTGCAACGCAGTGAAGGAGACATTTCCGACCCTATAAAGTATATATATTCTTGATCAGCATCACCAGGAGAGTCGATCTAGCCATGTCCGTCTGTCCGTCTGTCCGTCCGTCTGTCCGTCCGTCTGTCCGTCTGTCCGTCTGTCCGTCTGTCCGTCCGTTTCTACGCAAACTAGTCCCTCAGTTTTAAAGCTATCTGCTTGAAACTTTCCCAAAAGTTGTATTTCTATTGCAGGTAGTATATAAGTCGGAACGAGCCGGATCGGGCCACTATATCATATAGCTGCCATATAACTGAACCTACCAAATTTCATAAGGATCGGACGACTATATCCTATAGCCGCCATATAACTGATTGATCGGAAAAGCCATAACTTTGGTGTTTTTAAAGTTAGGAAGTTGGGATTTTCTATGGGTTTTATTTTTGGCTAATCAATCCGACCTACCAAATTTCATAAGGATCGGCCGACTATATCTTATAGCTGCCATATAACTGAACGATTGGAAATGACATAACTTTGGTGTTTTTAAAGTTAGGAAGTTGGGACATTTTATGAGTATTAAGAATACATCATATGAATAATTTTGGACAATATAATTTATAAAATATTCTGCAAGGGTATATCAACTTCGGCTCCGCCCGAAGTTAGCTTTCCTTTCTTGTTTTCAATTATTATTATTACAAAAAGAACGAGGTGATAATATTACACAAGCTAATCTATAAGATAAAGTTAATCTATCTGTAACAGTTTCCACAATAGGCTTTAATCGTTTTAGTACTCCCTTTTGATATTTTAGCTTTTGTGGGTTGAATCTTAAATAGCCAGTTACTTCTTGTTTTTTCCCCACAGAGTAGGAGGCTTAGTCTAGGCACAAATTCATTTCGCACAAGCGAATTCATTGAAATTTATTAGTCGAATGTACACAATACTTATGTATATACAAACAAATGCGAGACGGCATGAGATCACTGTGGGGGAATTAACTCCAAATGTTCTGCAGTAGACTCGGCCAGTGCTTGTTTGTTTATTTTTATTTTCTTGGTTTATGTTTGCTTTTTAATTTGGCTTCAATTGAAAGGGAAGCCAGAGATATGAAAATTCTCATATGTACATATTAACAAAGATACAGGCAAGCGCGTATATCTATATAAAGAGTCAACATGTTATTTACTGTGTGGTTGTCCAGATTTTTTTACATTTCAGTATCTTAGTTTTAACCATATGGTATTTCAAGAAACTTTTGCATAAACAGACATTTTATATACAGCGCTTCGTTAATAGTTCTTTAAATGTGAATTGTTTAATTTTTGGATTTAGGTCCGAAACTCTTATAATGTTGAGCATTCTAAATATAAATAAAAATCTCATATTCAGTTGCATTCTGTGAATTAGGAGAATTGCAACTAGAGAATAAAAGCCCCCTCGGAATGTGAATGAGATCATGCTGAGCTGTTGAAATCTTAGCGCAATTATTCTTGAGATTAACTGTGGAACCTCGTGGATTTCCGTTGCAAGTGAGATAATAACGTATGCGAGACGACCCCAAACTTTTTATAGAACAATTTCAGACACATTGAAGATAAGACTATAGTTTCTTGTGACTTGTGCTGATTAGCATGTCGCATGCTGGTGCCTTTAGAACAATATGTCTTTATCGCTAAAATTATAAAAACACAGAATGAACAGCTCGAAAGAGTCAATGCTCCGTGTCGACTTCTAAGCATATTGAAAGCCGAGACTTCCCATTCAAGAGTGTGTGCATATATTCCTACATATCTCCATGTAATATATGGGAGCTGACATACTGATAACCCATAACTTTAAAGGGAAAGAGGCCAACAACAAATGCTCGAGCTCAGCAACATTTTTTTTCCTTCAGTTTTTGCTGTGTCGTTGTCGTTGAAATGAAAACCCATTAAAATTGTTTTCAAATTTTACGATCCCATCGGTCGGACCCGAAAACGAGTTGCATCCACATCTACCGTCTTCCTTCTATAGTTTTGGTATCTTTTCTGTTCTCTTCTGCTTACCTGTTCGAAATTGATGGTCAGATTGACTTCATTGAATTTCATGCCCCTGGACAACGGAGGACTCTGCCACCAGGCCTCGGTGCCATCAATCGCGTTCTCTGCCGGATGATTCTTCTCCGGCACCTTGGGGTTACAAAAGTCGCAAACCTAAAAAAACAGGGAACACATGTTAGCAAAATACATGGGAAGATCCAAGAGTCAAGACTATTTTTAGAGTCCGATTCGAATGCTCGAAACATGTGGCGAAGTCAAAATGCAGTGCACACTTGGAAAAAAAGGTGTTGAAAGTTAAAATTGTTTATTGATATTAAATAATCTTCTTTAAATTGATACTATTATATTTTTCGGTATTCTTAGACATTTTTTTCGATAACTTTACAAATTCTATTTATATTAAATTTTGATGTAATTTTTGTAAAATATTATAAACTTATATGAAGAATTTACTTAGATCATAAACAAAATGAGAATAAGGTTAAATTATTTTTATTTCATATCAAATAATTTTATCTTGTTCGGAAACCAGCTTTTACGCGATAACGGAAAGTTTTTTTTTCAGTGTATAATCAAAAACCATCCGATTTTGTGTGTATACTGGAATGATTTTTGGGCGTTGCTGTCGGATGTCGATCATAATTACCTGTCCTTGGATGACCGAGTAGTTCATATGATCGTGCTCCGTATTGGCTCCTACTAATTTACAATATAACTCCGGTCCGTCCGTATCCTGGCCACAAGTGGCAGTGGCATAGATCTTTCGGCCTGTGGCCAGATTGAAATATGGCGGCGTTAGTTCCGCCTGGCAATAGGAGATCGCCAGGATCAGGAGCACGACACCAATGGAGGCCCCGCTGAGCTCCATCGTGCCGAGAGTTCAAGCACTCGAGCGGCGATAACAAAAGTCCTTCCTCGGACCACTTCCGGTTCTATCTCACTCTTTCTCGGTTCACTCTTATGTATTTCTTATCTGCTTGTCACTTTCTTCACTGACTTATACTTGTTCACTATTCCTTTCGTATTTCTTGGTGAGCTCATCCAACCGCACTGGATGGCTCTTCGCGAGCAACTGATGAAACTGCAGCGAGAAATTTTCCTCGAGACACAAAAATTTTAAATTTTCGTATTCGATTGATCGGCTCTCTCGGCTCTTTTCGGCTGCCTTCGGTTGTTCTTGTCTTCGTCTCTTTATATAGCTAAGAGAACGAATTGTTGATTTGGTTTTGCTCTGAACATATGTTTAGCTCTATTTATCCAGTTATCTGTTGTTTATCTCGTTTGCCGGCCGGCTCGTAAATATAACAAAATTGAACCAATTGAAAAATCTGTCTGTTGCAATTCCTTCACAGGATCTGCACCAAACAATTCAAACGAAAGGTTATATTTAAATAACTCAACGTGGTGAGGAAAACAGGGCACATCCTTGAGAGTATTTACCGTCCTTAAAACTCACATGCATGCAGTAAACAAATTAAAAACAGAAAGTAATCATTATTACTATTTTTGAAATCAAAAATCATGCAACTATAATACTCGAAAATAAATTGAATTACGTCATTTGTTTTCTATTTTAATAATCTTTCCAAGTCCGCAATGATAACATTTATTATGTTGAAGAGATTGTAACACAGCTTGTAATACTAACAAATAAAAGGCTTGCCAACAATTCTTTTTTTTTAGATCTCAGACTTATTCATGGCCTGCCGACAATATTCGCTCAAGTTAGCCTTTACTTTTTAATATTCCGCAACTTTCTAACCAGTTGTTCGTAGTCTTGTTTGAATTAAATTGGTTCTTTAGTAGTAGTTAAGTAGTAACCACGCCATATATCACCAAAGACCATTTTAGGCGTAATATTGATTATTCTTTGGTTGACCTCCACTTTGCTGATGTATCCCTTAAAGGACTTTTTGGTGATGATGCCCGGCGCCATTTGGATGTTCACCTGACCGCCTAAGAACAACGGACCGTTCGTCTTGGAGTTGACGGATCCTTCGAGGCCCACGCCAGTCTGGAACTTATGAAGCCCACGGCTATGTTGATCACAAACTTCGACTTTATGACCTGGACGTTAAGAGTCTTTCCATCGCAGAAGCTCTCGTTGTTGCGCAGGGTGTTCTTTAGATCGGTCTAGTACAGGGTGTTATCCACCAGCTCGAGGATGGCATAGGAGCTCTTGCCGTGCACGGAGAAGAGCAGCCCTGGTTAACGCAGTCGCAGTCTGTAAAGGAGTAAACAGAATGCGGATCAACAACTATTTTATATTAATTATGTATTAATTATCTTACATGAACAGGTGGGGTAGTTGAAGTATCCGTGCTTGCATCGCTCGCAGTTGTCGCCACCGAAGTTCGTAAGGCACTTGCACTCTCCAGTGGTCACGTTGCATTCGTTGGAGATCGAGCCAATCTTGTTGCACTTGCACTGCTTACAGTAGACCCCTGCGAAGTTGATCTTGCAAGGACACTGCTGTCCGCTCTCCGCCTCGCAATGGTATCCATTGGTTCCGTTCACAGCTCGGGGGCTGGAATGCGGCACGGCACTCACAGTTTCCAGTTTCCTCCTTGCAGTGTCCGGTGGAGTAAAAGAAGTCAAATTGGCAGGCTGGATTCGGGAAAAAGCGATAGTAAATATAATAGTTCGACAGAAAGTATTTCTAATAGTTTAATAAAATTAAAAGTTGTACTTACGACTGCAAACATCAGTCTCATTCCAGTGCTTTCCTTTCGGCTTGCACTTGTTGCAGTTGATTCCTACGGTGTTGTGCTGACAATTCTGGCAAACGCCACCTCCATCATAGTGTCCGTTAGTGTCCAGGGAGAGTCCCTTGCGGTTCACTTCCTCATCGTACTTACACTCGTTGCTGTGATCATGGCAGCTGCAAGCTGTAAAGAAGGGTAATGAGTAGGTTCTCTGCTTAATGTAACTCATAGCATACATACATGTGTATGTTTTAATTAATACTCGTCTATCCAATACTCACGTTCTCTTTTTTATTTTCGTATCCTTTGGGGGACCTCGATTAACCACACTAAATGGCTGTTCGCGACCAACTGATGAGAGCTGCAGCGACATATTTTCCTTGGGGCCCCAAAATTTTGAATTTTGATCGGCTCTTCTCGGCTGCCTTCGGCATGCTCTCGTCTTCGGCTTTAATATATTTACATGTTTATGTTTTGTTCTCGTCTTTTGTTTACCTCCACCTCACTTCTCCGACTCTTTGTTGTTTGTATCATTCGCCGGCCGGCTGGGACCGTGGAATTGGAACCAGGCAAGACAGAAAACCGGTCCAATGCCATCGAGGAACGTTGTGGAACTGGGTCTTTCGCCAGATCTTAGTAAAACTATAATTTAAAAAGCTTTTTTTAAGATTTAATTAAGGTTAATAAGATCGCCAATGTGGTGTACAAAAATTTGGATACCCGTCCTACAATTCATATTTCATTGCTATTGAATGTCTTCTTTGAAAATACTACGGCTAAGTTAAATTACTCTTGTGGAAATAATATTTGTTTAATACTGTGCCGGATCCACGATTTGATTGTAGGGGTAGCATACTTTTTTAGCATGACATTTTCAATTAATTTTTGTTAACCCACAAAAACCCCTTTTCAGTGTCTACGCCTCTATTTTTAATGTGAAATTTGAAATTTAAATGCAAATTTCTTGTTTATTTTGTACTAAGCCAAACATCCCTTTGAAACATATAATTATTTTTCATTAGTTTGTCAGTGCAATTTATAAAATAGATGTTACCCAGAAGTATAAATATATTCTTCTAAAATTTATTTTTCAGTTAAAAAGCTTAGTTTTGCAGCACAAAATAATAAATAAAAATCGGTTCGTGCTGGTGAAGCACTTGTTAATGAAGCACTTAAAAATAAACTTATTTAAATGATTTTCCATTACCGCTTAAATATGGCCACGTTTCGTTTAACCAGAAGTGTTACCATTTATTGGTTAAGCCGTTGGTAAATGGAAGTACGCCACTAAATCGAAGGTGAAAAACTACTTAGATCACTTCCAACAAAACCCGCTCGGGCCTGACCAAAATGAAATAAAACTAAAGTATAGGACAAAATATGAACACCATAAATTGCAGCTCCGCAGCTCAGTTCAACCTACGATCGCCAAAAACTTGAAGTTTATTGCTATACCGATTAAATGAGCCAAATGCAGAAACTAGCTAGCAGCAGCAACTATTGAAAATCACGATCACAGCTAAATATTGTGCAAAATTCATGACCAAAGCGCCGACTGCGCTGCCGACGTCTTTTGTGCAGCAACTTTTTGATGGGGCTATTTCGATTTCTCGATTTTTGGGCTAACTGTATTTGTTGTACCGAAACTCGTTTTCCGCTGTTTGCAATGACATAAGTAATTGCATTGATAAAGACTGCGGCGAGTGTCAGAGCGGCCTGTTCTTTTTTATTTTTGGCCTCAATTGCTGCGCCTGCGCAGCAGCTTCTCATGGCTGCATGTAAACGAGTTCTGATGACGTAATTCGCATCGCTCAGTTCAGCGCCTTTGCCTTATGCAATGCACGCAAATGAACATTGCCGAAAAAATTAATGGAAATATGCGCTTGTACAAAAATGAGGAAAAAATCAGCAGATTGCAACATCAACAAGAAGTTCTCGATTTAGCTTTATCCACACAGCAGCTGCACAGTGGGACCAATAGTTTGGGGGTGAGGTTAATTATCTGCAATTTTTTTCCTAAATTGTATGAATATTTATTTTTTTAGAAGATCAACGGTTTTTGTCAATCTCTTAAAACTCTAATTTCTTTTTGACTCTAATTTCTTTTTGAAGTATAAGTTTAAGACAAATTCAATTCAATAATTAAATTTCAGTTTTCAATATTATTTTCCAATTATTCTCGTAATCTTTTAAATCAACTACCAACAGAATTACCAATTAAATCAAAGAAATTTTAATAAAAACATTAGAGCTCAACTGTGCAAAAGAATCCCATTAAAGACCAACAATTTAGCGATTGCAGTGTAAACAATTAATGCTGGCACAGTACGGAAAATGGCGAATGACAATTAACAAAAAAGTAGCATGCTCAATTGACACCTACTTGCTAAAAATATGATGTAAATAATAACTTCTTAAAAACATAATAACCAATATTATTGCTATTATTGCAATGGTTGGTTATTATTTGTGCACAGTGGAGAGGAAATCACCATTAACCAATAAAAATAAGAACTAACAAATTAGTCTAATGAATAATTGAACCATTGATTTGCACAGTGGGGCCAATTTGTCTTAAAATACCTAAAGGTCTTAACGTAAGCTTTTCGTTTGCTTTGCCAATATTTTAATTTGTGTTGATGTGCTAATTACCCCATAAATAACTGAACTCCTCTAAGTGGCCCGACCTTTTGCCAACTAATTTGCTCCACTGTGCCGGAGCGGTCGACGTCGACGTCGCAGTTTCCGCTCACCAAACGTTTTCACTTATTCGCGATTGCATGCGCGGATCGGCATTCAATTTGGTTCTAAGTCTCGTCGCGTGTGCATGGGCGCAGTTCTTAGAGTTATCGACATTATCTACGGAACGCCATGGTGCTGCTGAGAGTGATCAAGTATCTAGTGGGTTAGTGAGAGTGATCTGTCCAGGTGTTATTTAAAGCCTGTTATTTCATCACTGTCTTTCCTTGAAGGCTGCGTGGTGCGCGTCTGCAACGAGTTGTCCCAGAATATGTGTTCGCTGAACAAAATGTTCAAGTACCATTTGCTGGAGGTCAGCTAGGGATCCCAGGAATCGGAGATAACCCCTTTAAGCCTGTATATAGTTTTCTGCCCCTGTCGAGCAAGTTCGTTGCTCAAGTCTTTTGTTATGTGATCCAATAAAACATATTCCACCCACTCAAACATTGCGTTTAAAACGGGCTTTGTAGTAGAATGGCAACTCTAACCTTGAGGGGTTTGCGCAACCCAAAGCTCAAAAAACGGCAGTTAAATTCCATTGCTGAAATTGATATATCACATTTTTAAATAGAGTTAAACAAACACTTAGTAAATATTCATTTATTTATATTTGTTGATTATTTAAGAGGCACGCGTTCACAATGTAAGACTTTTTTTTCTGTGTAGCCAAAAGAAATCCGCGGACAAACAGCATTCAATTTCAAGTTGATTTCGGGGGCTATTCACTCGTTTGGAACCAAGCCGTAGTTCTAAAGCATTACACGCTAGAGTTAAATAGTGCTGTGTCTTGGATTTTCCCCACGAAAAGAAATCCCAGCCAGCGCGTTGAAAGTATCTCCGGCAAGGTCTCGTTATGACTGATTGTCCAAATAAGCCAATATTTACAATTAAAGCCGGCTAAACCATGCTCGAACAAGTTTGCACAGAAAAAGAAAATAAATATAAATAAAACAAATCGAAAAAAGGCACATAATTAGCATTCGCCGTCTGGCGACTCTCGTGTCGTCACACATAAGCGTCTTAGCGAGGAAAAAAAAACGAATTTCTCGAATTAAGTAGCTAAAAAATCCCCGACACCATAAGAGGGCTTGGTTGATAGAGACGTCATTCCTTTTACGCTCATCACCTCTGTTCATTCATTAATATGATTAATTTCAGTTCTGTCCGCACAATGCTCACAACGTGTTATCCATTGTGTTATTATAACTCTATTACAGAGATGGGTCAAGTCCAATGTCCAGTTAGTTCGCAGACGTCACTAGTGGAAGTTGGGCTTAGGAGCGGCTAATTAACAGATGCGTGATTTTATGACGTCTTAATTGGCGTTAACATTTTCCTATAAATATCTCTCTTAAGTTTATGCCCATATTCACACCTTTTTTATTCGCTAAGAGACACGTCTGCCAAGAGAGATAAAAAAAGAGATGAAGATAAACAAAAAATATGAATTTATAACTTAATAGCTTGAACGTTAATCTTGTCTGAGTTTGAGGAACTGAGACCTGTTTAAATTCTCTGTAATATATGTTGATAAAATATCGTGTCCTAATTGGGTCTGCGTAAGAGAAAGTTTGTAAAATAAATGGTAAATACGCATACGTTTTTGTATTAATTAAAAGGTCTGTTTACATTTAGAAGAACACATCTTCTTTTCAAAAATTGTAGAAATTTAATAAAAAATTGATTAAGAAAATCATCTGTATAAATTCTACTTAACATAGTTTTAAGATTATCTTGTCTTGATTATAATTATTGAGAAGTTTATGAATGTTTAGTTTCAAATCAATTTTATTAGTAATTTTGATTCTAAAATCTCTAAGTTACATTGATTAAAATTTTTTTATATTCAAAGTAATTTTATGGTTATATTTTTATGCGAAACATTAAAAATAAATTTAATTTCAATTTATTTTTAGAAATAAAAAAGTCGGATTTAAGACATATATATAATTATAAAACTTATAATCAATAAATAAAATGGGGTTTGGTTAGAACGAAGTTTCAATTCCTCCATGATATTATATTTCTCTTTGGAACCTTAACTTTAGTTACAACTACAACATTTGGCAAATGGAATCACGAGACTTGTTCTATAAACTTTATAGATATATTTTTAGACTAGGATAGCTTCTATTGGTCCCTTACGAAGGACCTGCCAAAGTTGATGACACTGCTGACAAAACCGAGCATCGAAGTGATCATGGAGTGGGCGTGCTTGGAACTCTCCGTGGTTTCACCCTTATCGCTTCTACTAGGTCTGACCACCGTTTTCCGACTTCCCGTCGGCGATTCTCCGCTGCTAAAGAGGCGATCCAACCTGAGTATGGGCCTTTTTAACCACTCTCCACTGACCTCGTTGAGCCGTTCATCATCCTCCCGGCTGAATCTATCAAAGGGCAGGGCGTTGACTTTAAGGAAAACCCGGTTAGTTGGGAATTATTATAATACGTGGTTATCCAGTGACTTACTTGTCTGCATGATCAGGCAACCGATAAGGAGGAGCAGAACCATCTTGCTTTCTGAGGTCATTTCGTCTGTACTTTTCTCAGCAAATAGAGATTGATAACTGAATCGAATGCCAGAAAGTTCAGATTTATAGACGCCGCCCCGACGGCGGATGTCGCCCGACATTCTACGTGATGGAATGGAAAGTAACAATGCGCACGTTTCACCAATATAATTGCTTTATTTTACGCTTGTACATTTCGCCTAAGCTTAGAACTACATAGCCATAACCCTGAATGCGCGACATAATAAGTGGCACTGCAAATAGAACAGAAATCGATTGCAGTTGGGTGGGCTTAGCCTTCTATGTGTGGACTTCTGGGCCTGGGTGTAAACCGATCGTAGGCATTATCCACTTCGGCATCGGCATCTCGTTCATCGGGCACCGGCGGAGTTTGTCGATACCGCTCCTCCAATTCCTCACGCGTAAGTTCCGAACTTGGCATTCCTGCACTCCAACCGATCACTGCAAAGGTATGGAGATGGGTAATTGCATTTCATGTATATTCCCAGAGTATGGTATTAGTTTCACTAACCGCAGATAACGAGCAGACATAGCAGATAGAACTTAAGCGACGCGCTGCTCATGACTGTGCCTGGAATTGATTCGTTTGATGGGCATTAACTGACAACCGAAATTCGGATGGGTCCACTTTTTATATATGCACATGGGGCCGGGCTGGAGCTCTCTGCTGATTGGCGATGGTGGAGGAGGCCAATGGCTGTGGCGCCGCGGCCAGAGATTATGCAAATCACCCGTCGAAGACCCAAAAATAACACAAAAAGCGCAAAAAAAAAAAAAAATGAAAAAAACGACAGAAATCGTATAAAAAGGCTCGAGGCGTCGTTCTGTCTCACTGAGTGGGAAAAAACGCTGGCGGCATTCGGTTGCCTCCTACCGGTCTTTGACGTAGTCGTCGTCTTCTGGCACGTGAACGGAGCATTGTGCGTTGATTGATTATTTATTGAAATGCTACCTAATTAATTTACACATTTGTCGTTGGCGATCGGCTAAGCCGTCACTAACTCATCCTCTTGGCCAAAGAAGAGCGTCCAGCGTTCGTAAGGTGGCTCTTCGCATATCCAACCTTCCATGCCGCAGTACTCGTTGCTGTAGTCGGTAAATTCTGGAAGATAGAGGCTTCCCCTAATTTATTATTCAATAAAGAGATTTCATATTAGGGGGCAGTGTGACAAATTTATTTCTGACCTTGATTTGATTAGATTTTAATGAAGAAAAAATACCGTTTTATTGAACTATATCTACGAAATCACAAATCTATTTTCTTTAATGTATTTTTTTTGATGAACAAGAACTATAATTTTTTTATTTCAATGGTCAAACGATCAAAATACTAAAACTAGAAACAATTGTTATTAATGGTCCTTAAATATTCTTTGTTTTTTTTTGTTTATGATGTCAATATTACACAATATTTTTTACGGCATTTAATATTCTTTTTTATAATGCAGTAAAAATATACAATAATAACGTCAAATTAATTTATATTCAATTGACATTTTTCAATAATGATCGCACTTTATGTTTAAATATTATAACTTGGGGTATTCTTAAAGTGTCAGTTAATATTATATTTTACTTACCTAAATTAGGATAACGACAACCGGCGATTGCCATGTGACAACTTGACTTATATTTTCTTATACAGTTTTCATTTTCGTCCAAAATACAAACTTCCTTTGATTCGCCTACATTACCACAAATTTTTTCCGATGGGCATTTGGGAGTTGGTGTACCTCTGGCTATACCTGTATAGTACAATTATTTTTCAGATATTTAATTAAAGAACATCTTACCTATGCTGAAGAAGAGCATACACAACAACTTTATGACCATCTCAAATTTGATGAGTTTAAAATAGATTTTAGTATTTTGTAAAGCATTTTCATTTTCGTTCAACGAAATCGAGCCATGACTTATCCAATCAGTTACAGCTAATTCACGCTTAAAATGTAACTTACTTCTACACTTAGCACAACCAAAGAAAAATATTATTAGAGAAACGTTGTCTTGCCTTATTTGTGGTTGATGCCATCCATATAAATATAAATTATCAAGAATGTTAATTTTTTTGATTAATCAAGCTACAGATATAAACGTGATATTTAAGTGCTTTTCACTTTCCTTTTTAAGATTCTATTAGTGGGTTTTCAATCAGTTTCATTGCCAAAGAAAATGGTCCAGCGCTCGTACGTGGGTGATATTTCGCAGAAATACGACTCCATTGAGCAATATATGTCACTGTAATCAGTGAAATCTAAAATTTTTTAATTTGTTTAGCAGGTGCGCAAAAAGTTAAATAAATAGACTTACTTTTTCCTTGATGACAGCCTGCAATATCCATATGGCACTTGGAAAGATATTTTTGAATACATCCCACTTCTTCATCCAATCTGCAAATAGCGCTTGATTCATCTACCTTACCGCAATCAGCCTCCAATGGACACGATAGTGGTGGAATGTTTGCTGCATGAGTGCATGCTACTATATTTTCGGGAAAGCCATCTTTATTAAATAATACCTTTAACCTTTCCATGGAAATTTCTTACCCAGACAGATTAGCAAAATGGTTAATGCGTTCATCTGGATATTTTAGAACCTTATGCGGCCAAATTCAAAATCGCAATGCGACAAACGTTTGTATTGCCCTTCACAATCTGAATTAGATAAAACCTACTATTGTATATAGTATGTATCTTATCACAAGGTAAATTAATCGAGAGAGAAACTTTTGTCCCAAATTTGTCGTTTCTTGAGATAAGATAAAAAGCTATTCAAACTTAAAGTACTACAAATTGGATTAGTGGGGTGGGCACGTCAACTTAAGTTTCTAAAATTGATTGAACCCTTCTCAAATTTTTTTGAAAAATCGAAAATAAAAAAAAACATTTTTCCTTGATCTTTTATTTAGAAAATTTCTAAATACATACACAGTTACGTGAACCTTATTTTATTTTTTTTTTTTGCCAGTAATGCATGTTAAGAAACTAATTCTGTATTCTACCACTAAAAGTCGAAAAAAACTAAACTAAAAATAAAAGCATTGTGCCATTAAAGATTATATTACCTGTCTTTTTTCTTAATTTTTATAAACAAACAATAAAAAAACAAGTACACATAAAATAAAAAGATTGCGAACATTTTTAATCGATAAAAATATTACAACTTGGAAATACGATTGGACAAGTTTCAGATTTTACACTACGAGATTGAAAATAATACGCGAAATAAAATAATAATATAACTCAAAAAAAGAGCAAGATTAAACATCTGATTATTCTTACAAGTTTCTAAATAGAAAGCGAGCGAATCCACTTAGGTTTTTCATTGTTTATTATATTTATTTAACAACTATTCCTATTGATATATTGGTTTTGGCCAAATAAGGATGGTTTGTGTATCAACTAAAAGCTAAGAATTATTTACTGCATACTTCCGTGCTCCGATGCTGTTGATGTCTTTTTAAGAGGCTTTCGTCTGGCTACGATACAGCTTGGAATAAATGCCATTCTTGGCCAGAAGTTGCGCATGAGTGCCTTGCTCCATTATCCTTCCGGCTTGAATCACACAAATCACATTGGCATTTTGGATGGTGGAAAGGCGATGGGCTATTACAATGCACGTGCGGCCAGAACACGCCGAGTCTAAGGCTTGCTGAACCACCTGAAATAAGATTATTAAAATAACATTAAAGACATCATCCAACACTTAGTGTTATAATTTACGAAACTCACCCTTTCACTTTGGAAATCTAATGCAGAGGTAGCTTCATCCAGCAGCAGGATCTTGGGATTCCTCACCATCGCCCGGGCAATAGCAATCCGTTGCTTTTGACCGCCGGATAATTGGGTTCCTTTAGAGCCCAAAACCGTATCATATTGGGCAGGCAGAGACATTATGAACTCATGGGCATTGGCCATCTTGGCCGCCTCAATAATCTGCTGCATGGGCACTTGGCGCGTTGTGTCCCCATAGCCAATATTATCGGCAATGGACTTCTCAAAGAGCGAAGGTTCCTGGGAAACAATTCCTAGGCGACGACGTAGAGTTTTCAGCTCCATATCGTGGTGTATACTCTCCTGATCTATAAGCTAAAAGTAAAATCAAAGGTTGTAATTATAAGTATGATACTTTAAAAAAAAAATTGTTTTTACAGCTCTTGCGTATTTAGCATTGAAAATAAGTGTTCTTAAAATATTTTTTAGGGAAGACAATAACTTACAATCTTTCCCTCATCGGGATCGTAGTACCGCATCAAAAGCTGGACGCAGGTGGATTTTCCAGACCCTGAGGCACCGACCAAGGCCACCGTTTGACCTTGCTGTATATCCAGATTGAAGTTCTGCAGGACCTTGAGGTTGGGTCTTGAGGGGTAGGAGAAGTTAAGACCTCTATAGCTGACACCCTGTTGGACGACATTTGTCTTGTAGGCAGATCCATTGCCATTCTGCTGGATATCGAAGGATTCGGGTGATTGAATCTGTGGCTTGCGATCAATGATCTCGTACATGCGGTTTGCAGAAAGTAGAGCCGCATTGAAGGCCGGAGTAAAGGCGAGAGATTGGGCCAGGATAAATAGGCCATAAAGCATCGTGTTCGATATCCTAAAAAATTAAGTAATAATAGTTATATAAAGTCATTTGTTTTGTACTTGTACCCACTTCATTATAGTCTCGAATTTGATGTTGCCATCGGCACACATGTGTCCTCCGTAGGTCAAGGTCACTGCATAGCCAAAGAACATGAGGGATTTACCGAGAGAATTGACCAGTCCACGCCATTTCAGTCGGCTGAGGATCTGCACCCGATATCGCTCCACCTCCTTGTCATATATTTTTATCAGGTCCTCCTCCCGACGAAGTCCTGCCACTGTCCGAATTTGGGTAATGGTTTCGGTGGCAATGCGACTCGTCTCCTCCAACACAGCCTTCTCCTTCAGCGCGGATTTCTCCCCGAATCGCGCCTCGAACACAATGGAGGCTATCATGAAGGGCGAGGTGCTCAGGCAGATCAGGGCCAATTCCCAGGAGTAGGGAAAGGCAATGGACACACTGCAGATGAAGTTGGTGAACGCTTGGATAATGTTGCTCAACGGAAAACCTATGGCACCCTGGACACTGGCCGCATCCCCAGATAGGCGGGCAGATAAAGCTCCAATACTGTTCTCCTTGCGATCAAACCAACCCATCTCCTGATGCATTATGGAACTGAAGGTCTTGGAGCTGGAAGGAAAAAATGCTTCAATAAAATGGTTAGAAAAGGAACTCCTTTTGAAGACCCACCGCATTCGCATAGTTAGCCAGACTCCAGCCAGATTAAAGAAAAACGTCTGGATAAAGCACACCACTCCTGCTGCAACTCCAATCACTATCGAAATTATGGCCATGGAGGCGCTCTGCTCGAGAACCTCTTCGTCCGTGGGTTTGGCCAAAGAACCATATAGTTCCGCTAGGATAATTGAAAAAACCGGCATTGTCAATCCAAAAAGCCCAGCACAAATCGCACCAATGATGAGGAAACTCCATTCGGGTCGGGCCCAACCCAAAATGCGGAAAAAGGTACGGATATAATTTCCAGATGGAGTTCCCGGCTCCTCTATTTCCTGATCGAACGTTGGGTTGGCCAGACCATTCAGGTTCTTCATCTGAAACTCGGCATTCTTCTCCAGCGACACAATGGAGTTACGGGTGCCCAATGGGAACTGTTCAACTTCGAAGGACATTTTTCGGTCCTTGTTCTCGGCCTCTTCTTCCAGTTCGTTGAGCAGTTCCTCTGCAGAGTCGTCATAGGAATGGACAGTGACCATTTTATAATAGAATCCCTCCAGTTTCATCAGTTCCTCGTGGGTGCCCTGCTCTACGGCTTTGCCATTTTCAATGTAAGCAATCCGATGGGCGTGTCTGATGGCAGACAATCGATGGGACACCACCAAGGTGGTTCTACCCTTACAGGCTTTATCCAGAGCGGCTTGGACCAACTTCTCGGATTGGTAGTCCAGTGCAGAAGTGGCCTCATCCAGCAGCAGGATTTTAGGCTGCTGGATCAGAGCTCTGGCGATGGCTATTCGCTGACGCTGACCTCCAGAAAGCTGAACGCCCTTTTCGCTGATATCCGTATCGTAACCCTAAAAATGGCGGCATTTAAATACATATACAAATTTTTAAAGTTCATAAAAACGTACCTTATGCAAAGCTATGATAAAGTCATGAGCATTGGCAGCTTTTGCAGAATCCTCGACTTCCTTTTGGGTGGCTTCTGGTTTTCCATGACGAATATTCTCGCCAATTGTTCCTTGAAAGAGCACCGGTTCCTGACCCACCACGGCAATGTTCGACCGCAGCCAATTTAGGTTGTACTTCCGGACATCCTCGCCATCCAAAAGGACTTGTCCGAACACAGGATCATAAAATCTTTGCAGCAATTGTATACAGGTGGATTTGCCACACCCCGATGGACCCACCAAGGCCACAGTTTGACCTTCCTCAACCACCACATTAAGACCCCGCAGGACAATAACATCCTCTCTGGCGGGATAACGAAAGAAGACGTCCCGGAACTCAACGGTTCCTTTCAGGCCGTAGTTAAGGATTTTTCCCGCCTTGGAGAGCGGATCAATCAGGGAAGTACGATCGATAACCTCCAATATGGCCGAAGCCGATCCTCTCGCCATGGCGAAGGTCTCGAGAAATGGAGATGTTCGTGATATTTGATTGGCACTCACAATTATGCCTGATATGACGATCATCACTACCGCCGGTGTGTATTCCCTCTCGTTAATTGGAATACTTGGATCGCGGTAAAAGAGGATCAAATTAGCTCCGTACCAAAAAGATCCTGCTCCCGTAATGAACAGCATCGCCTTCATCACCGTGTCACTTAGCCCGGAGAAGGCTCCTTTCCATTTTCCAGCCCTGAGAGCGGGTTTCAGAAGGGTATCGTAACGCACGGACTCCGTTCGCTCTCCGCCAAATGCCACCACAGTCCGGATGGCTCCGATCACTTCCTCCACCACCGAGCTGGCCCTCACATAGGAGCTCTGCTCTTCGCCAGTGAGTTTGCCTTGGTACTGGAAACGGAAATGAGGGAATTATTTAATAGACTTCTTTAAAGAGATGAACATGTTTGTTTAATTCCCCAAATATTCATTTTGAGAGACCTGATTAAAAATAATATATTAAAAAAAAAAATCAAATTACTCTCTTTTTACACTTGAATAACTTTTTTTTTTAGAAATCTTGACCATTTATATATATACTAATTAAAAATGGAGTATTCAAAAAAAACATTTTTAATAAGAAAACTAAATAAGAATTAAATTATTAACTTTTTACACCTAAATTACTTTGATAGTAAAAAATATAGATACATTGGGACTCATTAAAATTATACAATTTACTATCTGTGTAAACATAAGTAAAATTTAAACATGTAAGTATTCAACTTACAGAGAAATTATTAAATTAAATTATTTAGAAATAAGTAAATGTTTCGTAAATACCTAATATTAAAATTAAACACTCTTTATATTACAGAATATATTCGATGTTAGAATATTTTCTCTCTCAAAAAGTGAAAATATATGCTTTCATTGAGATGGCCAAGTGCTTTTCTATTTTCGGAAAACTATTTTCAGATTAAACAAAAACAATTTCAAGTTCACTTAAAGCTTGTTAGAAAAGCATTTTGTTCCTAAAAACGTATTATGAAATTAAGAAAAAATATAAAAGGGATTTTACGTTTCTTACGTTTTAAATATTATTATTCTTTTGGCTATACTTACATGGGCCACTGCTGAGTTCACCACTAAGGTGAGGGGTATATAAAACACTATTGCCAGAGCCAGTTTCCAACCGTAGATAAAGGACAGAACGACACTGATTATGACCTCACACATTATCTCCACATAATGGCCCAGATTCTCGGCTATGCCGCTGCGTATTTTCTCCATATTGCTGAGGGGAAATCGGGTTATTACATATGTTTCTATAATTTTTGCATTACTCACTCGGTAATGCGAACGGCAAAGTTTTGATCCTTGGCCATGTCATGCCATCCGATCTCTTGCCTCAAAGTGGCCTTGAAGAATTCTCTTCGCATGCGGACTGTGAGTTTTAAGGCCAATCTATTGAAGGCATCCACGTAGTACACTCCAGAGAAAAGCATGAGTAGAGTATTTAGGGTCATGAGAATGCCGAAGGATACGCTGTCCTTTCGCAGCTCCTGCATGTTCTCCTCGTAAGAGGCATTTGTGCTGGAAGAGAGTAAAACAAATAAAAAGTCAATTATTTATTTCAGAATCACAGACAAGTTTTTGTTTTATGTATACCCCGTTACTTTTTTTTGTTTTTTAATTATGTTTGTAGGCGACCTTTGATGTATGTTTAAATTTTTTGAGTTTTTCCGGCTCGAGGTCAACAATTGAAAAAAATTTTGTAAATAAAAGTTTTTAAATTTTATTTTATTTTTTTTTTTTTTCTAGTATTAAAGTATTAATCTCCACGTCCGACGGTGCAGACGTGTAAAATTATTTGCCCTGAAGACGGTTGCCGAAGTGCAACCAAAATATATTGGAAAGAACAAAAAAAAAAAAAAAAAAAAAAATAAAATTTAAAATTTATTTAAAAAATTGTTTCAATTGTTGACCTCGAGCCGGAAAAACTCAAAAAATGTATACAAAGTTACATTATTATAACTATCACTTAGCTTATTCGACTTTAAACAAAACAAAATACAAATATTTTAGCTTAACGATTTTGCTCAAAAAATATAGTTTAATATTTGAAATTAAAAATTAGTTGCAATTTGATTCCTTGAGTTTTGCATATTAAAATCATAGATAAACAAGAACATTAAAAATATGACAGATATTGTCTATTACTAAAAATTTGTTTTCTAAATTATTTTAAAATATTCTTTAAGTCATTACAGTATTTTTTGTATTTTAGTGTATATTGCTTACAGCGGCATTCTTGAATTTTTGCCATTGTTTTATCCCTCTTTGTTTAAGTGCAAAAGTTTTAATTAAAAACACTGGTAGTAAATCGAAACAATAAAGAATTTTGGGGACCACAAAACCGAAAAGACGTCCGATCGCTTTGAAAGAGAACGAAGAATTGATTCATCCTCTCTCAATTTGCTTCAACAATCGGCTTATTTAAAGTCTAAATATAGTTTTCTATTAAAATTCATTCATGTTAGAAAACAGTCATGATTCTAACATACGTTATTTTAATTAAAGCTATGTAAATGTTTAAAAATAATACCAAATTGCTTAATGGGAAACTTTTAGTTAGGAACAAACTTGTTTTAGTAAAAAAAAAATAAATTAAAATTTTTTAAAATTCTTACAGTATCTTTCCGCCTCCGAAGAGGGACAATCCGATGGTCACCGAACTGGTTCCTTGGCCCAGGGTTCTGTCGATGAACATGGCCACCAGTTCGCTGTATACCACAATGGCGATGGGGTAGACCAGGGATTGTAGCAGTGCCGCCACGAAGGCGGACAGGAGCAGGACATAATCCCAGCCGGTGATATATCGGAAGAGCTGCGTATAGCTGATCATGGGCTGGGCCTTCTCCTTGGGCTTGCTCTTCTTCTGGGCCTCTGTCAAGGTCTCATCCGCGTCACCAGGAATGTCTTCGCGGGTCTCCGTCATCGTCATCACTGCGGAACACTATTGCCTATCCACCAAACTCATTGACCGGCGGGGTCAATTAATAGTTAAGAAGACGCGAGCGCGCGGAGCGAAACCAAAAATCGAAACGCCCGCAGTTCGTTTGCACTGGCACTCCGATATGATGGATATTGCGATGGTCTCGAATGGGTTCTTGGCTCTGGCTAATTAACTCCCTCTCCGGAGATTGCGGCTCGGTGCCAGATGCACTGCCGATGAGCCTGATCTGCCTGGGATCGTATTTAGCTTTAATTGTTTTGCATTCCGCTGTTCCGCAAAGACGTTGACTACAACTGCCTGCTTTTTTCAATACTGTCCGGAGCGAAAATGTTCCGCGTCTGTTCGGTTGGGACTGCAGAATACGACTGGCGGGTCTGCCTGGCTATGGCGTAAGTTTTCTACAAATTCGGTTTCTATTAAAGTTCAAATAGACAGGCGATGGTGGGACTCTCGTCGAGAACCCCTTATGGTCTTTTATTAATACCAATTGAATTGATTTTACTCAAGGTTCGACAATGACTGGTGGAAAATCGTAAACCATCTTTCCCCCCAGCAAGGTGTGCACCCATCTATTGCGGAAATAGGTCAGCTAAACAAGCAATTTTGACGTAATTTGCATTCCAGACTGTTAAACTTATGATCTTCCCTGTTTAATTGAAAACTGTTATCATTTAACTGATACGCAAATCAAAGATTGTATGCCATTGACAATGAATATTAACAGCGGTCGTGTGGGTGGCTGGCGTTGTAGACATGTCACAAAGATTGCTCTCTTATCAGTCAGATAAGTTTTGTTTTTGATCCCACAACCTCTAATAATTATAAATTTCGCAAATAAAGATAGCTAAACAGCTTAGACAATCCCTTTGGCTAGAATAATTATAAACAAGTTTATGGATACAAAATAGTGTTCAAGTTTATTTAGATTTTGGTGACAAGTGTATTTTGGTTTTTGGTGAAATCTACAAAAATGTTCAGATACTCAATGGTCCTTTTGGGTCTTGTGTAGCTTGGCATAGATTCCGCCCTGGGAAATCAGTTGCATGTGGTTACCCTGCTCCACCACCTGACCATTTTGGATCACACAGATCACATCTGCATTCTGGACGGTAGACAGACGATGGGCTATAACAATGCAGGTGCGTCCGGAGCACGCGGAATCCAGGGCTTGTTGAACCAACTGTTCGCTTTGCAAGTCCAGGGCAGAGGTGGCTTCATCGAGTAGGAGGATCTTGGGATTCCTCACCAGCGCCCGGGCAATGGCAATCCGTTGCTTCTGTCCACCGGACAATTGAGTACCTCTGGATCCCATCCGAGTGTCATAGCCATTGGGAAGGGAAATAATAAAGCTGTGAGCATTGGCACTTTTGGCTGCAGCAATAATCTCCGCCATGGAAACCGATCGACGATTGTCGCCATAAGCTATATTCTCCGCAATGGAGCGTTCGAATAGAGTAGGTTCTTGGGAGACTATACCCAGTCTGGTCCTAACTCCTTCTAGGGTCAGATCCTGTTGGATATCATCATGATCGATGTGCTAAGTAGGGAGGAAATTAAATTACAATTTTAAATTTTTAATACAATTTCTGGTAAGCTGCTTACTATAGTGCCCTCATCGGGATCGTAGTATCGCTGCAACAGCTGCACACAGGTGGACTTTCCACAGCCGGAATGACCCACCAAGGCCACCGTTTGACCCTTGAGTACTTCCAGGTCCAAGCCATTGAGAATCTTTGCATCAGGTCGTGTAGGGTAACGGAATTCAATACCCCGATATCGTACACCCTCAAAGAGATTCAATTGCTTGGCGAGAGTATTTTTGATAGTCCCCATGGGTGACTGAATCTTTGGCTTCCGATCCAGAATCTGGAATAGACGATGACCCGCGATCAGGGCAGCGGAGAAGGCAGGGGTAAAGGCCAGTGATTGGGCCAGCATCATTGAACCATACAGCAAGGTTTCCGACACCCTAAAATAAAATATTTTCAAGGTTTTTGGATTATAAAAATGTGGATTAAATTAAAATTGAATAATGTACCATAAAAATAAGGTTTTTATAATAAAACATTACCCTGCTGGAAATTTGATTTTCCTATTAATATTTAAACCATATTCTGATTATTTATAGGCACCAGGTTTAATTTATCCCATCCTTACTTGATAATATCCTGGAAAGGCAGCTGACCCTCGGACACCAGAACGCCTCCATAACAGAGAGCGACAGCATAAGCAAAGAATGCAGATGCCTGCATGGTGGAGTTGAGGATTCCTCGCCATTTCAGTTTTTGACGGATGAGTATCTCTACCCTCTGAATCTCCTCTGTATATTCCCGGATAACATCCGCCTCCCTTCTCAACCCGGCAACAGTGCGTATGTTGCTTATGGATTCGGTGGCGATGCGACATGCTTCCTCAATCACCTGCTTTTCCCTCACAATAGCAGTGGACATCATTCTACAAAAAATAGCATGAGTTTTTAAATGGACGAGAAACTTATAGAATCACAACCCACTTTGCTTCCAGAATAACAGATCCCACAATAATGGGGCAATTGGCCAAACACAACAAGGCCAGTTTCCAGTTGTAGTACATCGCAACACTGACACTCGAAATGAAGTTGGACAGCGCCTGGACCATTCCACTCAGGGGATATCCAATGGCCCCCTGGACACCCACAGCCTCACCGGACAATCGAGCCGATAAAGCTCCCACCGAGTTATTCTCATCGTCGAACCAGCCAACATCCTGAGTCACCATGGCCTTAAAAGTCATCGCTCGCATCCTCGTGGTCAGCCAAATGCCAGCATAGTTAAACAAATAAGTCTGCATGAAGCAGACCAATCCAGTCAAGAAAGCCAGGCCTAAACAGGCCCAGGAAAGCACAGCCGTACGCCGTAAGGCATCCTTCGGATCCTGTTCAGCCAAAGCTGCATAGAATTCTCCAAATATGATTGCGAAAGCCGGATACAAACATCCCACGGCGACGGCGCTTATGGTTCCGATGATCAGGTAGCACCACTCTGGTCGGGCAAGTTTTAGAATCCGAGAGAAGGTGCGGAAAAAGTTCGGTTTATCTGGGGGAGCTTCAATTATCTTGGCATTGGTGTCCTTGACGAGGGCCTTTATCATGGTTTCGTCAAATTGGACGCTGTTTTTTTGGCCTTTCTCGAAGTTCAGGGGACTTGTCTCGAAGGACTTCTCAAATAGCGCTAGACTTTTTCCTTTAGGAAATGGGTAAAATCATAACTCCGAATTGTTTTGAATCCTAATAGTATTTACGTTTGGTTTCCTCGACGCTCTCCTCCTTTTCCAACTCGTCGGGCATATTGATGTCGCCAGCATGAACCATGTTGTAGTAGGCGCCCTCCAGAGCCATTAGATCATCGTGGGAACCCTCCTCCAGAACTTTACCATCATGGATAAAGACGATCTTGTCTGCACCACGAATAGCTGACAATCGATGGGAGACCACGATGGTTGTACGACCTTTACTGGCCAAATCCAGAGCCTGTTGGACCTGTTTCTCGGATTGGTAGTCCAGTGCAGAAGTGGCCTCATCCAGCAGCAGGATCTTGGGATTCTGAATTAGAGCTCTGGCGATGGCTATCCGTTGCTTCTGACCTCCAGATAGTTGGGATCCCCGTTCACCAATCATGCTGCGATAGCTCTACAAAAGTTGATATTGGGATGCAGAAATTTTTTGTGATAATAGATCAGTATAAAGTATATAAACCTCTGGGAGATTGGTGATGAACTCATGGGCTCCTGCCTGAGTGGCAGCCGCTTCGATTTCTTTCTGCGTGGCTCCTGGTTTACCATAACTTATGTTTTGGGCTGTCAACAAAATTAACTTATTTGCTTTATAGTTAAACTGTCTTTATAGACCCACCTATAGTGCCGAAGAATAGTACTGGTTCCTGACCCACCACTGCAATATTCGATCTAAGCCATTGGATGTTGTACTTCCTGATGTCCAAATCATCAAGCAGCACTGAACCAAACACAGGATCGTAGAACCGCTGGAGCAATTGCACACAAGTGGACTTTCCGCAGCCCGAAGAGCCCACCAAGGCCACCGTTTGGCCCGCTCTGATCCTTATATTTAGACCCCTGTGCACTATAACCTCTGGACGGGAGGGATATCGGAAGAAGACATCCTGGAACTCCACATCACCGCGAAGGCCGTAGTTCAAGAGTTTTCCATCTGTGGAAAGTGGATCGATCTTGGAGGTCAAATCGATGACCTTGAACAGGTTGGTGGCACAACCGCGGGCAGTGGCAAAGGACTCCAGGAAGGGTGCCGTCCTGGCTATGTTATCCGCACCCACAATGATGCCAAAGAAGGCCTAGGAAAATAGATAAAAATTAAAATGTAGGCGTAATAAATTACATTCATATATCTTACAATCATCAGAATGGCAGGTGTATACTCTTTATCTTCCACATTGCGATCGTCGATGATGAGATTGACGCCATACCAAAAAGCTCCGGCGCAGGATAGATATAGCATCGATTTCAGAACCGCATCACTGACCCCCGAAAAGGCGCCTTTCCACTGACTGGCCTTTCGAGCTGGGACTAAGAAGTTCTCATAACGCTGCACTTCTGATTTTTCACCACCAAATGAGACCACAGTGCGTATGGCACTGAGAATCTCCTCTGCCAAATTGCCAGCGCCTGCATAGGATTCCTGTTCCCGGGCTGTTAGCTTTCCTTGGAACTAAAGAAATTAAGAGAACATTTTTGAAAATCAGAAAAAAAGACTTTGTATAAATATCAATACAATTCCCACCTTAGCCACATAGTAGTTAACCAAAATCACCAAAGGAATGTACGAACTCACAGCTAAGGTGAGTTTCCAACCGTATGCAAATGAAATGGCCACAGTTATGATGAAGCCAACAACTAAGTATACAAAATGTCCCACTTTTTCTGAGATGCCATCGCGAATCTTCTCCACGTCGCTAGAATTTATAAAAATGTGTTATTTGTTAACTTATCTAGAAAGATTTGAATCCTTTAACTACTTACTCCACCATGCTCTGGGTGAAGTTTTGTTTGCTGGCCAGGTCGTGCCAGCCGATGTCCTGGCGAATCACGGACGAAAAGAGCTTTATTCGCATCCGTGTGACCTGACGTAGGGCCACCATATTAAAGACATCTACGGAGAAAATGCCCGAGATGAACATCACCACAGAAGCGATGGTTAAAAGAATGCCGTACGATATGGAATCATCATATAAGGCCTCGCTGTTTTCCTCTATGGATGCATTCGTTCTGGAATTATAATTAGCAGCTTACACTTTTTAAGTCTGTGAAATTTTATTACTAAACATTAATTATGTTGAATGGTTGGGAATAAGTGCTACTTTATTAATCAATATTTTTTAAGACTAGTTAGAAACACCATTTTATCCATTGAGTTATGTATGTTATGTAGAACGATTGTGAACACTTTTAATAAAAACATGAATCAAATGAAAGAAACCTAATAAATAGCAATAATAATATATATAAAACCTATAAATTAATTGATCAGTTTTGAGATTAAATTTCCAAATGTGTAGTAAACAAAGGCCACACTGCGTATGATTGATAATTTTTGAAACTGAATCATTCAATCAGTTTTTCTCTTTTCTATCAACGCAATATATCTTTGAAATTAAATATTTTTAATAATTCAATTACAGATCACTCCTTTAATTTTGTAGGCACTTACAGTGTTTTACCACCTCCGAAAAGGGGCAGGGCATGGACCTTTGAACTGGTGCCGAACATCATGGCGCGGTCCACCAGCATGGATGTGAACTCGCTGTAAATGATGACCACGGCGGGCAGGGTCAGTGCCTTGATGCAGCACATTATGAACCCGAAGAAGAGCCAGGCAATCTCCCCGTAGGTGGAGAACCGGAAGAGTTGCAGGAAACTAATAGGCTCCGTGGACTCCAGACCCTCGGCCGTGGGAATCTCCTCCTGTGATTTTTCCTCGCTGGTCGTGGTGGATGCCTCATCGCGCTCCATGATGATGGCTCGTCGACACTGACGGAATGACAATTAATGGGGCTTTATTATTCAATGGGCCATCGATCCGTGGTCAAGATTTCTTCACTCAAAGCGGGCACAAATTCGAACCAGACCAGACAAAAGGTTAATTCAATTAGGCAACACTCTGCGTCCGCATGCAAGTTTGTTTCCTTGGCCACATAGTTCTCATTGACCCGCGGGGTTAACGAGTAATAGAATATATGTTATTGGTCACATTCCTCTGCCAATAGAAGCGTAACTTTTTAAGTTACTCGTCTGCAGATTGAAATCTGTCCCTTCCTCTGGAACTTCTCCGTGGGATATTCACCTTTTTATTGACACTTTTTGATTTATCCTTCAATTATTGGGACTTGTTCTTGAACAAAGATGATATAATACGCAGACCTTTACCGCTTGAGCGCCCAAGCGCGACTGACTGCCATTTCTTTCGGGAGCATCCATTTAAATTTGCTGCGTACATATATCACACCGTTGGGGTTCAAATTCTAATTGATCTTTCTCTTGGGGTAGGTTCGAAGAGTCTCAATTGATCAAGGAAAGAGTGTCAGTGTGAAATGTCATAAATTACTCTTCAGTATCTCTTATTCCAACAAGTATATTTCAAAAACTTCTTTGTTAAGTGATTGATTTTATTTCAAAGTATAACTAAAAGAAGTTGCGTCTTTATCTGCACAAAAGCCACAATTGCATTATTTTCTTACATTCACATACATGGGATTATAATTACAGAATATAAACTTAGGCACTTATTTATCTGTACTTGTAAAGATACAAAATCTAGCTGAATAACAATCGCATATCACATACTGTGTTGGTTTACAAGTATTTACACTGCCTACACGAGATAGAGATTCTTTATAAAGTTATGCAAAGATTAAAACGCTTAACTAATATGGCAAGTGCCAAAACAATAAGTCAATTTCCTATTATATAAGCTAACTATATACAATACTCTGTACAGTTACAATTGGTTGGTAATGTTCTTCTTGTATTTACTAGAATTTTGTTGAGCTGGACTTAAAGTACAAAATATAGGGGTCTGATACCGCTTTTATAAAGATTACGTTTTATTGGAATTCTAAATAAAATGTGTATTGTTTTTATTCATTTTCGTAATTCCTTTAAAAACAATTAAAATAAAAAACGGTGTCAGACTTCCTGATTGGTTTGCTATTAGAAAAGTGATGGGACATAAATACTTTTTGTCCTTGTACAAATCAAACTTTTCCAGGCTACTGTTAATATCATTTAAGTGGTTCCGGGTGGCGAAAAGCCATTGGTTCTTAAGTCTAATTACGTCCTTCGAATTCCGATCGAATTTAAACCAATCTAATCCGGAGGATTTGAATGTCACACATAGACCTCTCCGGTCTTTTGTTCCGGCTTGTGTTTCGCCAGTGTTGAGGGTGCCGAAGATCCCCCCGTTCCCACTTCCAGACCTCCGCTCCTCTGAGGCATTGGCATCGTGGCCGAGGTGTCCGTCGTATCCGCGGGTCTTCCCGCAGATCTCACCGAGGATCGCTGCTGTGGATCCTGCAGATTTAGGCTCAAATTGAAGCTGTTGTTTCGCGATATGTTTGGGTTCCCGTTGAGGGGCTTAACGGAGAGCAGGGCCGTGGTGGTGATTCCACCATTTCCATTGCTTGACCCACCGTTGCTATAACCATCCTGCACATCGGTGCCGGTCAGCTCCACAATGGAAAGTGCTGATGGCGATCTCTGGATGGACAGCGATACCGGTATCGTGGTGATCACATCGTTGGGATCGTACCCACTGGCTGTGGTGGTGATCGTGGGCAACTGGGCGTTGGCCGTAATGGGCAGGATGCTCAGCGTCCCGGTTTCTCCACCACTGCTGGTCACGCTGAAGGGGAAGGATAATGTGGTGATGTTCGTAGCAGCGGGAATATCTGGAAATTAGAAGGCATTCATTATATTTTAGTTCTCTTTAGTTTACTCCATATATCTAAAAGCTTTATCCTTTATACGTTAAACAAATCTTATATTAGTACCAAAAATATAGAAAACAAAGTTTTTAATATAGATGTACATATTGTTTTTTTTAGTATTTAAAAAATGTATTGTTTAAGTATTTTGGAAATATGCGTAAAAATACCATATATGTAACTAGATCAAATTGTTTTTAAATTTTTAGTTTTCTTTACTGTGTTTTTTAAGATTTAAAAAACAAAAACTTGTTCTAATATTTTAGGATGTGAACATTTTAGCTATGCTATCAAAAATGTCAAGACAATGAAAGCTTTGTCCTTTTAAAACATTTTCACTTACTGCTTGCTGCGAATCCCTCCTTCATGCTGGCTGCCAGGGCGGCGGTGGCGGGATGTCCTGGAATCAGAGTGTTATTGGACGATGAGCTATCCATCTCTTTGATGGGCGAGAGCAGCAGCGTGCCCAGCACCTGGCCGCTCTCCTGGTGCAGAAGGGTGTCGGGTGCGTAGGAGGTGGGGTACATGCCCGGTGGTGTGCTGGTGGTGCTCAGCTGCTGTGGTGCCATGAGGACCGAACTGGTGGCTACACGGGAGTGGTGCAGGTTTAACAACATGTTGCAGGTTTCGTGCATGGGTTGTGGGTCTCACTCACCTGGATTCGTGCTGCCATCCTTGGCTACCTCCGGCGTGGGAATCCTTGGTCTGGTCTTGGCCACATTCACATTTAGGCCATTTAGCTTGGAGTCTGTAAATAAAGAAAAAGTTTTATTTTGGGATGCATACTTTTGGGGGCATATAATAATTAGACATCAAATTATAAGTGAAATCAAATTCTTTAAAAACGATAAGAAGAAATTGAAATCTAGCTTTATCGAATTATGATAATCTTTTGAGTTTGGCTTTATCTAATAATGATATTAGAAAAAAAATTTGTGTCTAATCCAGAAATCTAGAAACCAAATGTTTCTAGTATGGTCTTTCTTTTCATATCTAAATTAAACATTTTGTTATTATTTTATATAAATTATTACATTATAATAAAGAGTATTTTAAATTTGATTATAACCAATTTTATATCTAAATATTTACTCACTTTGCTTGATAAGTTGACGTTGTGCCCTGAGCGATTTGCGATGCACAAACTTTCCATAGATACTTGGCTTACTTGGCTGCGAACCCGCCTGCTGTTGCTGATGCGCCTGCTGCAGCTGCTGCTGTTGCAGGATGGTCAGGGGCAGACCAGACTCTGGACTAGAGTACACGGAGTTGAGGCGATTCCGGTTGAAGGGCATTCCGCCGGAGGAGTAGGCTGTCGACTGGCTTCTCATCGAACCCATGCGGGATAGCTGCCTCACCAGCCAGTTATTCTTCCGCCTTTCCACCATTGGGGTGTCCACGCTCTCCTATTATTGGTTAAGTACATTATCAAAAGGTGTCCTCTAGACCGAAATTACCACCCAGTTATCTTTCGGAAATGCATAACACTATAAAATTTCCAATAATATAAAAAACTTAAAATAAGCTTCTATAAATAAATTATGCTTTGGGAATATATTTCCCAAAACGCTAAAAGCCTCATCATTATTATAGGTAGAGCAATAACACAGTAGCTGACAGTGGCTATCAATCTGAATTTTTAGTGGATTTCTAAATTTAGTGCTTGTTAACTAACAACACTATTTTAGTGTTATTTACGGTTCCACCTTTTTCAAGCCACTAAGTGAGTTCTAAAAATGTAAAATAAATATGTTGCAATTGAGTCTTTAAAGTACTAAATCTAGTTTCAACGAATTTTCTATTCTTTATTGTCTTATTAGACCTAATTAAAAATATGGAAGTTATTTTCCCGTTAAAGAAAGAATGCTGGTAACTAATAAGTTTAAAAATAATATATTTTTTGGATCCTCCAAATAAATTTATATTTATATATCTGTACTCACGTAATCCGCGTAGACATCGTCGCTAAGCATCCGTTTTCCGCCGCCCGGCATTATGTTGGCGTACATGGCGTCCTCCTTCTTGACCTTGTACTTCTCGGCGGAGCCCTTGGGCTCGTCCTTCCGGTAATGTTCGGACGCCACTGTATAGGGAAGATCCTTGGGCACCACGCACTCCCAGTACTGATCCCGCAGCAACTCTGGGTGCTCCTCGTGCATCTCGTCGACGATCATGTAGGCAGCCTGAAAGCGAGTTTATCAAAAAGTGGATCAGTCGAGGGCTGTTCAATATCGAAACGTGTTTGCCATTTGCGATTTTCTGACTATTTCGAGGAGGCACTTAGCCCAATTACGTCACAATTGAACCGTGGCTACTGGCCCACATCGAAACAAAAGAAAAAGTGAAATTGTTTACAAGTTTTTAATTATTCCATAACAAAACCAGCACACATCCCACAAGAGAAAAATTGCAAATAATAAAAACAGAAATAATAATAATAAGCAAAGGTATAAAAAATACTCATTTGCTTAATCACTTCGCCGCGATCTGTTTTCAATTTGCCATTTACGAGCGACTGAGCCAAGAGTCACGTCTGGTCGTGTGGAGTGCAGTGGAAATGGGCCACAAAACCTGGCAGAGGTGTTGGCATTAACCCCCTGCTGATAACCGGGCTCAAAGCGGGCATTTGTGTGCTCGACCGCTTGGGATGCATTTCCGAAACCGAGTAAACCCAGCGGTGACCATAAAAACACACACGAAAACAGTCAATGATAAAGCTCTACAAAAGAGGTTTCAATGTTTTCAGTTCGCATTTTTTGTATTGTTTTTTTCTCATTTTTTGAACAAAAACCTGTTTTCAATTTACTTTTGCTGCTGCTGCCGCTAACTTTTGTAAATAATTGCAAGCAACGGCAGGCCCCAAACACAGATACGAACGTACACACTGCACACATGCAAAACGCGCTCCTAACACAGAGCAACATCGAGCTCCAAAGCCCAAGTCCAAAACTTCAATCAGCATCAGAAGCGTCAGAAATATAGTCGAATTGTGATGCCCTAATCTTGCTCTTAATTTCCATATTCTGGATTTTACCAGAAATATTTTTTTTTCTATCTGAAGACCTTGTAATGAAAGCCTGAGCCCAAATACATGGAATACTATTATTGTATTATTTCTAATCTCATGGATAAAGGTTTATTTAGATCGTTTTACAGGCACAGGGAAATTTTGAACTAACTTGTATTCATTGCTTTATTAAAAACTTAAAGAAACTTCCTATATATTGTTTATTAAATGTAAATGTATTACAACATTCTCATGATTCAAAATTATTTTCTAAGTTTTGCTGGATTAATGAATATTACCTTTAAATAAATCTGCTTTAAATGGAAATGTATTCTTCCTATATTTTAGGACATTAGCTCATTGCTTTTTAGTTTGTGCAAAAACGGAAATATTTTTTTAATTGAATAGAAATTGCAGCTTATACTCAACACTGAATAAATGTGTCTACAAATTCGTAATTTTTTCTTATTTTATCACTCTATCGTAATGTTTTTCTCAGGTGGATATAATTATATACTAAAATGTACTAAAATGGATATAAATATAACATTTTTTTTTTAATTCAAGGCAATTTAAAATTCGTTATGCAGTTAATAATATTTGCCTCCTGAGTGTTTTGTTGGCTATGTGGAGAATGCCTGTTATTTTTAGCACGTGGCAGACAGACATGTTCTTTGCCTTTCAGCAGCAATCCAAGAAGTGGCTGACTCAAGCGATTATCGCTTCAAGAGCGAAAAAATCTTTACTTAGTTCGCATGCTAACCCAATAAGCGAATTCAGATTTCAGCAGTCATAATACTTGGAAACCTATGAAATTATAATTATGGATATTACCCCCTGACCAGATACGTATAAGTATCTTAAGGATTTGAGCTGCTCAAGGTTTGAGTTAATTGCTGAGTTTCGAAGAATTTGGATTCGTAGACCATCTGTTCCAAACACTGTTCTTAATTTAATAAAAAAAATTAGTGCGTTTATCTACCTCATGCTAAATGAAATTAATTGGGAGTTATTCGGGTTTTTGGTCAAATTCAAAGGGGGGCTTTTGTTCGCATCTCTAACGAATGATGATTGTTTTATGGTTGCATTCACCGCAGGAATTATTGCCACTGCTTATTAAAAATTTTTATCGGATGGTTTTACTGAAGACAATGTGCCACATCGAATTACGTAAAGATCGTGCAAATTATCTGCACCTGTGACTCACCTTGATGTGCCGGTCAATCAGCCAGTTGAGCTCGATATCATCGTCATCTTCGCCAAAGGGATTGATTAGCACCTCGGCCACTTTCAGCCAGCCCACGTAGAAAACAAACTGCAAAGATTAATTGAAAGCGATTGGATCGAGTAAATACATCATAAAAAATAAACAATTTCAGCAGAACTTGGGAACATTTTAAAAGGCACGCCAGGGAAAGCTTCGCAATTCCATTCACTTTTTGTGACTTCAAATTATACGGCATGGACATTAACAGTTAATAATGATAACTAAACACTTGTCACAGATTTATATCGCGGAGAAACACAAACCAGACCAGAGCCTGGAATAATGCCAACTTATTACGTGGAACGTGACCGCGAATCGTTTACATAAGGCACTTGAAATCTGTCCCTAGCGGAGAACCGCAGAAACCAAAACGGAAAACAGCAAACACAACTGTTGTAACTGGTCATATCATGATATAGCCATTATACAGTAAACTATATATAGACCATCGGTGCGGCATATCGCTAACAAGGTATAGCCATTACATTCGACCACTTAGTTCGTCGAAAAACAGCAAAAACAATTGCGAATAACAAAAAACCGCAACAAGTTTTAAACTTTTACAAAACGCCGAGACGTGCAAATTTGACTCTGATTTATGGTAAATAAGGCGGAACGTGCAAATTAAGATAACTTCTAAGCCGTCATAAATCAAGCGGGAAAATTAAAATTAAATTATACGAATTAATAGTTTACCTGCAAGACCGTGAAGAGGGGAAAGTATAGATCGGGATCTTCGCGACCGTTTTTATCCAATACATTGGGTAACATCTGACGGCCCAAAAGGGCAGCTATGAAATAGGTATACAGCACCAGTGTAACCACCTGAAAATATTGATTTCATTATTATATTTATCATCATTTTATTTAAATTTAATTATTCAAAGATATCAGGTGACAGATCGTTGAATATATTAACTTTGCAAAATATGACTTTTAATAAAGATACAGATAGGCTTATTTGGATTTTAAATAATTTTGAAATATGTAACCTACTATATCTATGTATTTGTGAAACTCACCTGAGTGTAGACCAGAGGAACACAGACCGTATCGTAGCCAATAAGACCACCCAAACGTCTACGTATATCTGAGAGTTCCACCAAAATGGTTTGGACAATATGATCCGAAGCAATAAGGCCATCCTTCCTGGCTCGATTGATAATGTTGGTGGCCCAGACCAGGGGCATCCAGTACTTGGACATGGGACTCTTCGCATTCAGAGCCTCGAAGATCTTCATCTCGGACTCGTGCATCAGACCCGCATCCACAAGATGCTGGGTGGTGGGAAAGCGACGTTTCACTCGGAGGGAAATTCGCTGCAGGGTGATCACATAGGCCAGAACCATATAGCGCATGATATTACGACGCATTAGGCGACCCGTTTCGTTCTGTTTATTTAGGTGTTTAAGTTGGTTAAAAACGAGTTCGTTGGGTTAAATCTATTAAACTATTGCCTTACATTTACGCCGCCATTTGAGTTGGGTATAGCTGCACTTATGAACAGGGCCAACGTATCTGGCCAGGGCAAAAGACGATACTGCTCCCACCAGCGTTTCACCACCAAATTTACATAGAAGCCCAGCACAAAGGACATGGGTATACTTTCACTTTGCTGCCCAAAGTACAGGCGAATTTTCTTAAAAATGCTGTTGAAATACAAAGATTATTATGGCCAAGTTGCTTAAGAGAAACTCTATTAATACTTACGCCTGCTGACTTTCTGTCAGGCCAAATCTGTAGATAACATTTATAGTATAGTATAAACACAGATACGCAACTAATTCGCGCCAGATCAATTTGTAAACGCTGCCGCGCCATCTGTTAAAAGAGGAAAGGGATTTTAATTAAATAACTTAAAGGTAGTAGTCGAGGAATTCATGGCTTAGACGACTTTGAACTGTAACTAACTGGTTTTGTTTGATTGAAAATGATTTCCTCATCGGACATTTATACAAGTCCCCCTTTTAGCTGATCATTTCTTTAAATTATGTTTTCGTGGTTAATGGGTCGCTAGTTCTGAAAGATTTTTTTAATGGAGGTATTCCAATCTTGCATGTCAGTTCCAATGAATTCTAATGTCCCAAAGTGTGATTTGATACATTATAAAAAAATATATGTATAATGATTGGCATAACCGCTTTGAAACTGGTACTATTCAGGTGGGGTCTTTGTTCTGTTTGTTTTGATCAAGGTTTCGCTTGCCTTCTTCTTTTTATACCCTTGCAGAGGGTATTATAATTTTGGTCAAAAGTGTGCAACGCAGTGAAGGAGACATCTCCGACCCTATAAAGTATATATATTCTTGATCAGGATCACCTCCTGAGTTGATATAGCCATGATATAGCCATGTCCGTCTGTCCGTCTGTCCGTCTGTCCGTCTGTCTGTCCGTCTGTCTGTCCGTCTGTCTGTCCGTCTGTCTGTTTCTACGCGAACTAGTCTCTCAGTTTTAAAGATATCGAATTGAAACTTTGCACACACCCTTCTTTCCTTTGCACGCAGTATATAAGTCGGAACGGCCGGGATCGGCCGACTATATCCTATAGCTGCCATATAACTGATTGATCGGAAATGCCATAACTCTGCTGTTTGTTAAGTTAGGAAGTTGGGATTTTCTATGGGTTTTATATTTGGCCAATCAATCCGACCTACCAAATTTCATAAGGATCGGTCGACTATATCTTATAGCTGCCATATAACTGATTGATCGGAAATGCCATAACTTAAGTGTTTGTTAAGTTAGGAAGTTGGAATTTTCTATGGGTTTTATTTTTTGCCCAATCAATCCGACATATCAAATTTCATAAGGATCGGCCGACTATATTCTATAGCTGCCATATACATAACTGAACGATTGGAAATGCCATAACTTTGGTGTTTTTAAAGTTAGGAAGTTGGGATTTTTTATGAGTATTAAGAATGCATCATATGAATAATTTTGGAGAATATAATTTGCAGAATATTCTGCAAGGGTATTTCAACTTCGGCTCCGCCCGAAGTTAGCTTTCCTTTCTTGTTAAAATTTGGGTTGGTGTGGCATTAACCTTTGTTCAAGAAAATAAGTAAAAAAAACTTTAACTATTGGAACGCGGGGTTATCGTTTAAAACAATATGTTTTTTAAGTAATTTTCACATTTTCTCAGCCATAAAAGTCGCTTGCATAAGTTTCCAATTAGTAAATCCATTACAGAATGTGTGCCTTATCAACTGAGCTTTCGGAACTTGGGTGGTAAAGCTACCAATTTTTCTTCTTTCTGGTTTGAATAGCAAAAACTGGAACTGTGCAACAGTAACTGGAACTGGAATTGCTATTCTAACTGCCCAGTTACGAGTGACTGCACTTGGGAAACAATTAAAGCGAACTGGGGTTAAAAATAAACACACTCTAAAAACAAAATAACCTGAAACCATATATTGCCGGGAAGAGCTGTCAATATGGGGTCTGAATAGAGAGGTTCAGAGTATTGGATGTTAATTGGGTTGGTAAACACTCGAACAGGTGAATGAGTAATGCGGAAAAATCCCCGGAATCGGTACCTCTCAGGTGGTGACCCAGATATTTAAGACCCTGTTGTATACCTAAGTTTTATGCTTTATGTTTAATGACATTTTGGTACAAAATCTTTTGTATAAAATAGTTATTAATGCTCTAAATAATTTAATTTGTTATTAAGTATTTAGTTTTATTTGGGTAAATAATTTTAAATATGTTGTTTTCTTGATTTAACTTTTGTTTTGTTAGTGAATTGCTTCAATGAACAGAAAAATATTTCTTAATGATTACAAGACTAGACTTTCTTCTGTTGAATTCTATAGTTTTCAGATCAGAAACCACATCGGTTTTTAAGTGTTTCATCTATATTTTCCTATAGATATTACTACTTACTTCCATAGGATCTTCCAGAAGCAGCCGAAGCTGCTTCCGTTTGGCACTTCACCCGCATATGAGACGGTCATTGTTTGTAGAGGTCCCTTCTTTTTGACTTAGCTTTTTTTGCTGATCTTGTTTTGTTTATTTAATCACAAACAATTGGGTTTTATTGTTTTTTTTTTTTGCCGGCGCTGGGCCGCTGCCAATATGGAGAAGGCCGAATTGTAGTTGTTGTTTGACGCGAATTTTGTTAATTGTTTTTGTTGTCGCGTCATTGAAAGCAGCGTCGCCGTTGGCTGCTTTCCCTCTCTCTCACACCCCCGCCGCTCAGGCTGCGACTCTCTCTCTTTCTCGCTCTCTCCTCGATTTGGGTTTTTAAGCTTCTCCTAAAAATTAACAAAATACTACTTGAAAAGTGTAAAATAATTACAATATATTTTGTAATGTGGAATTTAAAGAATTTCTTTAAAAATATACGTTCTTAAATTGGTTTTCGTCAGATATAATTAAGAGGAAAAATACAAAATTTAATAATAAATTAAGATACAACTTCTTATTTTACTGAAAACACTTTAAATAAAAATAATTTAAAAAAAAATCAAATCTTTTTTTTAATGTTTTAAAAAATGAATTATTAGTGATGCATTAAATATTCGATTTATTGGAGCTTGACTGTATCCCCAACAATAGAAGACAGGTGGTGGGCGGTCACATGCGCCTGGTAAAAATGTAAAAAGAAATACACATGCAATCCATGCAAATAATACTGGAGGGCTAAAAAGCTCAACTTAAATTCCGGCACGTATCGAACAATTTTTCTGTGGTGTTTCTGTTGTTGCTGCTGTTTTCCATTTTGTTGATTTTTATTTTATTGGCTATGCACTTTCAGTTCGGGTGAAATGCGGTGTTAAAAGCTGAGAACAGAGTTATGGCCATATTTAAATTTATCACTATTTTAAAGGTTTAATATATAATATACACTTTATAAGATATTTTTTGTTTCACTTCACTTTATTGCAATCACCTTGTATACACAATTATTATGGGTTCCCTTTTTAACCTTTTGTTTATTTTTTTTGAGTACTTAAACATCATTTTGTGGCCAGGATTTCCCCAAAACTGTAGACTCTCCTCAATGGCAAGTTATCTGAACGGCTTGATGTCGGGAGTTTTGGTTCGATATTTTTTTTTTCCTGAGAAAACCTTGGGTTGGGCAAAAATTCGGCAGTTTCTCTGTATTTTTTTGTGAGTGCTTAATTTGCGCCGTCAGCGCCACGAGTTTTTATCGTTTCCCGTTTTCTGATGATTCGGGTCTTGATTAATTCCATTTATGCTGCGTTTCTCCGACGCGATTTTGATTAATCGAACGATTGCCGATCACTAAGTTTTGAAAAAGTGTTATCAACTTGGGCCTGTAAATGCGAATATTTGAAACCTGTTGTATTTGCTCCTTAGCGCTAGTCGAAGCTGCAAATATTTGCATAAGCCATAACCAGACAGAGGCAACAGAACGGGTTCTACATCGGGCTTAAGCTATACTGATTCCAGGCATGGGGAACTCCATCAATTTTCACTTTAGCGCGTTAATTTCGTTTACAAACATAGCAGGTGATCTTCAGGAATGTAAGACCCAACCGGTTGTGAACAGAGGTCTAGGCCAAGTTAAGTCACGATGGCGTTTGATTACACGGCTGGAGAAACCACCCACTACCACTGGTTTCCCAAGAACTATTCGATTGTTTAGCAGTTGAGAAATAATTAAAGATAGTCGTGCCTCGCAGATTAGTTATTTACACTGGCTGGCAGATGAAAGTTTCGCAATCTGCATGTTCTTTGGGGACAAATAGTAGTCATTGACCCTGCGCGGAGATTTAATCTTAGCTGTCCACTTCTGTGGTAATATATTATCTGAACAAACAACCTGTCAGTCAGTGCCCAAGATATGAGAGGTTGCAGCTTCTTGAAAAAAACACATTGCGTATACGCGATATGGAGTAAGTCACACAAAGAGCCGACTTTGATTGGTGACGAATTTGGCTCGAATAAATTTCACTTTCTTCTGACGTATTTGCTCCGCAATTTGTTTACCAAATGAGTCAAAGCAATGGCTCTTTAATTTGCCTGCCACTTGTACTTTTTTCATTCGGGAGTCGTTCCCAGAAATAACTACTTGAGAGGTGGGAGTTTTTGGGCCTCATTAGCACACAATAAAGCAGATATATCTAGGCATGGAGCCGATTTCTGTTAGCATTGTTAGCATTCTCCATAAACTCATTAAGTATTATTGAAGCGATTTAAACACCACTTTTGGGAAAAAATTAACGTGTTTGTTAAAGTATTCAAGTTTATCACTATTAATCTTTTGTAGAAGGCTTTAAAAATATAAAGCTTTTCATTAATTTACATTGATTTATTGCTGGCACTCATATGATCGCTTAAAACTTTAATTTATTCGCTAATATATCAAAATACATTCAATTTATCATTCGCGTGTGGATTATACAACAAAGCACAATCAATTACTTCATTACCTCGCTATTTTTAGTCATTTCTGTTAATATATATACATCTTTCTAATTGCTCTTCACTCATTAAGCATGTTCAATTGAAAAATTGCATCCGAATTTGGCGTTGCCGCTTATTCAGTCAATAGAATGCCGACTGCACACCTAAGCGGATCGGGCGAAAAAAACATAAATAAAAGTAAACTTGACCAGTTGGGAGCTGGTAACTGGGAGCTTGGTTTACGGAGCCGCCTAGGCCATTTAAAGCTGGAGACACGCGCTGGCGTGCGACGCGTTTACGATTACAGATACACAGATACAGATACGGATACTCAACCCAATGGATACGTGTATCTAATGGTCACCCAGATCATACAGGTATGGCTTTTTATTCCGTATATACTTGTAGTGTGGGTAATAGTCCCTTCGATTTCGTTACACTTAACACACTTGGGCTTAAAACTTTTATTTATTGTTTACACAAAAAACAGCAGCAGCAGCAAAACCTAAAACAGAAAATCGTCGTTTCTGTATACAATTTTAGACGTTTTGTGTAATGTTCGAATGCTGGCTTCAATGGGGTTCCGCACGATCAACTGGCGAGCGTTCAGCTCAGCTCAGCTCGGTGAATTTTGCTCCACGTACCGACAGCGCGACGACGGGTTTATCGCTGGACACTTCAAGCTCGAGCTGCAACTGCGATTGCGATGCCGACCGCCGAGCAACCGTACCGCTCGACAAACTCAACCAAACTGCGCTCCAGAGTTGGCCGCGAGCGGCTCTTAACTCACTTTTTTCCAGCCAGCACGAAAAAAAGTTTAGTTGGCAACAGGTAGACGAGGCTACAGTGAGCGAATCCCACAAAATATTGTGATGCACACGTATTGGTCACGACAGGGGTGTAGGAAGAGGCTAAGAGGGGTTTCAAAAACCCAAATTTGAGGAGTATAATTATACCAAATTTCAAAACCAATTTTTTGTGTTATTTTTTTGAATCCACCAACTGAATTGCTTTGCCATTCAGACATTTATTTATTGATGGTTATATGGGTATATTTACGAGTTGTTTTAAATTAAGATAAGTGTAAAGTTAATGTTGTCGGACTTTATATTTATATTAAATAATTTAATAGTTTTAAATGTATATCTTCCTTTCTATATTTGTTGATGTTCTTAGAACACAAGCTTAAATAAGTATAAGTATTATATAAACAAGTATTACAGGAATTTTCGAAACCAGTTCCTTAAGTGCATTCTCTAATTATGTTAAATCAGGAAGAGTAAAATGTAAAGTTAAAAGTATTTAGAAGAAAATATACAAAACTAATTTTTATTTATCCAAAACAAAGGAACTCAAATTATGGTACCCTTTTTTTACTAAGCCCCTGATTCTATGAGATTTTTCACAGGCTCTCTTTTGTAACTCACTCTCTTGCAGCTGTGACTGAGAGTCGGCTATGATGAGGTTGATCAGCTGTTTTAATTTTGGGCTTGAGCCATAGATCAGTAGAGAAAAAGAGAAGTTTTTAAATAAGCCAAGAGATAGATTATCTAACAAGAGAAATTCTGGCTCATCCGCGAAGTAGTATAACTTATTGATTATTAATGGTACTGACAAATTTAAAACGCCATTAAAAACATATAAAGGTAAATGGCAAATAAACGGTTACTTAAACTTTGCATTCATTGGTATTTAAAAGAAATCGACCATTTTAACGCTTCAGTTCCACGAAGTGAACTAAATATATACATATGGTAACGCTGGTGTTGACTAATAAAATATTAACTGAAGCATACTTATAGGCTTTCTTTAGAAGTATATAAATAAATACAATACACACCGTTAACTTACTTAAACGTACTTTATTAATTTAACTAACCAACTATAAAACAATTAAAATTCTTACATGTAAGTTTAAAAATTAAAATGATTTTTTGACAGTGGCTTTTTCAGGACGTCTCGCTTTGTATCTGAGTCCGTGTTCCATGTAGGTAAATGGAGGATTGGGCTGGGTCAAACAGAAGTACAGACCCTTCGCACTAGCTGGGTAAATAAGACCAATGTTGATGGTGTTTTGGAAATTACAGTCTCCTTGCCGGAATTTGGCCCAACTCTCGCACTTGGTAGCCGGGATCATCACACCCTCGATGAGAGCCTATACAATTAAACAGAAATATTAGTGAAATGTTTGGAAAAGTGTATAAAATCTTACCTCCATGAATAGAACAAAGGGATACATGTGGCTGCAGATCTTGGAGTCGCAGCCTGGCTGAAGTTTCCTCCTTGGGAAGTAGCCAATACCATTAGGATAGATATCGATGTGACCCAGCGGAACCCTCACCCCAAAAACATCACCCTCACCATGCAGTACCACCACCCTCGAGGCTACACTTTGTTTCACCAATATATCGGAGGTGCGACACATTGTGGCAGGATCGATGGCTATTAGTTGACCCACCAACTGTTTGTTTTCTCTGGCAAAGAGTTGGGCACCCAAAGCGGCTATATTCGCACCCACCGAATGTCCAGCCAAAGTTATGTCCTGCACAGAAACACCCGCATCTTTCAGAGCCCTCACAAGTTTATAAATAAAATATCCATTCACGGAGAGATGATGGCGCACTGCATAGTACAATTGAGCCACATCCTTGGCAAAATCCACCACGATGACATTGAGATCCCTCCTGCTATTTTGCAGCAGAGTCAAGTGCTCCTGGACACTAAAATAACTATCGGCCGTATGGAAGGCATTCACATAGATGAGGGTCTTACGCTCCGGATTAATGTCGAAATCCTTGATTTGTGATATGGACTTGATGGGCAACTCCACGCTTTGATTGGTAATGGTCATCACATGGAGTCGAGCATCGCTGGGATTTATGCCCTGGAACAGGGACATCACACCCTCATCCACGGGGGCATCACCTGTTTAAATTTTTATGATAAGATCATCTGGCTTATTAGGTGTACTTTTCACACTTACAAAAGGCTCGCCAACCCCGATTCAGTTGCTCAGTTAGCAGTTTAATATTATGTCGTTGCACACTGTCAATATTCAGTGGCATTTTAGCCTTATCCCGATCCTTAACATCCACTGCCAAGGATTGACAGATCAGGCAGACTGCTACGATTATCTGGGCTGTGCTCTTCTGCATGTTGTCTTCTGTTCTCATGTCTGCAGACAAACAGCTGGCCTCTTTTATAGCCATGTCTTATCGGGCCAAAAGACTCGCCAACCGAGACTCTGTTATCTGGTTGCTGGTTTTCGATTTCGGTTTATTTTTTTAGCTTGTTGCAGCACGTCTGTTAAAGAGGGGCTGTCTGGTCGTTGTCTGCGGTTCCGCCCCAAAATCTTCAGCCCCAAATGTAAGTGGTGCTGCCAGATAAGGCCGCAAATCTAGCCAGTCTTTGCTGATTGATTATCACCCCAAAACCGATCGTGCCTCAATATGAAAATTCTTGCCACAGTTTACCTTTTCTGTTCAATTGTTCATTCACTTCTATTTTCCGTCAATTGATTAAGCTAGTAATCTGTTGGTTTTATGGGTGCTCGAAGACAACTAGGTGCTAAATATTTATTCATTAATATGTATATTTCGACTAAATGAATTTTGTTTAGTTCGCTTTTTTTGAGTATAGTTAGGGCTGTAAATTTGACTAGAATTCGTCTTGATTGACAAGCGATTCACAATTCAAAATTTACGCTAATGAGGTAGCGGCGGTTGTTGTCTGACTCTGATTCGTTTCCAAATGGAATTTATCGAGAGTGGCCTTAATATTAAGTTCCTTAAGTGGTAGACGTGTGTTAAAAGGAGCGTTGCTAATCCAGGCCAAACAATTATAACAAAATCAGGAAAAAATACAATGAAAAACCCAAGATGAACCAAATAACAAGAGCGTTGCGAGTTAAACTTAAATTTTAAACAGTTTATTCGTGTGGGCACACAAAAACTAATCCATAAAAATAATAAATAAATTGAGAGGTGTACTAAAAATAAACATTGGTAGTCAGAAATACTTGATGCTCTGTCCGAGGCATCTCTTCACTGGCTTCTGCTCCCCCGCGGCTCCAAATTGGACTAAAATTAGCATTCCGCTCTGTTTGTGTTGTATTTGTGGTTTGTGAATGGATCTGTTAGTTGGGATGGTTTCAATTAGAACTGGAGACCAGCCTGCACATCGGACATGATGTTGGCAGACTTCTGCAGCTGCTCCACTTCGGTGGGGGTCAGGATCTGCTTCACCACAGAGGTCACACCGTTGGCATTCAGGATGCAGGGCAGCGACAGGAACACATCCTTATCGATGCCGTGTTCGCCCTGTAAAATAGGAAATAAAATAATTATAATATTGTTTATACATCCAAGACATTTTAGGAACTCACCAAAACGGAGGTGGAGACGGCGGCCACGCTGCTCGTGTTGCGCAAGATGGCCGAGGCCAAGGAGGCGGTACTGAGACCGATGGCCCAGGAGGTGTATCCCTTTAGCTTGATCACCTCGTAGGCGGAGTCCACCACCTGCTTGTGCAGCTCGTTCCACTTCTCTGGATCCTCTCCAGTTCCCAGAGTGGGGTTCAGCTCACGCAGGCGCACGCCGGCAATGTTTACTCCAGACCAAACGGGCACGGAGCTGTCGCCGTGCTCGCCGATGATCCAGCCGTGGCAGGAGGTGGGTGCCACGCCCAGGCGCTGCGACATCAGGAAGCGGAAGCGGGACGAGTCCAGGTTGGTGCCGCTGCCGATCACACGGTTCTTGGGCAGACCGGACAGCTTCCAGGCCACGTAGGTCATGATGTCCACGGGGTTGGACACCATCAGCAAGATGGTATCGGGACTGTACTGTGGGTGGAATGAACTCATTAGTTGTAGTTCTCTAAACATTTTCAAACTGGAGAAAAACACGCAGAGATCTTTTAATGAGAAGTCTAAGCTTTAAACTTGTTAACTGGCAAAAAATAAGTAAATATTAATAAAATTAAGAAATATTTTTTGATTTTGGCTTTATTATATCAAAAACATTTTGATTTAACGTTTTAGTTTTGATAGGTATCGGGAATTAGAGGAAAATAAAAAATGTTTTAATACATTATTTAAGTAATCAGGAAAAATGTGTAAAGTAAGACATTAAAAACAATTACAACTGCCAATTAAGCTTTCAAAAAATTTCAGTTGACCCTAGAGCAATATTACTTTAGTTTTTAATGTTGGGTTGTTAATTTTAAAATAATTAAAATGTGTTTTGGATTTCTTTAAATAGTGTTTTTTATGGAATCTCTAGGTAAGTGTTTTCTAGATTTTCAAGTGTAGTTTTGTAGACTTGAACTTACCTCCACCAGCTTGGGGATGATGTTCTTCAGGATGTCGGTGTTGCGCTGCACGAGGGACAGACGGGACTCGCCCTCCTTCTGGCGCACTCCGGCGGTCACGATGCACAGACGCGAGTTGGCCGAGGCGGCGAAATCGGTGCTGGCCGTGATCTGGGGGTTCTTCAGGAAGTTGGAGCCGTGCTGCAGATCCATCAGCTCGCCCTGCAGCTTGTCGTTGCAGACATCGATGAGGCACACCTCCTTGGAGACGTTCTGTGCCAGGATACTGAAGGCGCTGGCCATGCCCACCTGGCCGATGCCGACCACGGTGACCTTGTGCCCGGAGCTGGGCAGCACCTCGGCAACCTGGGCCAATAGACTGTCCTTAATGGCGGCCATTGCTGGGGAGTAAGCAAAACAAATCCCTTTAATATCTTGCTAAGAAATCAAATATATTCCCCCAGGAATATTACCCATTTGGTGGCTGGTACCCATCACGTGCCTATGGTTTAGTTAAAACATTCACAATTTTTGGGGAAACTCTTTTCCCCACACAGACACACACATACTGCTTAGTTGGCGTTCTTTAACCTTCACGAAGGTCGTATTAATGAGAAAAAAGCGACATCGCCACAACACGCAACCGGACCGAACCGAAAACATTGCCGAAAAAATTAACTTATGATTTTTTTGCTCTTTTATATAGCAATTCATAGAGCCAACTTGTGACGATATTGGGGCACATGACACTGCCAGTCAATTAGGGTCTTCTTCTTTTATATAGATTAAATCTAATTAGCGCCAAATGAAAGTTTTATCAATGCATAAATGAGAAACCATTTGGAATTAATCCCCTGAATCAGCATGAATGGTTTAATATCTGATTAGGCGAACAGTCAGGGGTAAAAACTTCCTGGAATTTCTTATCTTATCAGCAGAGTGAAACATTAACCACTTCGATCAATCCAATTATTATATGTTTCTGATGATTATTAATTAGACTATAAATAACAGTTTTCTGTTTACCCGATGACTACATTGTATATGTGCACTATATATTGGTTCTATCACCATGACGTAGAAGTAGCCTTATCGCTTGTAGGAAGAGTTTGGGGGGCCAAAGTTGAGTTGGTTGCTAATGTTTGCAATATGGATTGCAGATTAGATTGGTTGAGATTATAAGTGCATATTGAAAAACTTATCAGTGAGAAAAATATTTATATAAACATGTGGCACGTTTTTAATTAGAATCTACTTCAGGTTGATTGTTTTCCTGGCTTGAATTGAATTACGAGTGCGGTTATAAGTTCTAAAGAATTGGGGTGGGGTACAAAAAAACCCAAGAGTTCCGATGAGTTCCGCAGCTCCAAGTGTGAGATACAAAAAGTCAGAGAAATGTCACAAATATATAAAAACTAGATAATGATTTATGGCTGAGCGATCACGGTTTATTTTTATATGGAACTTGCAGTAATGTATATATGTATGTATAGCGAATAATAGCCTATTCCTTTCCGAAAAAACTTTGTTGTTTATATAGGAACTATATACAATAGCACAATTAATTTTAATATATTTTGAATATATACAAATTTTAAGCATTATTATTACAGATTGGTATTTTTATGGTTTAGTTTTTTTTTTAATTTCTACATTTCTGTTGTAATTAAAAACTTTTCATTAAAAAAACTAATATATATTAAAGTAAAATCTGTTCCGACCTGCCAGCATACTAGAAATTTTTATAAATAAAAAATAACTTTCTGCAAATTTAAAAGATATTGAGGTCACAAATCTGGACTTCAATATGAATATTTTCCACCACCACTTGTTGCAAGCTGAAAAAACTTGCCTCACAATTGGGCCTACGAATGACCTTCTCTCAAAGTCAAATGCGGTTGTTCCACTTTACTGGGGGTCGACGTCGCCCCGTCAAAAATGGGGAAAACAGCTGTTCATGACACGGCGCATGCTCTCAATGAAAACGAAAGTGAAAGCCAATTGTACGCCCAATTGTCACCCCTGCCTCTTTCGGAAAACCCCGGAAATTCCGCCCACTCCACTGACGATACAAGTGCGGAAGGCCAAGGGCGAGGTTTGGTTTCGAATTCGGTTTTCGGAAACGACCGTTGCACTTGTCCGTTAAAAGTTGAATGCACTTTGATGAGGCAGGAAGTTAGCCCCCGGGAAATACTACCTAAATCTAAAATCTCCTGCACAGTCTTTTAAAATATTTTTCTAGGTGCATGCTAGTTTCTGTTGCTTACTTTTGAATTGGTTTGGTTTTATTCACTTTTTTTCACTGGATTATTTTGGGCGCCTCTGCCTTTGAGGTCGTCGACGTTCCGTTCACTTTGCGCGTTCGTTGCGAACTGTTTGCACTTCAAGCGGACTGCTTTGGAATTTAGCTGCCGCCGCTGGATTTTGTAGCCTCCGCAGCCGCTTTTTCTCTCACTACCTTTCTCGCTCTTTCCTCCTCTGTCAGTACACTCAGAAAAAACTATGTTAAAGTACCAAAAAAAAAAATGATCCGATGAACCTTGGAGCTTTATCTTCTGGACTCAAGGAAATATTTATTGAGTCTTTAAACTCAAGAGAATACTTTATCTTAAATGAAATCTCAAGCTAAAAGTTCTGCCCGCAACATTCTTAAAAACTAAGTATTGGATATTTCATAAGTTAAAGGCGACATTTTTGCTTTTTTTTTATTTTACTTACGAATTATTTTTTTTAAATGTTAAAGAGCCGAAAGTTTTGGTATATTAACATATAACATAGATTAATTATTCAATTATCATAAAAACATTAGTTTTTGTCAATTAACTTCAGGTTATTTATTATACAAATTGTTTGAAACTTAAAGTTATACATTTTGAATAACTCTTTGCGCAGCTTACTTTATTTTATTTATTGGGTGCCTTTTCGGCTTGTGCTTAGTCTTCAAATGATATAGAGGGCTTTGTCGTGTAATTCTGGTTACTATAAGCCAGTGCCCTGATTTTAAATAAATTCTATAGCAGTTAAGGAAATAAATAGGTTTTATAAATTTTTTTTCGAGTGTAGGCAGCTGTTTGGCCGCCTCTGCCGGCGTCGCAGCCAGCTGCGTCAGGATGAATGACGAAACGGCCTGTGCGGCGTTGTGAAAGTGAGCGAGCGTTGCTCTCTCTCGCTCTTCCACCGCCAATGTTTGTTGGTGTTGCGCTCTCCAGAGTTTTTGGCTCCATTCGGCCAAGTTAGTCAAGGTGACCTTTGCCTGTGCCGATGGTTTTCCTTATATTTTTCCTCTATTTATAGCCGACACGTTTTCGGGTTGTTTTCCGGGATTATGATGTGGGTGAGGATGGAGTTGCCGAATAATTCTTCATTTACAATTCCCTGCGGTATAAATTACTTTTTTGATCTTAAATTCTGAATTTGTTCCGTTTTTCCGAGGTGGTGGTTGTTTATTCAAGCCTCGTGACAGCAGCTGTGGATCTTTTGGCTGACACGTGCCCAAGATCACATATAGAGAAACCAATTTGTTAGTATGGATGTGTGTGCGGCTAATTTTGGCCAACTGCCCAGTCAGGCGGCTGCAAAGGTGGCTGCTGCAGTTAATTTGGCTAACAGATGGTCCAGGAGATTATACATATACGCAAAGGAAATACCCTGCACTGAGTTAGTGGTGTTATATAAGCATTAGATTAATTTAAGCTGGACTTATTTTCAATCCTTCGATGCACAAAAGAATCCAGCTTAAGGATAGCTTGCAGTCATTTACCTAATAATAAAAGGATCTGAGTAAAATTTACATTTTATAAAATTTTTAAATATAATTATCTTTTTAAATTTAATTTCAAGTCACCAGATTTTGACAATTTCAGTGATACCATAAATGTTTTGCTTTTCTATTGAAGCCATTTCATGGCTTGAAAAAATATATATCTAGATTGTTTAATATTAATGATTAGGAACTTATGTTTTAATTTATAAAATATTTTAGAAACGGTTATTCCTAAAAAATATAAATCGAGTCTTAGAAAGCCCAAATTTGTTTAAGCTTTGTGGTGTAGGGTATTTCACACATATTAACCTGGATTAAAGCAGATTTTCGCTAATTGTTTTAAAGACGTCATCATCTGGGTTTATGGATTTGCATGGTGGAGAGAGAATCCCAGAGAGTATTGTAAGGAGATCAGTAGAGAAAACAGAGAAACAAGTTGAGATCCCCAGAGAGAAGTCGCTCCACCAGTTTGCCGGCGTTCGTGACTGAAAACACATTATACAAACTGACACTCAATATTTATTCGCCAGTGATTCACTGCATTCTGCGAATAGCTCTCTCGATTTTCACAACTGAGCACAGTTAATACGTCATCATTGTCGCCGGTTGAACTTGAGCTAAATAAGGGGGAGTGTGTGGAAAAAGGGGGTGGAGAATGGGAGGTTTATTGCTCTCTCAATGCCGCTGCAATTTAACGCAATCGTTGTGAAAGTGTCGGCGACGGTGACCCACTTTTTGAAGTGACCCAAGTCAATGTCAATGCACTTCCCTCATTCCCCATTTTTTGAGGTCATGACGTCGCATCGCTCTTCAATTGTGAAATGCGGTTGAGAATGAGTTACCAGTGAATACTCACATATGTACGCACTTATCGAAACTTGTTTTGTTTAGGTCTGGTTTGGTTGAACTTTTGTTTATACTTTCAGTGCTATGATTTATTTTCTGGGAATTTCTGCAGCATATAAAAGGCGTACGCGGCGTTCGGTAAGATAAAGCGAAATGTTGATTAGTGATGAAACAGCATATAAAAATAAAGTTTTAAATTTACGTATATTATAAGAACGAAAAGCCCCCTGTAAAATGTCTTTTGTCAAAAGTTATATTTCCTTCTAGAAGGACATAATTATTTTTTTGAGATTCGATTGACTTACAATATGTATAAGTTTATGGTTTCAGGTATGCATGTCAAATATTGCGAACGCCCTCTTTTGGCGAGTTCTTAAAACAGTTGCACCTGCGAAAATACCGCTAGAGGGCGCCAAAAAATACTGTGTAGGATTATGCTGTCATGTAAATACATTATTGAGAAGGGAATTCAAAACAAAAATATTTAACAGCAATTTATAAATTTTTATATTCTAAATAAAAATGAATAATTCAATAAATAAAGAGAAGGAAAGTAGCTAATAGTTGTGCAAAAAAAACTAGAGGCGATTTTCCCGTATAATTAACAAAATTGAAGCAAGCTCTTTTGGTATATAAACTGTTAAATTTATTACCTATTGTCATATACTTTAAATACTAGTTGTATTAACTTTAAAGACTGTTACTAAAGCGTTAGCGTTTAAAACTTGTTAAAGGCTCATTTAAGCGAATTTGATATTTTTGACTCTTCAAAAATGCAATGTTCCAATTTCGGCTATCATTTCAGCTTCCCATATTACGCAACATTTTCGATGCATTCTCCAGATTAGCCACAACAAACATTTCTCATGCTCCGCGCTCCCAATCTTTGGAGCTCTGCGTGCCGGCTGAAAAGTGAGAGATGCTCTGGGAAACCGATAGTGCAACTCCTGGCCAAAAAGCGACCCAAGGCGTTGTTATCAACGCAGGGGAATCTGATTAGAGCCAGAGCTCGGCAGCCCGAGTGTGTAAGCCAAGTGGCAGCAACCGACTTCATCGTCTGCGGATTCTCGGGAGCACGCAATCGAGGGAAGATGTCGCTGCCCCACTGCACATTAATATTCAAAAATTGCGTTTTTATGCTAATTCTCACACACAACGTTCGGTCCTACTAAATGGCCAACCTGTCGATAGACTACTCAATGACAAGCAGGAGGCAGTAGCAGCTGGAGTTGGAGAGGATGCACACTTTCCAAAAGAAGAACCCACGTACACTGGAAAAACATTACATCCTTAAATTTAACATTGGTTGTATTTAATACAAATTTCAATAGATTATTTTCTAAAAAACTTAATCATTGACTGATGTCTTTTAATCATGTATAATGTAATTCCTATATTTATCTTTTAATATAAGTACATATTTCTAACGAATTCAAGATAACTTTTATTTTATTTCCTTAGCAATACTTATATGGATAAATTGAATTTTATATGCATATTACAAAGTTATGGTAGCTTTCATATAAATTAAAATATTTATTATACAAATTTTGTATTAAATAATGAATATATTTTCATAACCAACTTAAAGGTCATACCTTGCGGCCTTTTTAAATTGAGGGACTTAACTTAATTGATTTCTCTCTGTGTGGTCCAATTGGCTCAAGTAGCCTCCAGTCGTTGTTGTAGCTGTTCTGCCTGATGATGATCATCTTTCGGGTATATCGCGCCATGCCATCTTTTTGGCAGCCACTAGCCTTATTATTACTTTTATTCCGCCAGCAAGCTTGTCCAGCCACGACTTTTCCAGTCGAGAGCGTTCAATATTACTCATACGCACCGTTGTTTATTTATGCCTAGATGCTGTTGCTGCCTGGTGCCGCTGATGTTGCCGTTGTGCGATGTTGTTGCCGGCGTAGTTTAGCAATAATTAAGTTGTTAAATTGTTGCACGTAAGTCAAGTTGGCCAGGACGGATGTCCGTCGTTCAGTCGGTCAGCCAGAGACCGCCTTCGAGTGGCCGCTCCGCTTGGTGGCTCCGCTTAATAATAATGTTCGGCCTGACTTACGATCCACGTCCTTGGGTTACTGATATATGCGATACTTAAGGTATTTATTACAAGCGATTGTAATCTCATGCCTGAATTTCTCTATACATATAAATACTTTTTTATTCTCCTTTTAGCCAGCAGCAACTGCAGCAGCATCATATTTATAGTCCAGGCAGCCGACTTGGTTGGCTGCTTTTTTGCTGGTGATTAGCAGGGTTTAAGCACCAGAGCATACCCTGTTATTTGCCAGCTGAACGCATTAAGATGTTGCGCTGGATGCTGCATGGCAAGCAATTAATCATCTCCTCATTGCATCTCATTATCAACGTTCCCTGGCATCGCCCCCCACTTATCTGACATACCCCATCGCAGGGTATACGTATACTTTGCTTATTTGCACTTGAAACCACGCCTCATTAGAGCCACGGCTTTGCGCCTCTTTGCATCTCTCAGCGCAGCGTCCGGCGAATTATATAACACATAAACTATATCCACACACGAATACCAAGGCAAGAATGCAATTACAGTGGAACATTAATAGATTAAACTTGCTAAACCTAGTTAATCAGTATTCAAAAGATATATGGATCAAATATACATATTAATAAATCAAACAAATTTTCAAAAATTATACCGTGGAGATTGATAAAAAATAGTGTTATAATATATTACGTCAAAACATTTGTATAGAATATTTGGTTAAGTTTCTGGAATATTATTTTTTAAAGATAGGT